ATTAAAGCTCATGAGGCACACAGATAATATGGTAATGGAGACTATGCAAGTACCTAAATAGAGAGATGATAAACTCCCTTACACCTACAGACAAGTGAGTAGTATATATCACCTTGGCGCAATGAGATTATGCTTCCAGATAATTGTAGTACAAATATTCTCTCTTTCTTATAGTCTCAGACAAGACTTCTAATTAAAAAATGTCATCCAAACATTTTCCCAATTTCTTTCAAAAACTTAAAATACTCTCCATCAGGACTTTCGAACTCTAAAGACCTCTGCTTTTCAAGTTTTAATTGCTTCATTCACTTCTATTATAACAGATTTTTCAGACAGGGCTTTTAAATTAGCATTTTAAAAGGATTGATTTTAGTATCCCATTTGCTAATTTCCTACTACTTTGCTCAGTAATAGTAATAGTAATTTCAGTAATTTCAGTAATAGTCTGAAAAAAAAAATGCACTTCACAGAATTTTGTGAAAAACATCTTATTTTACTAATAGAACTGAGCAGTTTGCTATTTTTATCTGTAATTAACTTCCAATTTACTTTTTGCATTACTGGCTCTGATGGATGATTCATAGGAGTCACTTTAGTAGGGACTTTTAGAATCTCCATTTCTGGTTAAGTGGACCCTATTAAAGATACCAGAAATCAAAGTATTATTTATGCAGTTATTTTGATATACACAATTATATGCTTAATGCTAGCTATTGCAATATTAACATTTTGTTCAAGTTCAAAACACCCAGTGGAAAATTAGTTTCTTTATTTATATATGTTATTTACTACCATAAAAATATTTACACATTCACCAGATCCAGGAGTGGATTTACCATGAAACAAACCATGTGGTGGCACAGAGCCCCCAATGACACGGGGGCCTCCAAAATGCAGGCCAAATATCTGACAGCCTGCCCCCAAGTCCCGGCTGGTGGTGCAGCAGAGCTCAGGAAGGCAGGCTGCCTGCATGCCGTGGCCAGTGGCCCCACAGCGGGCCAGCTGCTGGCATGTGTCTGCGTGCCCCTGGCGGGTGGGGGAGGTGGCTCCACATGCTGCTCCTGCCCCAGGCAGCTCACGGAGACCTGCTGCCCCCTCCCCACAAGGGGCATGCAGAGATGTGCCAGCAGCAGGGCTAAGGCAGCTCCCTGCCTGCTCTGCCTCCCTCCCTCCTCGCCACTTCGCTCCTGGAAGCGGCCAGCATGTCCCTGTGGTCCCTGAGTGTATGTGTGTGTCTGCGCGCTGCCCCTGCCCCAAACGCTGACTCCGCAACTCCCATTGGCCACAGTTCCAATGGGAGCTGCAGGGGCGGAGCCTGCAGGCAGCAGTGCACAGAGACGCCCTGCCCCGCTGCCCGCCCCCCGCCTAGGAGCCGCTGCTGGAGGGGTGTGTGTGCAGGTTGCTTTGGGAGCCGTGCTGCCCGAGTTAAGCGCCACCCCTCTGCCCCCTTCCCGCACCCCAATCCCTTGCCCCAGCCCAGAGCCTGCACCTCGCACCCAAACTTCCTCCCAGAGCCCTCACACCTTACCCTTTCCCACACCCCAACCCCGTCCCAGTCCAGAGCCTGCACCCAAACTTCCTCTCAGAGCCCGCACCCCTTCCCCCTCCTCCCACACCCCAGCCCAGAGACTGCACCGAGCACCCAAACTTCCTCCCAGAGCCTGCCCTCCATACCCCGTCCTGCACCCCAACCCCCTGTCCCAGTCAAGGTACCTCACTTTATTTTCATTTATTTCCCATTACTTATAGGAGGAGGATGAATAAAAAATGGGGGAGATAAGAGAGAATGTTCTTTTTCTTAGCTGGTCCCGAGGGGGGGCCCCTGAAAATGAAGCTGCACAGAAGGCCCCACTAACTCTAAATCCGCCACTGATCAGATGACCCTCGATATATTTAGCATAATGATGGGCATGTACCTTGACTTTAATCCTTTTCAATCTTGCAACATCTATTTTACCCAAATGGCACCCATTTGCAAGCAAATTCATGGGTATGAATTAAAAATAATTTATCTTTTATGTGCTGGAAAGTCAATAAACTACATCCAATACCTTTAACCAGAAACTACCATAATAAAATACCTTTCATGCAATTCCTACATAAGGTTAGTATATATATAGCTCTTAAGAAGCAAATTTGATTTAGGAATACAGACAGTGCAATGTGGTCAAAGATCAATCGCAGCCAGAACCTTAAATTTGTGATAAACAATAGAAATGTTGCTGACTGATTTTTGGAGTGCTCAGAAAATTGCTTGCTCCAAATTTATATTAATGATATTAAACATGAGAACAGCACATATTTTCATGACACATTAGGCCAAAATGGCTAATTTTATAATCTTATGCTGAAACCTGCATGTAAACTACAAATTGCAAACTAAGGATTAAATCCTACATCTTGAACACCTAAAATTAATGGAAGTTCTGGTGTGCAATGGATGCAGAATCAATCACTCAGTGTATGTAAAGTAAGAAATTGTCAAGACTAAACAAGAAGATATATGTTCCCAATGTATGAAATGTCATTTTTTACTGCAGAGCATTCTAATCCATATAACAGGCCACTGGACGACTACACTGGAAAAACTACCATGTAAGCAATCGCTCCTTGGATGGCTTATGCTGACTGCATTATGCCTTCTGCAGACATGAATAATCTCAATATGACATTCAGCATATTAAAACAAAGAGCATACAGGAAAAAAATAATATAAAAGTGTTAAAGTATTGATTTTCATTAAGGTAAACAATTTTCATTAAGGTCTGACATGATGAAGTACTGTTTAATATTTTGCATCCGATGAAGTGGGCTGTAGCCCACGAAAGCTTATGCGCTAATAAATTTGTTAGTCTAAGGTGCCACAAGTTTAGTCTAAGGTGCCACAAGTACTCCTGTTCTTTTTGCAGATACAGACTAACACGGCTGCTACTCTGAAACCAAACATGTTATGATGTATACAAATAGGCAGACTGATCTGTTCTGTAAAACAAATAATTGATATAAAATATAGTTTTGATCATTGACAATATGTATAACAATGAAATCCCAAACACATATAATAACCATATTGAAAAGGAGATAAAGAATTGCTAAAAATGATATGAGTTGAAAATGTTCTTCATTTTCTGAGAATAGAGTCTCTGGAGACACAAATACACACAGTAGATACACCTCACACTAGTACCCAAAACATCTTTTAACATAAGGTTAATAAACATTGTGGCTAATAAATATTGTGTTAAAGTCATTTAACCTATTTTTTTCTCTCCTTCTCTCTACAAACTGAAAAGTATTATCAGGTAATACCTCAAATCAGAAATATATTGTTTGAGTATGTCAGTTACTTCTATTTTCTGTTTTCTTATGTACCTTTTTAAAAGTATATATTATGTTAATAAAGGAAAAATCAATAAAGCATTTAAAAATCAGTTTTACTGCTAAGCCCCCACTCAGGGCTGGGAGGAGAGTGAGGCCCACTGGAGTTGCAGGAGGATCAGATGTGTGGATGGAATTAGTGGGTTGTTTAGGGAGCAGAACTGATGTGGGGGCTGGGGAGACAGGATTGATCTTGGGTTGTGGGAGCAGAATTAATTGCTGGGCAGGCAGATGGACAGATGTGAGAGCGACAGCTGCTGCAGTGGGGGCGAAAATCAATACATCTGGGAGAGACAGCCACATTAATTCTCACACACATAAACTGGAGGAGCAGGGGAATTAAAAAAATAGAAGACAGACCAAAAAGCAAAACCCATAGTAGTATATTTTAAAGAACTCATGGCTTTGGAGGGTCTAACTCAAGGGTGGGCAAACTTTTTGGCCCAAGGGCCACATCGGTGTTGCAAAACTGTATGGAGGACCGGGTAAGGAAGGCTGTGCCTCCCCCAAGAGCCTGGCTCCTGCCCCCTATCTGCCCCTCCCACTTCCCCCCCCATCAGAACCCCAGACCCATCCAATGCTCCTTGTCCCCTGGCCCCTAACCACCCCCCAGGACCCCACCCCCTATCCAACTCCCCCTTCTCCCTGTCCCCTGACTGCCCCGACCCCTATTCACACCCCTGCCCCTAACTGCCCCCCAGGACCCCACCTCCTATCTAACCCTCCCTGCTCCCTCCCGTCTGCACAGACCCCTATTCACACCCCCGCCCCCAGAGAGCCCCCCCCCGGGACTCCCATGCCTATCCAAACCCCCTTGTTCCCTGTCTCTTGACTTACCCCCCCCCCAAAACCTCAGCCCCATCCAACTGCCCCCTGCTCCCTGTCCCCCAGGACCCTTTAGCCCTTATCCAACCCCGCCTTTACCACGCTGCTCAGAGCAGCAAAGCCCGGGGTCAACAGGATGGTACATGTCTGGCATGATGTCCAAACATAAGGCCATCTGTGATGCCTGCCATAAGCTCATACACATGGCCTACAGCATCTGAGCACGGGCCACAGATGTGCAGCACAGCGTCCAAACAAGGACAACCGCATTGTGCCCAGTGTTAGCTGCCTGCCAGGTCATTCTCAAGCTGCATGAGGGCCAGGGCTGCTCCTATGCCACAGGGCAAGGAAGAGAGGTCTGAGAAACAAACCCCTCATTACCTCAGCTGCGGCAGGTGTGATGCCCCTGCTGTGCCCAGGCCCTTCCGGGACCCCTCCAGGCAGGGGGCTTAGAGTGGCAGGGGGGCTCGCACCCCTGGCTACATGTATAATCAAGCTGAGTCGCGCACATTAAGCACAAAGCTTCCAGCTCAAGATAGACCCTCCACTTTATTCAGACCACTTTAAGCACCGCCCCCATGTATCTTTTGTGATACCCCCCCCCCTTCGGCCCCCTCGCTTCAGGGCAACAGAGCAGGCCGCTCCTTTCCCGCCCTCCCCTTCAGAGGAGGAGAGCACGCGCCCCGCGGGGAGGGACACAACGAGTCCCTAACGGTTTCCGGAGCGCCCCGAAGCGGGGGTGTGTCGCCCCGTGCCCCGCCCACTCCTCCTCTCCCCCCCGCCCCCAGCGAGGGGCAGAGCAGGGTAGCCTCGCCGCGCTGGGGAGACGCTCCTTCCTCCAGTGTGAGGCGGAGCTGCCTGAGGCTGCGGCTCCGCGCGCTCTCTGGGCTGCCAGGCGGCGCCGCGCTGCGCTGAGCGATGGCGGAACGGGGAATCCAGGCGCGGCGCGTCCTCTCCCCCGGCAGCCGCCTCCTGTTCCTCCTCACCTGCCTCTTCGTGCCCCTGCTCGGGGTGCCCGGTCCGGCCGGCAGAGCCACCGCCGCCAGGGGCAGCGCCCGCACACCCTACACGGGTAAAGGGACCACGGCTGCACGCTCCCCGGTGTGGGCTTTGGGGGTGTCGGGGAGGCAGCCGCGTGTATGTTAGGAGGGAAGGTGAAGTGAGGCTGAAGAGGGGTTAGGAGAGGGGGATATAGCGGGTATGTTGGAGATCGTGGAGGGGTTTGGAGAAGGGGTATGTGGGGGGTGTCGTGGAGGGATTTGGGGAGGGGGATGTAGGAGAGGGGGTCGTGGAGGGGTTTGGGGGAGGGGGATGTAGGAGAGGAGGTCGGGGAGAGGTTTGGGGAAGGAGGATGTAGGAGAGGGGGTCGTGGAGGGGTTTGGGGGAGGGGGATGTAGAAGAGGGGGTCGGGGAGAGGTTTGGGGGAGGGGGATGTAGAAGAGGGGTCGTGGAGGGGTTTGGGGGAGGGGGATGTAGAAGAGGGGGTCGGGGAGAGGTTTGGGGAAGGAGGATGTAGGAGAGGAGGTCGGGGAGAGGTTTGGGGAAGGAGGATGTAGGAGAGGGGGTCGTGGAGGGGTTTGGGGAAGGAGGATGTAGGAGAGGGGGTCGTGGAGGGGGTTTGGGGGAGGGGGATGTAGGAGAGGAGGTCAGGGAGAGGTTTGGGGAAGGAGGATGTAGGAGAGGGGGTCGTGGAGGGGTTTGGGGGAGGGGGATGTAGGAGAGGGGGTCGTGGAGGGGTTTGGGGAAGGAGGATGTAGGAGAGGGGGTCGTGGAGGGGTTTGGGGAAGGAGGATGTAGGAGAGGGGGTCGTGGAGGGGTTTGGGGGAGGGGGATGTAGAAGAGGGGGTCGTGGAGGGGTTTGGGGGAGGGGGATGTAGGAGAGGAGGTCGGGGAGGGGTTTGGGGGAGGGGGATGTAGGAGAGGAGGTCGGGGAGGGGTTTGGGGGAGGGGGATGTAGGAGAGGAGGTCGGGGAGAGGTTTGGGGGAGGGGGATGTAGGAGAGGAGGTCGGGGAGAGGTTTGGGGAAGGAGGATGTAGGAGAGGAGGTCGGGGAGAGGTTTGGGGAAGGAGGATGTAGGAGAGGGGGTCGTGGAGGGGTTTGGGGAAGGAGGATGTAGGAGAGGGGGTCGTGAGGGGTTTTGCATACTATGTCAACTTTTTGAAAGACCAGACTCAAACATTTTAAATCTGATTTGAAGAACAAGTCAAGGCTTGAGCACTAGCTTTGCAGTCCTTAGGGCCAGTGCAGAAGTAGAGCTCAGAAGAATTTTTTATTTGATTTTTAATTAAAGTAATCTAGAGCGACCACGATTAAACAGACACAGCTTTATTTACCAGAAGATAGGGCAAAAACCCCACAAACAACCTTGTTTAGAGGTTGAGTCTTTTTTTCTTTGCCCTTGTCAAGCAAAATTTCTCTGGGTGCACACATACATATTTACAAATACTGATCACAACATCTCATTAGGTGGTTGTACAACTACTCCAAATAATGAAGAATGCTATTATTGTTATAATATCAGACCTTAGTGGGGTTTTTTTTGTTGTGTTTTGTTCTCTGTAAGGTGTATTGCATTTATTCACAACTGATGTGGTCATGGATTTGTGATGTATCTGCTTTGTGTGTTTATCTACATGCCAGAGGCAAACCATAGGAATGCTTATGATACATGACAAATATTTCTTATTGTTGAAATACCATTCTTATGGATTTATGATAAAATTCTGCTTGACTTATTCATTGAGTTAACCCTGTTGAAGTCCTAGGGGCTAATCTCAAAGTAAGGATTTGAGTTGTACAGTTTAAATTATAAAACACTCCACAAAACAAAATTGTATAGATAAAACTGTGCAAATTTAAAAGGGTAGTCAGCTCAAGCTTGTCCCAAAATACAGATGTTGTAAAATATTGCTTTTACAGAATTTAAGAGCAGTGAAATGTATAAGTCTTCCAAACAGTTGGTTTTAGATAAATATTCCACCCAGTTTAAAGTCCTAACATGGCAGTATTAAAAGCCTGAAAGTTAAACTCATTTGAAGCAAAAGTGAAATTGACTTAATTGATTTTCATTTTCTGAACTGGGATGCAAAAAATAAACAGTGCAAATCCTGAAATTTAAACTGGATTAAAACTGTGAACTTTAGTTTGAAATGTAACAAATCCTTACCTACGTTACTATCATGCTAAAAGTGATTTTTAAAGTTACTGTGAATTGTAGTAGTTGGAAGAATTATGTTTTCACTAAATGAGTCTCATCACAATAGAAAGAATAATTATATAGAGCTGTTAAAAAAAGGTCATAGTCAGGTACTTTTGTGGAGCCAAATCTTGCCCTTGGGTACAAGCATGCAACTTTTTCTTCAGTGAGAACTATCTGTATGTACTTGAAGGGAGAATTTGTTTCTCTCTTGGCCATTTTAACTAAACTAAAATTGTAATTTACTAAAAAATAGAAATTGGTAGTAGATATGTAACTAGTTGTTTGAAAACTGTGGTGCATTGGGGCAGTAAACTATATTATAGTATTGCTTTAGAATAGTATATTAAAATTGTGGGGGAAATCCTTTACAAGTTATTTAGTAAACAATTTATCAGATGTAGGTGTACTAAATTCCATATCACTTGGTTATTATGTATGCTTTCTAAACCCTTGAAAATTAAACTTCAGTTTTCTATTCATTACAACGTGGCTATGTGTGAGTGTGCATGTTGTAACTTTCTTCCTAGATTCAGAGTAGCAGCCGTGCTAGTCTGTATTCGCAAAAAGAAAAGGAGTACTTTTGGCACTTTAGAGACTAACCAATTTATTTGAGCCATAAGCTTTCGTGAGCTACAGCATCCGATGAAGTGAGCTGTAGCTCATGAAAGCTTATGCTCAAATAAATTGGTTAGTCTCTAAGGTGCCACAAGTACTCCTTTTCTTTCTTCCTGGAGTATCCCAGTTTTACAAACTGTAGTTGTTTGTTGCAAAACAAAATATGAGTTGATTGCCTTTAAATCAGTGAAGTGTTTTGTAATATAGAAGAATTTCAACTTAAAGGATAAGAATTAGTTTTCTGAAGTGAACTCTGAGAGAAGCTGCATCTGTTAGAATTGTTGGACAAAGTTTCCTATATTTATCAGTTTACTTATATCATGATTCTCCTTTAAATGATTTTGCTTTCTTTTGCGAATATAAAAAAATTGAATTTTCCAGTAGACTGTAGAGAAATTAGGGAAGGGACCTCTTGTATAGTTCCACTCTGTCCAGAAATGAAAATCTTAATGTTTTATATTCTGGCAAATACATATGGAAAACATACTGGCATATCTTCTGAAATCTACTACTGTTCTTGCATACTAAAGAAGAGTACCTGATTTGTACAAGCCATGGGGACATTACATACCTGTGTATCTGAGATTGGAATCTAGTTGCATGAGCAGAATTCTGCTGTGGACAGATGATGTACCAGTGCACAACCTCTGCAGCATCAAGGGCTGCACTGGCAACTTGCCAGGAGCCTGAGGGCTGTACCTTATTTGTATAAGTATTTACAAAATTGTCAATTTAATTCCATGATGTGTACAGAATAAATTAAATTTGTATGAATAAAATGTTTCTAACCTTAAAATCCTTCATTATGTCTTTTCCTTTTCCTCTTTCCACTTCCCACTTTACTTTGTACACTTTTCCTACTTTTTCTCTCTCCTTCAACCTTTCAGATGTCTTTTTTCCTTCCAGATTTCCCCATCAGTTGTTTAATTGCAGCCTTCCCCAACATTCTGCATGTCCCTTCTTCTGTCCTCACTGCCAGGTCCTTGGTCAGCAAGAATGATGCCTTTCCCCTATCCTGTTCCTAGGCTGATAGTGGCCTATCCCATTGACTTCAATGAGGCCAGGATTGCCACACAGTGGCTCTGCTTTCCACTCCGAGGCTGCCAGCCAGCATCTGGCATTTGGTTTCTTCATCTACTTTAGCTGTTCAGCAGGAAGTAGACATCACTTCTGCTCCCCACTGAACTTATCACTGAGCAGAAGAAACTAATGCTAAACCAAAAAAGAATATTGCTAGGGCTCTTCAAAGCAGTGCATTTTATCATATGCACAACAGTGCTGCTGGTATTCAGTGACCCTGGAGACTGGTGGAGCAATAAACATCTTGGCAAGCCATAGGTTGAGACATTGTTATCTTTTAATATTTACAGTCGTGCCCACAATATGCTAAGCACAGTACAGGCATTCAAGAAGGGTGGCAGTGTAAGGTCTGAGGAGCTCTTAATCTAAGGACTGACAGACATGGGCAAGGGAAAAAATAGGTAATCTATATATGTCAATTTGATTCTCTGTAAGCAGCATGGCCATATACTATGATGATGCTGGTTTTCAGCAAGACTTGCAAAATCCATTAACCAGTGGTAAGTAGTAAGCTTTCCCTGCTGCCAAGCCATTAGTAGATATTTTGCCGAAGTTTTGATTTAAACGTTCCTTGCTTTTCTGACTGCAATAATAACCTTCTAAATGTGAACATAAAAAAATCAGTGTTGCCTTCTTTACTTCACAAACACAGCTCTGTTCGTCTGCTCATCTTTATAACGTTGCCAAGCAGTACCAGCACAGGGGAGGGATAGCTCAGTGGTTTGAGCATTGGCCTGCTAAACCCAGGGTTAAGAGTTCAATCCTTGAGGGGGCCATTTAGGGATCTGGGGCAAAAATTGGGGATTGGCTCTGCTTTGAGCAGGGGGTTGGACGAGATGACCTGCTGAGGTCCCTTCCAACCCTGATATTCTATGAAACAAACTTAAAAAATCTGGTCAGTCACACAGCTGCTTTTCAAACTTTTGCAGTTGTCAGTGTGAAACTGTCAAGTACATCCATTTCACTCTGCTGCTGCTGCCTAGGAAAAAGGAGTAGTAGAAGTATGCTCTGGGGTTATTTGCTAGGATAGAGAATAATTCTGCTCCCTGCAATAGCTAGACGGCTCTGATGGTGGGAGAAGAAACAGAAGGCTCTTCCTTTCTAGAAGCTAGAGAGAGTGAAGCTTCATACTCATAAGATATTTACTGGCCAGAGCTGATACAAAAAACAAAACCTCCCCCCTGCATCCCATCCCAAAAAAAGGAAAATACAAATACTACCACCCGTTTCCTTTTTATATCAGTTAGGCATGAGGGAGGGAAATCACTCCCCCAACCAACGTAGCCATACCAACAAAAGCCCAGTATAAACAAAGTTATACTCAGAAAAAGGTCCTTTTGCTGGTACAGCTTATTTCATTCAAAGAACTGTTAGTTATATTGGCAAAAATACTCTTACTGGTTCAGAGCAAGTCTGCATTACAAAATTAGGTCGACCTGAGTTATGTCAACGTACAGCTGCTGCAGTAATTACATCTCTTTTGCATGTCTACACGATGCTTCTTGTGTCATCAGTGCGCATCCTCACTGGCAATGCTTGCATTGATGCAGACAGCAGTGCACCCTGGGTAGCTATCCCACTGTGGAACTCACCACCATCTAGCACAGGGTGTTTTGGGAAGGGTTTACAATGTCTCATTGGGGCAAACGAGTCATACAGGAGTGATTGGGAACATGGTTTCAATGTTCCGTGATGTAGTTTTTTCCATCCCAGAATTTTATCTGCATCCCATAATGTTTCATGCATTTTTTCAAAAGCCGTGCAAACCCGTGCATCCTCCATCTCTCTGAGAAGCATGCACAGTTCTGCACTGTTTTGATGAGTGTTGCAAGCACAATGCACCTGATCCTGCAGTATCTGCAGAGGAACCGTGGGAAACTTGACAATTCTTTGGAGATCAGCTTGCTGTGGGATATGGAAAGAAATAATTCAAGGTTGTTGTTGGCATTCACGGAGCAGCTGCAGATGGTAGAGCACTGGTTCTGTGGACGAGAAACAAGCACTGACTGGTGGGATCGCATCATTATGTAGGTATGGGATGACTAGCGGTGGCTGCTGCTCTTTCAGATGCACATGGCCACATTCCTGGAACTGTTTGCGGAGCTTGCTCCAGCACAGCAACACCAAAATGAAACTGCACTGACAGTGGAGAAGTAAGTGGCAATTGCTGTGTGGAAGCTTGCAAGGCCAGGTTGCTATCAATCAGTCGGGAATCAGTTTGGAGTTGGGAAATCCACTGTATGGGTTGCTGTGATGCAAGTGTGCAGGGCCATTAATGGAATCCTGCTACGAAGGACTGGGCAATGTGCAGGACATACTGGATGGTTTTGCTGCAATGGGGTTCCCAAACTACAGTGGGGTGATAGATGGCATGCATACCCCTATTTTGGCATCAGACCACCGTGCCACAGAGTACATCAATAGAAAGGGCTACTTTTCTATGGTATTGCAAGTGCTGGGTGATCACTGGGGACGTTTTACCTACGTCAATATGGGATGGCCAGGGAAGGTGCATGACGCACACATCTTTAAGAACGCAGGCCTGTTCAGAAAGCTGCAAGCAGGGGCTTTCTTTCCAGACCAGACTTCTCAACATTGGGGATGTTGAAATGTCAACAGTGATCCTGGGAGACCCAGCCTATCCATTACTGCCGTGACTCATGAAGCCATACATTGGCCACCTTGACAGCAGCAAGGAGTGCTTCAACCACAGGCTCAGCAGAGGCAGAATTACACTGGCACTGTCTACTCAGGAGATCAGCCCTCAGGGAAAAAAATAGCCCAATGGTTATAGCTGCCTGCTGTGTGCTTCATAATATCTGTGAGGCAAAGGGGGAATAGTTTTTGCCTGGGTAGAGGTGGAATGACTGTCTGCTGACTTTGAGCAGCCAGATACCAGGGCTATAAGAAGACCTCAATGGGGAGCTATAGGGCTCAGGGAGGCTTTGAAAGACCATTTTAATTGTGAGCCACAGTAATGTGTGTTGCGCCTGGCATTGTTTTTTTGCATCCTGGTATGAACCTTGTAATGAATGCTGTGTGTGTAGTAATATAACATTGCGAATGCACATATTGCTATTATCTGTGAATGATGTCAGCCCCAGCCAGCATATGTTGTGAACTAATAAAGATTAAGTGTCCATAAATAGACTTTTATTCCAAACCCATGCTAATAGACATATTTATAATTGAATGAAACTTTATAAATACAGAGAAAAGAACATTTGAAGGGGAAAGAACAGTCATTGTCATTTCACAAACACATATACCAATTGTGTCTCTCACAGGTCAGTGTATGTGCAGCAGCCCCAGATACCATGTGGGAATGAGGGGTGTAAGGAGGTCCTGGAATGTCGTTCTCTATGGGCTGCAGAGGGAGGAGAACACAGGTCTGTTGAACCTGAAGATCAACAAAAGTCTCCAGCATGTCTGTTTGACGCTTGAGAAGTGCTAGCATCTCCTGCTGCACATCCCTCTCCTTTTCCTGTTCTGTTCTGCAGGGCCCTCTCTGCCTAACTCTACAGGGGAATGAGAAGCAGATAATGAATAGAATTGCTATTTCACTACCTCTTCTAGCATGATTAAAAAGGAGTAAATGAACAGATATGTCCCTGCAATATCAAAGCAAACGACATACTTACCAGAGGTTCTTTCCCCTGCATCAGACTTGCCTGCGCTGGACTCAAAACACAGGTCCTGGCTTGCTGTGCTACTGAATCACTGGTCGCCTCTCCCCCATACTCCTCCTCCTGCTCTTCCTCATCCAACAACTCCTCCTCACTGTTCACTCTGGGGTCTGTGACTCTGACTCCTCTGAAGTATCCGCAGAGCTCTTGGGGGTGGTGGTGGTGTCTCCGCTGAGACATGCATGCAGCTCTTTGTAAAAGCAGCAAATCTGTGGCTCTGCACCAGAGTGACTGTCAGACACCATTGCCTTTTGTTACGCCTGCCGCAGCTCCTTGGCTTTCATGTGGCATTCCTGCGGGTCCCTTTTGTAGCCCTTTTCCCCCATGCCCCAAGCGATTTGCTCGTAGATATTGACTTTTCAGTAGCTGGATTGGAGCTGTGCCTGCACAGCCTCTTCTCACAGACTCAGGACACCCACCACCTCCTGTGTACACCAGGCTAGAGCAGCCTGCAGCATGTAGCCAGCACAGTCAGCTGGGCAGTTGCTAGGTGAGCTCTCCACACCAAGCAAGCAGGAAATGGAATCTCAATAATTCACAGTGATTTAGAGGACAGGGCATATACCTGTGTGTCTGGTAGGGATGTAAAATAGTAACCAGTTAACCAGTAAGCATTAGTGAGCAGCCCCAGCCACGCCGGCTGGCCGACAGGAGCAACCGGCAGTTAACTGGTTAAACGATATAATTTTAATTGTTGAAATGGTTAACTTTTTAAAACAATATTTACATCTCTGGTGCCTGGCCACCAGGCAGCAGAGTTCAAAACAGTGACCAGAGCAGTCATGGTGGGGCACTGTGGGTCATAACACAGTCTCTACACTGTGGGACATAAAGTTTAACATAAATAACACAGTGTTTACACTGACACTGAATTGATCTAACTACGTCAACCTAAGCGCTATGTCTCTTGCAGAGGTAATTATTAAGTCGGCATAGCGGGCGAGTTACATTGCTGGGAGCAACATTTTAGTGTAGAGGCTTACAGAGTTAGGGCAAGATAAGCCTTACAGTTCATAAACTCTGTCTTCACTAGGAATGGCAAACCCTTTCTAGTGTAGGAAAGGCCCGAGTAACTGTGGGGATGGCATGAAAGCCTGATTTTTTCACTGCCTTCCAAGTGCATCAATAGTCCAGGAACACACACTGAACATTGTTCATTTCTATTAAAACATATAAAAATTACAAATTACCATTCTGAGTCTTTTTCTGCTTTCCCTAGTGTAAACAATGAGGAGCCCTTGTGGCACCTTCGAATTTTTTGTTTGTGTTGTTTTGTTTCTAGTTTGTCACCTTGCTTTTACAGAAAAAGGAACTAATGATCTACTGTTAAATGGTACCTGGATTGCCAAAGATTTCTTGCCAAAAAAAAAAAAAGCAAAAATATCTTTAGAAAAAGATGGGCAGCAAGGATTGTCTGAAACAATTCTATAGTTTTCACTGGGAAAGAATTTTCCTTTAGCAATTGAAGGATTGAGTTTCAATCTACCTTCAGTTTTTGATTAAATACTTCTGATTTTGGCATGAATGTGGGGGAAATTCAGCATCCAGGACCTCATTAGGTGGGGACAATGAGTTTTGTTTAGAATTGCTGTTTATGTGGTGATGTAGTCTAAAGTACTTTAGGGCTCCTGGCCTTGAACGAAACAATTTTTTGCAATCAGATTACATTTGTGATTAGGACAAATTGACAGGCATCAATTGAATATTAAATTCATTGTCAGTCATGCTCCTTTATTCGGGAGCTTGAATCTGATGCAGTGGAGTGAATATTCCATTGCTCAATGGAGAGGCAAAAAACGACAGAGGTTTCTCTCTGGGCAAAGCATGGTAAACTGCTTCATGCATTGCACCCAATATTGAGATGTAAATTCTTTCATCTCTTCTACCAAGGATTTGAGCATTTTTCATCTTTGAAAAACTCATCAAGAAATAAAAGTGGAAATTCAGTTTAACCCAAAGGTACCTTTGGGGGTTGTAATGAAAGTGTTTGTGTAACTCTAAAAATACTTTTCCTATCAACAGTTGAAGTTTCTCTGAAATAAGGGGATACAAGTTGGACTGAATCTCTAAATAAGTAACTAAATTACTATGTTAAAATGAGGGCAAATGTGATAGAAGGAAGTTAGAAAGAGGTGTAATGATTACTGTAACTTTTTCCATTGCATGACCAGGCAGGGGTGCTGGAACAATTTGTATAGTGGGAGTGCTCAGAGCCATTGAACCAAACCGTAAACCCTGTTATATGATGGAAACCACTTCAAGCCAGGGGGTGGTGCACACCCCCAGCACCCCTAGTTCCAGCACCTATGTGACCAGGAAATCATCAAATCTGTCTGAAGATGTACCTATTATACTTTCAGTTATATGGCCTCTGTTCCCCTTTCACTGCTGCTCTACCAAATCTGCCCATAGATTTAATATTTATAATCTACATATTCTGCTTGTTTGCATCGATGGCAACTATAAAACTTTTTATTCTTTTTTATGAGTTGCAATACAGAAATTGTGTAATTGAGTTCCCCATTCATTGGCACTGGTGAAACACTTTCTTAAATATTTAATTTTAACAATTGAGGTAAGGGCATGCAAATTTCAGTATATTTTGTTAATATTAAGATTTACAAAATTTGCAAAGAGGCTTTATTCTAATTAAGTTTCATGACCAAACCTTTATATGTTATCAAATTTTGATATGTAGTAAGGTATTACTGGTAGCAATTTTCTTTAAAAATCATTTTACTTTAGTTTCTTTAAGTTAGTATTAACACTAGTTATTGGAAGACTGGATGACATGGTGTTTTACACCTCTGGCATTTTGTAGAGCAGTCAGAGATTGAAATAAATGTACAGAGCAAACTCTTCTCACCACTACAGGCTTTTTCTGAAGAACTAGATTGTCCCAGTAGTGTGGGGAAACTTGTGCTGCTTCACCATGGGTCATTTCTATTCTGTGGCTAAAGGAGGGACATTGTTCTTTGGGACTGACAATCCATCACTGCATTCTGACACATTTCAGGATGTGAGTTTGTGATGAATAAGATATCACAGATATATATAAAGTTTGCTGTGCTATAATTGATTGTACCATTATTCCTGTCTCCTGTGAGTACTTAGAGTGGGCAATACATTGTCCCTTTTTTGTTGAAAATATTGTGCTCTACATCTCTGAATCTCAAGGAAAAGAATCATTTTAGTCAAAAGTTTGTTCTTCAGACTTGCTGTTATCTACACACTTAAAGCACAAAAATGAATCTTTGTAACATTTAAACGTGTTTATAGCTACTTCATAAGTACACTTATTCTTGAGTTGTTACTTATGTTTCCAAATACTGAAAATAAGATGTTCAATATATTCTAATAGGATTAGAAAGTTTAATTTTAGTTTTTTTATTGTATTTCTTGAAAATATAAATACCTGTCAGAAAAACACGTAGGGTAAAATTTCCAAAAATGCCTAAATTCATTTTCAAAAGTGACTTAGGTACTTAGGGGTTCAAGCCTTAAAGTAAGTAAATGGGAATGAAACTCCTAAGTCACTTAGGCATTAAAAAACTATTCAGTGTTTGGTACAAAACAGCCATCCCTAATCATAAGATTTTTAATAAAGTGTTACTGTTAATTACTCTTAAGCTTATTTTTTTTACTTTGTACTGTTTAAAGTACAGCTTTTAGATTATAGAACTTTTTCACCCTTTTAAAAGTAAGACTCTTGCTTGGTAATGGAGCAGAAGTAAACATGGCTCATTTTTTTTATATTTACCATTCTTGATTATTTATATGCCAATATCAATAAAATCAGAATAGTTTTCAAATACAAAAGCATGTCAGGCCTCTGTCAACACTGACTACATTGTTGCTGTCCATAGTGGATTAACCAAATAGGTAGATTTAAAAATGTAGAGCATATGTCATCCCAGGCAACAATTTTAAAGGTGACCTACAAAGGACTTGTTTTTAAAATTGCCCTGTTCTCAGCCCATACGTGCTCCAAATTTAGCAAAGGCTTTTTCCTGATAGTTTTGTACTTTTATAAGTATATTTATACAATGTGGAACAGCATCAAACATCCATTGCATTGGGAAAATGAATTTTAAAAAGGAAATGGCAAACACATACTTTACTCAATGACCAGAAAAATTTGCTCATTCATACTCTTTTTTGGAAATATTTGAAGTGGTGGCAATAGAAAGCTGATGAAAATAATCTTGCTTCTCAGTTCCTTAGTACAGAGCTGTTGACAGTAGGTGAGATTTTAAATAATGTCTTGATCAGCTTTGAATTAAACTGGATATAATAAACAATTGATACAACTTTATCGCTAGCCACTTGAGCAATTAGATCGTTCAGAAATAGCTTCAAGTTTAACTAGAAGCAAGAAAATTATCTTTTCACTGAGAATTGAAATATCCCAGTTATAGATATTATGCCTTAATTAGTAGCACACTCATATCCTAACTTTAAAAAAAATCAGTGTGAGATTGACAGCTGTGGATACTGACAGCTTCTTTCTACAGAATAGTTGTCATGTATTTATGTACCAGATATGGACTAGAGTTGCCAGTTTTGGTTTGACATATTCCTGGAGGTTTCATCACATGACATAATCTTTAATTAAAGATTAACCTTTAATTCCTGGAGCCTTCAGGACAATCTGGGAGGGTTGGCAACCCTAATATGGACTGATCACAGAGTTTGCTTATACACATCACATGTGTTCATGATAAGATGCTTTAATGCTCTGCCAGACATGGCTGAGGTTCATTTAAATTAGGTATTTACTCATAACACCACCTAGTCGCTGAATAGTATAATACAGTTTAGCATTCCATTACACCTCCCCTTTTATGTTCTACATTCCTGCCATTTACAATGTGTACGCTATCATGCTGTCTTTGAAGTATGTATGTCTGCTAAGTGTCTGCTAAGTGTATGTCTGCTAAGTGAATCATGCTGGTTTTCTAATTACACGACCTGCATGCGTAACAACTTGTCATCTGGCTAGCCATTAGTTGCAACAACTGGCTGTGGTTGGTCCAGAATCCTTGAATCATCATTGTCTTGTTCTGCATCTGCCATCTGTAGAGTCTGCTTTGTTGATTGTTCTCTTTGAGGCGCATACTGTCAATGCCAGCTGTTTCTGTTGAACTCTCTACTGTTGGTCTTGATCAAATATGATCTGGATGCTGAATTATTTCTCTTTATGACAGCTAGAGTTGTCCATCCCTTTTCTCCATCCAATTAAATACGAACACAGTGACCAGGTTCTAGACCCAGCAGTTCTCTGAATGACATCTGTTGTAAAAGTGTTCATAAGCTCTTTTAGCCCTTGTATCCAGTTTGGCTACTCTCTTCAGGTCTGGCCACTTTGGAGATGGATTCTTTTCCAAAATTGGAACAGTAGTTCTGATTTTCAGTAGGGGTCAGAGGATTTTTCGGTCTGCATTGTGCTGTCCTTTCAATTTTTTGCCTTTCTGTTGAGACTTGAAGAAATCAAGCTAATCAGGTGCTAATTTTAAGATGTGGATTCTTGCCTATTAGAAACCAAATTATTCATTTCACACAGTCTTCCAAACTACTCTGGACTCTCCCAGCCTTTAATGGTCTGGGCTGAATTTGAATGAGCAGCCTCGACTAGCCTCTTTACTAGCCCTATGTGTCATCCAGTCCAGCTTGATTTTAAAAAAATAATTGATAACAAAAAAGGAGTATTGGCAAAATGATACGGAGTGTTATCTAAGTTACTATCTGGAAGGTATTTAAAATATTTTGTAACAAGCTGCTACCCATACAACCTGTATGAATACAAAAGAGGGCCAGCATAAAGTTTGTAGATTTGGGGGTTTATCATATTGCAAAAAATGTTCGTACTGAAGCCCAAGGTATTGCTTATAAATATGAGTAGCTGATAACTTGAAAAAGTACTGATCTGTGGTCTTGAAAGAGAAAAGGAATTAAAAGGCATCACAGAAGCTATTATTTGCATACTCCCCCAATGAAATAAATTAGATCTTTGGAAAATTGTGCACACCTTTGTTTAAAATGGAATTGAATGCCAAATGTCTAAAATAAACATTTAAGAACATAAAAATCCCATCTACATTAGTGAATTAAATTTCATGTTTAATAGGATTTCCATGTGAACATTTAGAGCATGTGTAGCCTGAAGATAACAAATTTCTGTTCAAGATATCTCTTTACAGAAATGTAGAAGATAATGTGAAGTGCCAAGCACCATCAATGCACAACTTTCTATGCCCCTGGTCCAAGGTCAGTTCATGAAGAAAGAATGTCAAACTGCATGGTCACTCAAATTGTATGACAAATTCAACAGATAATTGTCAGTGATAGAAAAGAAAGTTGTATTAATCGTAACACAAAAAAGGATATTTCATGTATTTTCAAAGGATTAGGCTCAAATGTAGAAAACACTTCATGATTTGATGAAGAAATGAAAAATATGGAGACAGAGGAATAGTTCTCTCAGTATATTGTGTCTTCAAGTAGTATAATTTTAAACTGCTGTATAAACTGCTGCAGGGTTTGACAAATTCACTTGCCCACTTATCAGTCACAAATAGGAAACATTCCCTGGCTCGTGAGGGTTACATTCAGCTTCTGCAGAATATAGGATTTCACTAAAAAACAAACAAACAGAAATTTCCAGCCCTTAGGGCATCTGCAAAGATAACTTTCTGAATATGAATTAAATTAACTGTAAACTAATAGAGTTGTATTCTGAAACTGAGGTGTTACCCTAATTCTGAAAGCAGCACACAACACGAGGCATTAAAGTGCTGCCGGAGTTGGTGGCAGAAGGAGTCCTTTACCCAAAACCATTCCCTGGCAGCAGACCTGCACTGTTGCTGCTACTCCAGCTCTGAAGACTAGAGTAGTGTTTTTGCTACTTGTTCTCCTGCTGAGGGCGAAAGAAGAGCTAGTTAATAGCCATAGTGGCAAATCTGACCCAAATCTGCACTGTGCAGAAGAATGCAGGGTATCCCCCTGGAGCTGGGCTCTGTAGTGCACAGGTTGTGGGCCTTCTCTTTACAAGTTCCTCAGATCCCACCTCCCATTCCTACACAGCGGAATGTCACTGATTTTGCCACAGGAGGTCCCTCCACTGCTGAATAGAAGGGGACAGAATTGTTTGCCTCTAAGCGTGTGAACTATTCCATTCAGATGAACGGGGTGTTAATGCTGAAACCTTGCTATTTCTGATTTAGTTTTACCCCTCAAATTGATATGCCTGGAACTTTAGGGTGAACTTAACTCAAACCTTTACATGCTGTTGACAAATAGGGTAAATCTTCTGTATTTAATGAATACTGAATGGATTGCCGGAGTTTAGGCTCAGTGAGATCTCATTCCTGCTTACTGAAAGAGAATTTATGGTTTAGGGGAAGACTGCTGAAAGGTATTTGGTCTAAGGCTCCATTTCATATCCATTTTTTGTACATGTTCATTCATGCAGGGGTTTGTGGAAGGAAATTCAGATTTAACTACAAAATATTACTAATATTACAGTGAACTACAACTGAATTTGTTAACACTATTGCTAGGATTTCCAGGATACAGTCTGCTATCTACAAGGCAAAAATAATTGTTGCTCTCTCCTGTTGGTGGCAACAATATTGTCCATAGCCTGTTGTTGAAAGAAAAAGATCCTCCATCACCGATATGTGTATTTTCCAAGGTTTATGTATTAACAATGGAAAAGCCTGTGTACTGTATCAGAGAAACAAAATTCAAAGGGATTACTGATAATAACAGTATGGCTGCCTGCCATAGAGTATACAGAGGTAGATGACTCTTAACCTGTCAAACCCCCTTATCTTTTCATGCTTTGTGTATCAATTTTATAGGACCATAAAAATTGCAGCACTGATCAGATCAGTGGCCTATTTAGTCCCATAGTCAAAACTGGCAAGTAACAACTGCACCAAAGGAAAATGAAAAAACGCTATTATGGGCTTAATCCTAGGGAGTTAGTGAATCTTAGGTCCTGAAGCATGAGTGTTGATAACATGTATATTTTTTCATCCTGGTTAGTGTAACTGAGGCCAGCATATTCATATGAACATCTAATCATCTTTTAAATCCTACTAATCTCTCCTCACTAATAGTTTGTCACAATGAGTGTTGCGTGTTAATTTTTGTATTAAAATATTTGTAATTGGTTTTAAGTATTACTTTAATTGCATTTATTGTCCCCTTGTGCTTCTATTATAAGATGGGGTATATAGGAGTATCTGAGTGACTTTTTCTGTATCAGAGGAACAGCCGTGTTAGTCTGTATTCGCAAAAAGAAAAGGAGTACTTGTGGCACCTTAGAGACTAACCAATTTATTTGAGCATGAGCTTTCGTGAGCTACAGCTCACTTCATCAGATGCATACCGTGGAAACTGCAGCAGACTTTATATACACACAGAGAATATGAAACAATACCTCCTCCCACCCCACTGTCCTGCTGGTAATAGCTCTGTATCATTCACTATTTTATTTACTTCTGTATGTTGGATAGATTCACCTCCTCTCTAAACTAAATAGTCTTAATCTTTTTAATCTCTCCTCATATGGAAATCTTTTCATGTCTTTAATCCTTTTTGTTGCCCTTCTTTGGACCCTTTCTGTTTCTGCAATATCCTTTTTAGATGGGTACCAATACGGAGCACAGAATTTCAGGTGAGGACAAGCCATGAATTTATGTAATGACATTATAATATTTTTAGGCTATATTAGGAAAGGAATAGAGAATAATACTGATATCTTACTTGGGTTTTTTTATTGTCTGTTTTTACTCCATTTACCTTGAGCAGGTCACAGTGATGCCTAGCTATTTTTCCTGAGTGGTTTCAGTCAATCTAGAACCTCATTGGTGTATATGAGCATTTACATTTTCTTCCATTATATATGTTCAGTTCCTTAACCACAAACCACATTACCCTCCCCTGCACAGTGCAGAGGCTGGCATAATAGAAACCAAACCAGCAGAGTTGAGGGTGAGAGGGAAGAATTGCTGCTCTACTTTCTTCCTGGCCCTTCCATGCTGGTATAGGGGTTTGTGGTTGGGAGGGATGGGGAAGAGCCAGAGCCAGGCAGCATTTACTTTCTGCTGCAAGTTCCCTTGAGTTTGGATGTGTTTCCAAGTTATTGCTAGGTTTTTTTCAAGTAGTAGTTCCCTTCCTCCCGCCCCCTCACAATAGCTGCAACTCCTACATTCCAAATGAGTTAATAAAGTAAACATTAGGGATGTAAAATGTTAACCAGTTAACCGGTAAGCATTAGTCTTACTGGTTAACCCAGCTTAACCGTTAATCCCCGAGCAGGCTGGCCCACCAACCCCAGCCGCGCCAGCCGGATCGGTCCCAGCCCCTCTCCCTTTAATCGGTTAACCATTTAAACAAAATATTTTTTAATTGTTTAAACTGTTAACTTTTTAAACGATATTTACATCTCTAGTAAACATGAGTTCTTAAATAACCAAGAAATACAGTAACAGTTTTAAAACTTGACCTTACCTGGTGTTAAGAGGAAAAATACACAATAGTCTTTCATTTTGCTCTGATTTGAAACAATTACACCCAAGGTTCAGTAGAGTAGGACATATACAACCATATTAGTGAATGTTTTATATGATGCTGTTCTAACCACGAGATGAAAGTATTCCTTTTGTCTGAATTCCTTCCACCTTACTCCACCGAAGCAAGAAGGCAAAAAAACCTGTCAGTCATCCCACCTATAAAGGATGCTGCAACTCCTTTCTGACTCAGTTTTTATGTTTGCGTCATGGGAGGATGAGACTTACATTGACTGGTGCCCATTTTGGGGAGGGTTTTGTAGTATGGTTAAAATGTGTTTGAAACCACACTATTATGAATAAATAGCTGTAGTTAGTTTAGTGGCATTATCTAGTTTAAAAAACACTCTCTGTAGGATTTTTCCAATTACCTGGGGCCTGGATGATTTGTAAAAATGGCACAAGAAAATTTTTTGGTTATGTCTCACTTTTTCCAGTTTCAGAGGAACAGCCGTGTTAGTCTGTATTCGCAAAAAGAAAAGGAGTACTTGTGGCACCTTAGAGACTAACCAATTTATTTGAGCATGAGCTTTCGTGAGCCAAGTGAGCTGTGGCTCACGAAAGCTCATGCTCAAATAAATTGGTTAGTCTCTAAGGTGCCACAAGTACTCCTTTACTTTTTCCAGTGTTACTCATAGATGGTGAGATAAGGATCCACTGTTTTTGGGCTTCAGATTTGGAAAGTATGATGGTGCTAACAAGAGTAATGAATAATAAAATCAGTGAATTTTATCAAGCTAACCCTAGGTGGCTTAACCTCCACCACCCTCACAGACAAAAAGGTGATTAGATGAGAAATAAATTTCTATATGTACATACCTGAATCTATATAATTAAATATCAAATTGTACCAATGTTCATGAAAATGAGTACATTGTATTTCACTATATGTGTACATTAAACATATTTCTTTTGTTGTGTAGGTGTATCAGAACCTTCTTTTATTGCTAAAAGTGAAGATTGTTTGTTTAAACACTTATTTCAAGACTATCAAAAATGGGTTCGCCCAGTCCAACACTTGAATGACACAATAAAAATAAAGTTTGGTCTTGCAATCTCTCAGTTAGTGGATGTGGTATGTATGATAAATAATTTTAAAACTAAAAACTGAGCAAAGCTTTTGGAATAGGGAAGTGCTTATGAAAAATAACTTGATATTCTATTGTTAAATAATTGTGCATATCATATATATATATATATATTTTCTTTATATAAAATAAATGAAACATTTTAAAAAGAGGCTTATATAGGTAAGGGTGCAATGAGGAGGGAAGCCCCAGAAAGAGAGAGCCTCAGAGAAGTGAAGATGAACGAAGAAAAATAGAGAATTGTCAGAGGCCACAGAGAGAATGATGAAAATAAGTGGTCCTTGGACATATTTTTGTTTTCTGTAAACTTTGTTAACTAAAGCTTTTAGTATTTGTAGAGTTATTGGGTTTTCTATTGTTTAAAATTAATTTCAATGAATAAATACAAAAATATATGTTTTCCAATTATAGCAATCTGTTCTGTTGTTGGTTCTATAAATATAAAATACAGGAAAGTTATTGCACAAAAAAAGAAGAAATAAAGATAATGTCCTTGAAAATGTCAGTTTCATAAAAGAGGAGATAATCTACTGGCATGGCATAGCTTAGAACATTAAAGATGTCAACTTGATTTTTTTAAATTTACTAATTTAAAAAATGTTTCCTAATTGAGCACCTTTTGAAAAGTATATTCTGAATTTAAACAGAAAAAAAAATCTGTAAAGATTTTTTCTGCTCCCTTAATGGTTTTAAAGAGTATTTTTAATTAGTCATTTCGTTCCTTGATGACTCTGCAGGGAAACAGTAGTACTATACATGAAATGCTGTAAAATATACAAAGTAAATCAATGTTGGATGTGAGGGGGAGGGGAATCACTTTTTCATTAACTTCTTTTGGTTACTGTAATCGTAGTTGGTGGCTGTAACAATAGTACTTAGAAAAAATAGACAAACGTGATTTTCAAATGGAGTCCTTCTCAATTAATATATTTGTATTGCAATTTATGAGCCTCCTTTGAACAAAACCACAGTTGGTTACCGTGAATAAGCAGTGTAAAATCATTGTTCCCATAAAAACATGCTGTTTAAATTTTTTATAGGATGAGAAAAATCAGTTGATGAAAACAAATGTTTGGCTGAAACAGGTATGTGCAAATGTCAACTGAAGAGTCCACTGAGTGACTAAAATGTAAAGTTATCAATTTATTAGGTGTTTGTGTATTTATAGGATCTTCATTTAAAAGCTATATTAATCTTTATTTTATATAGCATGTTTAATACAAAAGGCACATTACAATGCTTGAAAGAATTAAAAATTCAGTTAAATAATTAAAAAATAAATCTAAAAGCTCTCTCAAAAAACAAAATTTCTAATAAAAGTGACACATTTTAGATACATTTATTAAATGAAGCTACATATATTCAGACATATATTTTGAAATTCCTATAACAAAGCATCCTATTTTTAGTCAGAAACTGTCACAAACACAAGATAGTATAGCTTTGTATAATTGCTTTTAAAAAGTTATTTTAAAATTACACTGTTAAGATATTTTTTATCCTATTTTGATTAACAAAGCTCAGGACTTTTAATTTCATGGCCAGTAATCTATCTGGAGGTCGAGGAGGGGCTTGCTATAAACATCTAGTTGGTTTATTCTGCCCTACGTATAGGTATTAGCTCATAAGCAGGAAGTGCACTCAAGTTATAATAATCACAATCCAGAACTAAACTTTGATGCAGTTATTATCTTTAGACATATTTGTCACTGAGTTACCCTTAAATTGTTACAAAATGTTTCCTCCTTTCATCCCACTTACCATCTTCAGTCCTCTAACTCTTCCCTGCACCTTTATTGACTTTGAGAAAAGTTTAGGGCCCCTGCCCTACCTGCAGTGAACACACGGTTTACTAAATTATATTTGTAGAACTTTCTCAGTTTTCCTCATTCCCAAGTAACTGCCATGTATACTCAGTTGTTTTCAGTGTTGTTGCCGTTGTGTCCCAGGGTATGAGAGAGACAATGTAGATGCGGTAATATCTTTTATCATGTGTTTATAGGAATGGATAGATGTAAAATTAAGGTGGAACCCTGAAGACTATGCTGGAATAACATCTATTCGTGTCCCATCAGAGTCTATCTGGATTCCAGATATTGTGTTGTATGACAAGTAAGATTTTAATCTTATTCTAGAAAATAAATCTACCCCTGCCACGTTGACTGTCCACTCTACACATAGAATGAGGCATGGGTTCTGAAGATAAATAGTCTGTGATCACATAATTAGACTGTATTATAATACATGCACATAAGGTGTCAGAATTAAAAAAGCATGGACTGCCTTACCTTTGGCATTTCCAGACTTCTGAGTGCTTTGCTTTACAATTTTAATGTTTTTTGACATTGCCTTTTTCTATGGAATTTTCTAGGATTTTTTTTTAAATGGTTTAATTCCTTCATATGAAGTGGTTTGCTAGTCAGAAGAAGAACACTATCCTGCACAAACATGCATTCTTTTATGCTAGGGCCCCTGCAGAGTCCTACCTGAATGAGTGCACAGTTCTGAATACAAACTAATAGGCTGAGGCTGTCAATATACATCCTCATATATATATAATACTCAATATACAAAGATGTGAAATGAAATTTTACTCACCTTTCTTATAAATCTATGCGGAGAGGTAATAGAACTTGGAGAGACTGAATTTTGAATGAAAGTTTCTGCTCAACTTATATTTGCATACTCAGTGCCCGTAGAACACTGGTTGATTGTTTAGTAAAAACACCTATTGTTGTATTTATAAAACAAAAAAGTTTGGAAGTGCCAAGTGTATTGTTTGTTTTTTGCATGCATAATTAAGTTAAAGTAAAATTGATTTTCACCAGCCCACCAATATGCACATCTGTTAAGCAGGGACGATTCCTATCAAAAGTCAAGTTTTGACCCACTCTCCTGAGGCACTAGACCTGTTCAGAAAAGTTGCACAAATATTGTTATAATGGGAAAAATGTTTTTTCACGCTTTGCTTTTCCTCAGTCAGCTTAAATTAAAAAAAAAATAGAGTCCTGATCTGAGGACAAAAGTGCAAAATTTCCACTCAAAAGGTAAAAATCTGAGAGTGATAAGCATCTGAATGACACTTTGGAATGGTAACACTTAATAGGAAACCGTAACTAAAAGCATCTGGTTGTAATGTGTGTAATAACATAGCCAAATGTGCATATTTTTTCCTTTCAGTGCAGATGGTCGCTTTGAAGGAACATCTACAAAAACAGTAGTAAAATATGATGGGACCGTCGCTTGGACTCCCCCAGCAAACTACAAAAGTTCTTGTACCATAGATGTTACATTCTTTCCATTTGACCTTCAAAACTGCTCTATGAAATTTGGTTCCTGGACCTATGATGGCTCACAGGTTGATATTATTCTAGAAGATTATGATGTTGACAAGAGAGATTTCTTTGATAATGGAGAATGGGAAATAGTAACTGCAACAGGGAGCAAAGGGAAGAGAACTGATGGATGCTGCTGGTACCCATTTATTACATATTCATTTGTAATTAGACGGTTGCCTCTTTTTTACACACTGTTTCTCATTATTCCGTGTATAGGACTTTCATTTTTAACTGTCCTTGTCTTTTATCTCCCTTCAAATGAAGGTGAAAAAATTTCTCTCTGCACTTCAGTACTGGTGTCTTTGACTGTCTTTCTTCTTGTTATTGAAGAGATAATACCATCATCTTCTAAAGTTATACCACTTATTGGAGAGTACTTGGTGTTTACTATGATTTTTGTGACATTATCCATTGTGGTAACTGTCTTTGCTATTAATATTCATCATCGTTCCTCTTCTACTCACAATGCTATGGCACCTTGGGTCCGCAAGATATTTCTTCATAAACTTCCAAAGCTACTTTGCATGAGAAGTCATGTAGATAGATACTTTCCTCAGAAAGAAGAAACTAGCAATATCAGTGGATCAGAATCATCGAGGAACACCTTGGAAGCAGCTCTAGATTCTATCCGATACATTACAAGACATATCATGAAGGAGAATGATGTTCGCGAGGTGTGTGTAGTGGTGATGTTGCACTCATTTTTTCAGATTAGAAATTAGAATAGAAATCTAAACAATGGCTTAGAGTACCCGTCTCTGTTCTTATCTACTATAGCAATGACCAATTATTTCCTGAAGTAGCTAGAAATGCTAGCCTTGTTTCAAGATGTCCTGCTTCCGGGAAGCAATAAAAAGACCTTCCAGTAAACAAGTACATTTTTGGATAGACTCCATATGGGTAGTGTACACTTTCTGCAATGGTGATCAAAATCTGTCTCACTCCCTTTTACAGTTAAGCCTGTTGTGGTCTTTCTCAAAATATTTTCTTATAATTATAAATCCCATAGAGATGTTTGGTTAATTACAACTGTAGAGTGAATGAATATTCTAAATCTTATTTGCCTGTAGAGTGCTACTGGACTGTTTCATTATCACATTATTGTTGGGGAGTATGTATTCTTAATTTTAACACATGACAAGATATCTTTGTCATTTTAAATTTAATTGATTTTTATAATTTAAAAGAAAACCACATTAAAGCTGTCTTATGTGCAGTTCAGCAAAAATAGAACTAAACTTAATTTTACAGTCCTAAGTCCAAACCAGAACAATTCTTGTTATGAACTATAATAGTCCTTCTCTAAGTACTACCATAAATTATAGTAGGATTAAATTTAAGTGGTAACCAATGTGTATTTTGGATGAAAGTATGCTAAGGCAGAGCATTTTAAAAGATTTATTTTAATCAATATGTTTAAATCACCAAAAATACATTTCTTAATAGACAGTAATGACAGTAATGACATCAGTTGAATGAATCTTAAATGTGCTGTTTTAGTTTCCCCTTTTTCAAAAACTATTCTTTCTTCTATGACCTAAGAACCATTTTCAGGGCACTATTGACGTGTTTGGAAATGTGAGTGCATCCACTTTGCTGTCTGGCCACATGGGACAATCATGGAGTGTCTTCTGGCAGTGTGGGAGTCTACCAACATTTCTCCATCCAGGGGTGACCGGTTGGGAAAACTGGCCTGCTTGCCTCCTCTCCCATGTCTGGCCTTAGTTGCAAGCTGGCTTATTTGCTTCTGCCCCAGACATTTGCTCTTATGGGAGAGCTACGTGAATAGCTTGGTGCATATGCATTATTATTAATTATTTGTGTTACTGTAGTGCCTAGGAGATGTAGACATAGACCAGAGGCCCATTGTGCTAGGCGCTGTACTGGTATCTTCATGCATTTTATATATAGTATAGCTGTATGTACAGTATTTCCTATATGTATTATGGCTACAATATGGTTACTGTCAGAACCATAATGTTGTATTTTATGTGTCTGATTCTTCTCTCACTTTCACTGGTGTAAATTTGTTGATTTAGATTTACACTAGAATAAGTGAATGGAGAATTATTTTTCAACTGTGATGTTGCACCAACATATGTTTTTTGCATTGAACTACAAGTGAAGGGGTATTTGTAAGGAAAATATGTGCAGGTGTATTTATGCATCCAGCAACCACACATTCAAATAACTGCATACCTGAATGTGTGCTAGGGGTACAACAGTTGCTCTGGGTCAATTTCCTTTTTATCACCTGCATTCTTTGCCATACTGTGCAATATCTTGATTTTAAATATATATTTATAAATACAGTCTATATAGTGTGAGGGAAAACACTAATAAGAGAGAAAAATCATAATCTAAGGTCTTCATCCTACAATGAGCTTCCCCTAGGTAGGCCCCAGCACCTGCAGGATCAGGGTCTTGGTCTAGTAGCTGGATCACTTGTAAATATTTTACTTATCTTTCAATAAGTGAAGAAAAAACAGAACTAATTTGATTTCTCATTGTGGGTCCAATCCTGTTAACAGTTGCTACAAGTGGAATTTTTGCTACTGTGAATATTGCTATTGAAGTATGCTAGTAAGTGCTACGGTCATACAAATAATAAATAGTAATAAGGCCCAAACCTGAAAACAGTTACTACCTTAGGAAAACACTTCTTCACTGTGGCCAACAGTATCATACCTCTTCAATTTTAAAGATATACATAATGTGTTTAATTTTAATAAAGTATAACAATATAGGAATAATATAGAAATATTAGATTTCACATCTGTCTTCTTTGATTTACCTTAATATAAGGCAATATAAATTTAAATTTTTGGTCTTGCCTTTGAAATTGGACCAGGCGCCAAAAGTTTGTTCAGTTTAGGGTTGTGTGGTGAAGATGACTTGCACAAAGAAATTACAAACATCAGATATGAAAGAAACCAATTTCTGTATAACACCCATACTGAGAGATTTCTGATAATTTCTCAGCTTGAACTATTGGCTAATTGTCCAAAACTTCCAGATTAACCATACTGGACTTTCTCTTTCTCTTTGATATAGCTAGAGAATAATGACAATGTCTTCTGGGAGATAATTTCCATTACTTGTTGGCAAAACTGCTGTTTAAAAATCATGCGGATTAATTTAGTGCTCATCAAAAAAACCTGAGGTATACAAGTTCACACAACTCTGCAAAATGTACCTCTCTCCTAAACTGCAAAACCCATTCTATTCCAGTTATAATCTTCTTGAGAAATGGCTACTGTGGTAGTTTAGTGACATGGACAAATGTCCATTTAAGGCAGGAGTGAAAGTAATAATAAATTATTAACGGTACGGAGGCGGCTCCAGCCCCTGGAAGGGGCGGGGCCTCAGGCAGAAGGGGCGGGGCTGGGAGGGTCAGCCTCCCCCAGCCAGCACATCTGCGCTGCCTGGCCTCTGCCGCCCTGGGCTCCGGCGGTGATTTAAAAGGGCCCGGGGCTCCATCCACTGCTGAGGTAGTGGCAGCAGCAGCCGGGAGCCCCAAGCCCTTTTAAATCACCGACCCTGGGGAAGCTGCCCATTTGCCCCGCCCCCTTCGGCAGCCGGGGGGGGGGGCAAAAGGGGCAATGACATTAAAGCATTGTTGCCCCTTTTGCCTCCCCAGTCGGCAGCCCTGCCGGTAGGGTCCCTACCGGCAGGGCTGCCAATGCGGGGGCAGGGGGGAGGGATAGTAACGTTAAAGCGCTGCCTCAGCAGCTCCTTAAAGCTCTGACGAGGTAAAGGACCCTCCTTAAAGTGCTGCCGCAGCAGCGCTTTAATGTTGCTGCCCCTTCCCCATTGGCGGTCCTGCCGGTGTGGACCCTTCTGGTAGGGCCGCCGATGGGGGAGGCAAAAGGGGCAGGGATGTTAAAGCGCTGCCGCAGCAGCACTTTAACATGGACTGCATACGGGCCGGTACCGGCTTCTTACCCGTATGCTGTACCGGCCAGTACCCGCTCACTTTCACCCCTGATTTAAGGCCTCTGCTATTAGACCATCAAACTCATTTCTCATGTATCCTGAACTGGAACTCAAACCTAGATCTCAAGAGATGCATTACCCCTTTGCACCTCTAGATCTTAGTTTTTGTTTCTTCCTCCCAGTAGGAATTGCTTGGACCATGGATTTCCACTCAAATATAAGGGTGGAGTATTCTTCTGGATATCACAGACTAAATGGAAAGTCTTATTTGCTGAGTTATGTTTAGATAGATGGTTGAAGAGTTGATCAAACACAATTCTCTCACTCTTTGGTTTCAGCCCCAAAAAACATTATCTACTAAATGCAAAAACAATTGGCTGATTTAGTTTAAAAAGAGTACAAAATCAAGGCAAAATTATGCTTTTATGGAACTTTGGGGAAAATAGTATTAATTTTTCTAAAATGAAATGCTATCAAAACAATTAAAAATACTATTACTCATCAAAATGTTCACTGTTGTTGCTGAGTCACTCTAAAGTAATAGGTTTCAGAGTAGCAGCCATGTTAGTCTGTATCCGCAAAAAGAACAGGAGTACTTGTGGCACCTTAGAGACTAACTCTAATAAATTTGTTAGTCTGTAAGGTGCCACAAGTACTCCTGTTCTTTCTAAAGTAATAAGGTACTTCAAAAAGACTCTGTAGTCAGCAGATGTTAAAGTTGTTTTAAAAAGGACATCTTTTATTGAATGGTCATTGATAACTATCACATAATTATGTAGGAATAGCCTTTAATTTACCAAACTAACTTATTTCCATGTATCAAATATTAGTATAGCATTCTTAAGTTTGTTTCCATGCTTGGATAACGTCTTACTACAGGGGAACACAGAAAAAGACACTATTACTAACCATGGTAAAAAAAATGTCTTCATTTTTATATTGAAAATTTCCAACCCTGGGTGTCGAATTCTGAGCCTGTCTGATGTAGTTATCTGGCTCTTTTCTGAAGAATGCTTTTATTTAATTTTTTTTTTTTTTTTTTTTTTTTGGCCCTTATGGTTGCAAAGAAAACCTTACCTAATGGGAATTTATGTTACATTGCCTTTTTCCAAACCTGTAGGTCTACTGCCACAGGTAATTTTAATGACATGTCAACTCTGAAATCTAATAACCACACTTGAAAATGTTTAGTTGTGTGCTTAATTTGCGGGTACCACTACAGCACTTGTGTGCGCAAAATTGATAGACTGCATGTACAAATAACCTCATTAAAAATGGCAAAGAAATGGTAGTCCTGAAAATGCCTTGCACATTTTTTCCCTGATGTGATACTCAATGCAACAATAACTTTACTTACATGTAGGTATAGCTACTACAGAAGAGCCATATTCTACCCTGAATATTCGTACAAGCCTCTGACTGATCTCTGGGAATTGTGCTATAGATTGAAGTTAGCATATTGCCCAAAGGGTCCAGTCCTCTGAGGTGTTGAATACTTTAATCTCCCGGGAAGTTGAAAGTGTTCAGCACCTTGCAGGGTCAGGCCCTGATTCTTTGGCTGTAACTAAAGTATTTTGCCCTCTTCCCAAAATGAGTTTGACACCCTTGCTCTAACTCAAAGTGTAACAATAGAAAGATCTTGAATGTTTATGGAACAGGCATAATAGAAAAATTTATACTATGGGCTTGCTTCTTCAGTCCTTATCCCATTGACATCACAATGTCAATAGGACTTCTGCCTGAATCAGGACTGTAGGATTTGGCCCTGTACTTGTAAATGTTCTAGAATATTGAGTAATTCTTGGGTTTTTTTTTTTGTTTTTTAGGTTGTTGAAGACTGGAAATTTATAGCTCAGGTGCTTGATCGAATGTTTTTATGGACTTTTCTTCTGGCTTCAATAATTGGATCACTTGGGTTGTTTATTCCTGTTATTTATAAATGGGCAAATATAATAGTACCAGTCCACATTGGAAACACACACACATAAAATATTTGTGGGGTACCATTTCTGCTATGAACATGATTCTTAAAAGATACATGGTAGTTCTATGTTCGTGCAAATAGTGTGTATGGCACATTTTTAATAGAATTATAAACTTAGTATAAGGAATCATGCCTATATTTAAGCATGGCATTTTAGGACATGTGCAATACCTACTGCTTAGCTGTTAGCCTACTAATTCATTTTTAAATCTGGACAAAATCAAACACACCTTTTCAAACACTTGCATGTATTGTATTCCCCCCAATCCCCAAAATACAGTACATAGATAACTGCTGAGAACTAGAGGGATTTAAAAAACTTTTTAGATGCTAATTGTTTTAGAATTGGCAAAACACTATATAAACTATACACTGTACTACTGAATGTTAAAAGTGTGAAGATGTTTATGTATTAGAGCATTGTGGTTGGTTACTTAACTTACTATAATGAGCAGAAGAGGATTTTAAGAGGCTAAGTTCTTTTGAGTGTTCTGAAAATTTGAGTTTTTAGAGTAAATTACAAATATTAACCATCTATTCTAATACACTTGGTGTAATATGTAAATTAAAATAATCTATGGTTCTATATTTGTCTTTATTCATACATTTTCAATGAAAAATACTATTAACTTTAAAGACATAGCTCAATTATCAGTTTAAGTTTGGAATTAATACTATTTTGCGCGTCTGTAATTTACCAGATATAAACCTTGCAACAGGTATATAGTATTGTTTCAGATAGGGAAAAAGAGGCAAAGAATTAAATGACTTGTCCAAAGTTGCACATGAGTTCTGAAATAATTCTGATTCCTAGTCCTGTGCTATAACCACAAGACTATACTTCCTCTCTAACATCCTTTGTTTTTCAAAATGACGTTTGTAAACACTTATACAAAACAAGAATTTGAGTCCTGGTTTCTAAAGAAAACTTGCTGAAAGCTGTGTATGCCTTTTTAATTCAGGTTTCACACATTTAATATCCACATTCTTAATAAAATAGTCTCCCTAGATTCTCTTCACTTTTGGACTCACGCATAAATCTGAATTATAAGAATTAAGCTTAGTTGGTATTGGCAACTAAATATATTTGCATAATAAAACAGCTTTTTTAGTTTTTTAATTTTTTAAAATAAAACTCTATTTATTGGACATCTATTCAATGTACAGCCATCTGGTCTGAAGCAAAGTTCTGTCTCTGGATTTAATTTTTTTTTAATGTAATTCATAGATTCCAAAGCCAGAAGGGGCCATTGTGATAGTGTAATCCTGTGGTGGGCAACCTGTGGGCAGCAGGCTGCATGCGGCCCATCAGGGTAATCCACTGGCGGACTGCAAGACAGTTTGTTTACATTGACTGTCCACAGGCACAGCCAGCCGCGGCTCCCAGTGGCTGCGGTTCGCCGTTCCTGGCCAATGGGAGCTGCGGGAAGCGGCACGGGCCACAGGGACATGCTGGCTGTCGCTTCCCTCAGCTCACATTGGCCAGGAACGGCAAACCGTGGTCACTGGAAATTGCAGGCCTCCGTGCCTGCGGATGGTCAACATCAGCAAAATGTCTCACGGCCCACCAGTGGATTACCCTGACGGGCGCCCACAAGCCTCAGGTTGCCCACCACTGGACTAATTTGACTTCCTGTATAACATTGGCCATATAATTTTCCCCAGAATGATACCTAGAGCATATCTTGAAAGAAGTCATCTGATATTGATTTAAAAATTTCCAGTGATGGAAATTTACCATGATCCTTTGTAAATTATTTCACTGATTAATTACCTTCACTGTTTAAAGAAAAGGAGTACTTGTGGCACCTTAGAGACTAACCAATTTATTTGAGCATGAGCTTTCGTGAGCCACAGCTCACTCACGAAAGCTCATGCTCAAATAAATTGGTTAGTCTCTAAGGTGCCACAAGTACTCTTTTTCTTTTTGCGAATACAGACTAACACGGCTGTTCCTCTGAAACCTTCACTGTTTACAAATTTATGCCTTATTTCCAGTCTGAATTTGGCTAGCTTCAACTTCCAGCCATTGGATGTGTTACACTTCTCTGCTAGATTGAAGAGCTTGTTATCAGATATTTGTTCCCTATGCAGGTGTTTCTAGTCTGTAATCAAGTCACCCCTTAACCTTCTCTTTGAGCTAAGTAGATTGAGCTCCTTGAGTCTGTCTCTGTAAGGCATGCTTTCTAATACTTCAATCGTTCTCATGGTTCTTTTCTGAACACGCTCCAATTTTTCAACATGCTTCTTGAATTGTGGACGCTAGAACTGGACACAGTATTCCAACAGCTGTCACAGCAGTGCCAAATGTTAAGTGCTGAGAAATGCACTATAAGGTGGGTAGAAAGCTGGCTAGATTGTCGGGCTCAACGGGTAGTTATCAATGGCTCCATGTCTAGTTGGCAGCCGGTATCAAGTGGAGTGCCCCAAGGGTCAGTCCTGGGGCCGGTTTTGTTCAATATCTTCATAAATGATCTGGAGGATGGTGTGGATTGCACTCTCAGCAAATTTGCGGATGATACTAAACTGGGAGGAGTGGTAGATACGCTGGAGGGGAGGGATAGGATACAGAAGGACCTAGACAAATTGGAGGATTGGGCCAAAAGAAATCTGATGAGGTTCAATAAGGATAAGTGCAGGGTCCTGCACTTAGGACGGAAGAACCCAATGCACCGCTACAGACTAGGGACCGAATGGCTAGGCAGCAGTTCTGCGGAAAGGACCTAGGGGTGACAGTGGACGAGAAGCTGGATATGAGTCAGCAGTGTGCCCTTGTTGCCAAGAAGGCCAATGGCATTTTGGGATGTATAAGTAGGGGCATAGCGAGCAGATCGAGGGACGTGATCGTTCCCCTCTATTCGACATTGGTGAGGCCTCATCTGGAGTACTGTGTCCAGTTTTGGGCCCCACACTTCAAGAAGGATGTGGATAAACTGGAGAGAGTCCAGCGAAGGGCAACAAAAATGATTAGGGGTCTGGAACACATGAGTTATGAGGAGAGGCTGAGGGAGCTGGGATTGTTTAGCCTGCAGAAGAGAAGAATGAGGGGGGATTTGATAGCTGCTTTCAACTACCTGAAAGGGGGTTCCAAAGAGGATGGCTCTAGACTGTTCTCAATGGTATCAGATGACAGAACGAGGAGTAATGGTCTCAAGTTGCAGTGGGGGAGGTTTAGATTGGATATTAGGAAAAACTTTTTCACTAAGAGGGTGGTGAAACACTGGAATGCGTTACCTAGGGAGGTGGTAGAATCTCCTTCCTTAGAGGTTTTTAAGGTCAGGCTTGACAAAGCCCTGGCTGGGATGATTTAACTGGGAATTGGTCCTGCTTCGAGCAGGGGGTTGGACTAGATGACCTTCTGGGGTCCCTTCCAACCCTGATATTCTATGATTCTATGATTCTATGTTGCTGCTCCAACAGTGTTGTTACTGGTCTTGGAGCTCTGATGTCAGCTGCATTAGCAGACACTGAAACATGTTAATTCAGCAGACCTTGATGTTATTCATAAGAACGACCACCGGTTTGGTTCAGTGGTGAAGGCACGCGGCTGACAAAGCACGGTACTAGGGTCCCATAGGAGCTACAGGTACACTAATACATGTATGCCTGCAACAGTGGTACCAGCTCAGTCAGCGCACCAGGACACTGCCCCCTAGGCCGGTCAAAGATGCCTCTCCTATGACTTCTTATATACACTGATACAAACAAGTTACGTATTACACTCCATATGTTGTTAGTTACCAGCCCTACACCTTGTACTTGCTAGTTCAAACAAAACACCATTATCCTGTCATCCAATCCTTATCTTACGAGGGGTTGGTGTGTTCCTGTGCCACCTCTTAAGAATGTGTTTATGTAGTTACTTGAGAACTCTGGACATCCTGCACCATCCTCTCAGGTCAGGAATGTGGTTACTTGGTGTTAGCTAATACGTAGGGTGTTGTTATTTTGTCAAGGCCAGGCCTACTCTGGTTCACAGCCTTTGGTTCACACTGTTAGTTATGCCTAGGGCTCTAGCAAGGCCTACACAAAACACAGTAAAATAACCTCTCTACTGTAGGTGATTCATGTGGGGCGGGGGGAAGGGGATGAGTGGGGGAGCGGAAGGGGCAGGGCCACAGCCGGAAGAGAAGGGGTGGGACCAGAGCCTCTTCCTGCCACGCTGCCTAGTGCATCGCAAGTATCAGAGGTAGCCGTGTTAGTCTGTATCCACAAAAACAACAGCGGAGTCTGGTGGCACCTTAAAGACTAACAGATTTATTTGGGCATAAGCTTTCATGGGTAAAAACCCCACTTCCTCAGATGCATGGAGTGAAAATTACAGATACAGGCATAAATATATATTGGCATATGAAGAGAAGAGAGTTACTTTGCAAGTGGAGAACCAATGCTGAAGGCCAATTCAGTCAGGGTGGCTGTGGTCCACTCCCAATAATTGATGAAGAGGTGTCAATACAGACTTCAAAGAGAAACTGCAGAGCTACAATTCATTTGCAAACTTAACACCAATAATTTGGGCTTGAATAGGGACTGGGAGTGGCTGGCTCACTACAAAAGCAATTTTCTCTCTCTTGGTATTGACACCATCCCTCCCCAGCCAGACTCTCACTGCTGGACACAGAACATGCCAAGGTTGGAGGGTGGGGGGTGGGGAAGGACGCTCCAACTCGCTCAGCCGCTGTCCCAGAAGCCAAGCCCGGGAGGCAGCCCACCACCGCTGCCACCAGGTGCTCTCCCAGACAGCTGCTGCGCTGCCCTGGGCAGCATCCAGGAGTGGTTCAGTCCCACTCCCTGCCTGTGTCTGGCTGCCAAGGAGAGCAGCTGAACAGCCAGGAGAGGAGAGGTCATGTGTCCTCCCTTTTAGCTGGTATCCCCCCAGTATGGAGGGCACCCGTCATCTACTTGAGCTTCCCCTGTTTATGCCTCCACTGATCAGATTAGCCTTTTTGGCCACAGCGTCTCACTGGGAGCTCATGTTCAGCAGATTATCCATCCTCCTTCCCCCAAATCTTCTTCAGAGATCCTGCTTCCCAGGGTAGAGTTCCCCATCATGTAAGTGTGGCCTGCATTCTTTGTTCCTAGATGTATACATTTACATTGAGCCATATTAAAATGTATATTGTTCCCACGTACCCAGCTTTTATCAAGTGATCCAGATAACTCTGCATCAATGACTTGTCCTTTACACTATTTACCACTCCTCCAATTTTTGTCTTTTGCAAACGTTCAGTGATGATTTTATGTTTTATTCCAGGTTATTGATAAAAATGTTAAATAGCGTAGGGACAAGAACAGATCTGTGCAGTATGCCAGTAGAAACACACCTTCTCAATGATTCCCTGTTTACAACTACATCTAGAGACCTATTAGTTAGCCAGTTTTAAATCCTTTTAATGTGTGCCATGTTAGTTTTATATAGATCAAGTTTTGTAATCATAATGTTGTGTGATTCCAAGACAAACATCTTACAAAAGTCTAAGTCTATTACTTCAACACTATTACCTTTATCAACTGAACGTGTAATTTCATCCAAAAAATATCAAGTTGTTTGACAGGATCTATTTTCCATAAACCCAGGATGGTTGATATTAATTATATTATCCTCTTTTAATTCTATATTAATAGACTCCTGAATCAGCTGCTCCATTATTCTGTGCGGGATCATTTTCAGACTGAAAAGTATATAATTACTGGGGTCATCCAATCTATCCTTTTTAAATACTGGCACAACTTTAGCTTTCTTCCAGTCTTCTGGAGTTTTCCTGAAGTTTCAAGACTTATTAAAAATCAGTATTAATGGTCCATCTAGTTCTTTAAAAACTTTTAGATGCAAGTTTTCTAGACCTGCTGATTTAAAAATGTCTAACTTTAGTAGCTGCTGTTTAACATCCTCCTGTAATACTAGTGGAATGGAAAGAGTGTTCTCATATGATATGACTATATCATTTGTTTTTTTCCCAAATATAAAACAGAAATGTTTATTGAACTCTTCTGCCTTTTCTGCGTTATTAATAATGATTCTACCATTTCCATCTAGTAATCGACCAATATCATTGTCAGGATTCTTTTTGTAAACAAAACTGTTGTCCTCAACTCTGCTGTCCATGGATTGCTCCTTGTGTCCCTTTGCTTCCCTTATCAATCTTTCTACAATTCCTAGCTTTTGATTTATATTCATTACTGTTAACTTCCCCTTTCTTCCATTTGTTATATATTATTTTTGTATAGCTCCCTTCACTTCCCCTCTCAATTTCAAGTCAGTTTTTAGCCAGTATGTTCTTCTTCCTCGATTGTGGAATTGTGGCTTTTTGGGCATCTAGTAAAGTGTCCTTAAATGATTCCCAATTATCATTCATATTTTTCTGATTAAATTCATCCAGCTGATTTGGCTCATAATTGTTTTCAGCTTTGTGAAATTGCCCCTTTAAAGCACCAAGTATAAATATTACTGGTCTGGACTTTAATGTGTTTGCACATTATGAGTGTGATCATGTTCTATGATCACTTCCTCTTTATCAGTCAAGATGCTGTCTAATATAGAATTCCCCCGTGGTGGATGCAACACTTCTTGAGTTAGAAAATTATTAGCTATAATATTTAGAAACCCCAAGGATGTTTGAGTACCAGCAGCATGAGATTTCCAGCATTTGTCACTCAAACTGAAGTCCACCATGATCATGCAGCTTTTCCCTCTGCACATTAAAAATAGGTGCAAAAGGAGATGGTAATCCTGTTCCCTCATGTGATTGGGTGGTCTGTAGCAGACACCAACTAATACTCCATCTTGTGCTTTATCTCTTAGGACATTGATCCTTAAGCATTCAAAATCATTTTTCTTCTGAATTATCAATGACTTGGAAACAAAGTAATGCCACTTTTGAGAAAGAGTGCCACTACCTTTCTTCTTTTGCTCACTCAGTTCTTTGTAAGAGGTTATAACCATTGATTGTCACATTCCAATCTTACAACCCTCCCATCAGGTTTCAGTAACACCAGCTGGATTGAATTTATGCTCATATTGTGCCCTGGAATCTAAGGTCTCCCTGACTATTCTACACTGCTGTTTTTAACATGAGTATGTCAGACTATAGCAGCACCCCCACATCAAGTTTAATTCAGTAACCAAACAAGAACATTTTAGAGAATATCTTTATTTAATACTTGTTTTAAAAGCTAGAAAAAATATTGATTTTGCTATTTAGCTACTGTCATAAATATAAAGGGAAGGGTAAACACCTTTAAAATCCCTCCTGGCCAGAGGAAAAACCCTTTCACCTGTAAAGGGTTAAGAAGCTAGGATAACCTTGCTGGCACCTGACCAAAATGACCAATGAGGAGACAAGATACTTTCAAAGCTGGAGGGGGGAGAAACAAAGGTTTGCTCTGTCTGTGTGTTGTTTTACCAGGAACAGAGTCTTAGAACTTAGTAAATAATCCCTAGCTAGATATGCCTTAGATTCTGTTTTGTTTAAATAGCTGATAAAATAAGCTGTGCTGAATGGAATGTAGATTCCTGTTTTTGTGTCTTTCTGTAACTTAAGGTTTTGCTTAGAGGGATTCTCTATGTTTTGAATCTGATTACCCTGTAAGGTATTTACCATCCTGATTTTACAGAGGTGATTCTCTTATTTTTTCTTCAATTAAAATTCTTATTTTAAGAACCTGATTGCTTTTTCATTGTTAAGATCCAAGGGTTTGGGTCTGTGTTCACTTATGCAAATTGATGAGGCTTTTTATCAAGCCTTCCCCAGGAAAGGGGGTGTAGGGTTTGGGGAGGATTTTGGGGGGAAAGACGTTTCCAAGCGGGCTCTTTCCCTGTTATATATTGGTTAGATGCTTGGTGGTGGCAGCAATAAAGTCCAAGGGCAAAAGGTAAAATAGTTTGTACCTTGGGGAAGTTTTAATCTAAGCTGGTAAAAATAAGTTTAGGGGATTTTAATGCAGGTCCCCACATCTGTACCCTAGAGTTCAGAGTGGGGAAGGAACCTTGATAGCTACTGTGAAGAGTTTCATGTAAATTGCAGAGAGGTGTTTCTTTTGTGAAAATTACAACATTCTGTCCTTTGATGTTAATGGTATATGGTAGTGGCTGCAGTGTTGGGGAATTAGATATTTCTCTTTTTGTTTCTATTTGGATCTGGTGTCATGCTGACTTTCATACTGGTTGGAATTACTTCATATTTAGTATTTATAAAAGTTATTTTGTGAACATTTTCAATATAGTTGCTTGTTACTTCACAACACATTTAATCTGTGAAGTAACTTTCTAGGTTGTACAGAGTATATAATTACACTCACAAACAGGAGAAAAAAATGCACATTGCCAGCCTTCAATTTACAGGTACATGTGATTGAAAAGATTCTAACTTATCTCCTTTGTGTATATAGTTATATGTAATCAGACATTAACTTGTCTTACTTTGTTGTTACAGTTCATTTCAAAAGTAGACGTCTAATAAGGTATCTGATTTGACCTGTGGTATGACTCAACTTTTATCTTTCCTAGTATTAAGGTGCTTCAGCACCCTAGTCCATTGCCTGTGAGTGGTGACACAGAACATGTTTTGGATCTCCTCTCACATTCATGTTTTCTTCATTGCTTCTGCTTACAGTTGCAGTGCGCACATTGTTTAGTTACTGTAGTCACGTTGTATGAAAATGAGAGCAACAGTATGGACTGGATACCTGGTTCTAACCTTCTTGCTGCTAATGTTTATTTCCCCTCTTGCTTCAATACAAAAATGAAAATTATGCTGTATTTACAGTTGAGCTGATTGTCAGGTTCTAATACAACAGGGCCCCAATCCTGATTTAAGTAACATTTTTTGTAAAATGGAGAAAAGCTTTCAGTCACTTCCATAATTTTTATGTATTACATAAAGACAAAATCGCTCACACCACAATTATTGGGCTCTACAGTTCATCCTCAAATTGCTGCTCTAAGCATTTTAAAACCAAATAATTTCTAATAGATCCCCCTACTCCTGGGTCTGTGCTTCTGTGAATTACTGGGGGTCTGAGTGCACCAAACAGTAGTTAATGTTACTCTACACAGAGTGTCATGCAACCAGAATAACAAATATGTTTTGAAACTACATAATTCTGTTTATTTTTTCAAAAATTTTATATAACTACTTCCACATTTCCATGAAATTTCCAATTTGCACAGAGAGAACAATTCACATTTTTACCAAGTGCCTTCCCCGACCCTTTTAGTGTACTATATTTATATTCATGCTCCTGTTTAAGTATCTCTACGGTTACTGGTAAAAACATATGGGATGTATGTATGAGAAGCAGTTCTACTACACTTTACAGGAAAATTTTATATCTACCTACCTTTTATTTAAGTACTTGTCTATAGCACGTGAAACAAAATTATCCTGTAATATCTTAATTCCTTCATGTGAGCTGTGTGTGTGCACGCGCGCGTGTAATGATATTATTAGGTCTGAATAACTTGACATTTTGCTAGCGATTTTGTTCTGTTTCCAAAATGGGAGGTGAGCAGAATCATGCAATGGCCACTTTGCTACCTTAACATAATATCCAGCTATAAATGAGTTCCCCTTGTTCTAAAGTAACTTACCCGCTACTTGTTCCCCTCAAAACCCGGCATAATAATGGGTACATCATATACCAACAAGTTGCATATTAGTACAGCAATTCAAGAGCTACAGTTTCTAAATGGCTATATACTGGAGTGGCTTTATGGCACTAGTTGTGATCTTGCTCCCAGAAGAATTGTACTGAAGCATGTCGCATCCTGGAGGATATAGCACTGGACATGAGTGTTGGAAGTAGGTCAGGTAACCTAAATTCTTCAGCCTTTTGACAGTCCTCTAAACATTCCTGTGGAAATGCTGTGATTTCCAATTTCTGTTGGACATGTCTATATCATAAATACTTTTTAACATTCACTTCTGTGAATTTTTATACACTACCTTCCTTTTCCCCAGCTCTTGTAATATCTGTCTGGAGAATATTACCTTCAGATTGGCTGTCATTACATTTTAAAATCAGTTAAAGCTTTTCACATTTATAATGAAGCTTTGCTGGGTGAAGCTTAATGAGTCTACAGACATCTTTTATCCTACTCATAAAGCAGTATATACAGAAGCAGCTAAAGTAACAAAAAAGAGCATAAAATGTTTGGTCAGCAAACAACTTTCTTTTACAACAGAGTATTTTGAATTCCTACATTTCATCTCCAGCCATCAATGGTTGTAAAAACAATCCTGCTGTTCCTAGAATACATACCAGAATAAAAACCCACAGAAAAATGCGATCAATTACCATGGCAACATACTTCCAATCATCCTGAATCTGAAAAATATAAACACAGACAAATAAGACAGGAAGCAGGCATGTTCTGATAAAGGTAAAGTTTACTAATCATTAAATTGGTTGGTAATATCAGAACTCCTTTCTGTGTTCGGCAAAAATGTACATGGGAGCTCCTCCATGTACAGAATGTTTCCTCTTTCATAAGACCACAACTTCGAACCTGGCTTTTGAGGCAGCAGAAATTCATCCATCATTCATCCAAAAACATTCAGGCCAAAAACAGTGCAGAATTAACTTACTATCTCTTCGGCCCCCAAATGGTTTGATTCATTATGGCTGAAACTTGCTTTGCATGAGTTGAAGAAGCTATCTTTCTAAATTAATTCCAACTTCGTAACACTATTTTAAGATAATAGAACTGTCCCTTTCACTAAACACACAGGGGACATATGGCCCCTCTTCCATGGGGACAGAAATTTGAAGGTGAAAGAGACTTTATAGAGGGAGCTCTTTCAAAAGTCACTTGGGCACCTACGTATCTAAGTCCTATTGAAACGCACCATTCCTGTTGAAGTGGTAAGTGCATGGGCGGATGCAACTTAATTAATCTGTCAATGACTTTAAAAGATTCTCTTGACATTTCTTACAGTTTTTAATACTGTATTAGAAAGCAAGATGCTTATGTATGATGTAAAAACTTTTCTCCTTCATATACTGTATCAAGACTGGAAAAAAAGCTTTCCAGCAGGAGTGGTTTTTACATTGAATGATTATGTTGATAACAAGAAATAAAATGATAAATGGCTTTGAAATAATGCATAACCTTAAGTTAATGTTGGAAATAAATGTTAAATAAGTATCCTAAGTAAAGCTAAGCTTAATAAATTTCAATCTTTACTTCAACTTTCCTAGATGAACATAGCATATGTGCGTACTTCATTCTTGAATGCTATTATGAAAAATAAGAACAATGCATTTTACTTTTGATGTAGAAAATAGATTTTTCTAGAAAAGAACCATAATTCTTAAAGCTGAGGGAGATCAAAAGAGCATATAGAACACATGAATCCTGAATAAGGCCCAGATTCAACAAAATACTTAGGCCCAAACTTAATTTAAGCAGGTGCTTGAGTGCTTTGCTGAACATGACCTACAGGTGGTAAAGATAATGATAGAGTTGCTGCATATGAGTTACTTGTATCTGCTCTCTGTATGACTGAGAAGTAGTGATAACCATCAGAAGCTCTCCTAGCTTTTGAAACAGAAAAATTGTGTGAATTTAGCACTTAAGAAAAATGCCGAATTGAGAGCCCTGAACTTCGCTGTTCTGTATTTATCCACAGAAGCAGTTCAGCATGAGAATTATTATCAGGGAAAGCCTCACTACAGGTAAGTAAATATTCATTTTACGGCAGTGGTGACTTGCCCAAGGGCACACAGTGAGCTAACTGCGGTGCTAGGATTTCCCAAGCTCTCATTCTGACTGCAAATCTTGTGCTTGTTACTCCCTCCAAAAGAGTTAATGTAATAGATTCCACTTTAGCAGATGGGTTGGCATTGGCAGTAAAAGGAGTTCAGTGCAACACTGTGTTTCCCCAATATGAATTTCAATCCACTGATTGTTTACATTACAGGTGTATGGAGCCATGAATCAATGTGGGTTATTTGTATCAAGAAATTGTGAATTGTTCTGCAATGTTTTTATGAAAGGCAGCTGGGATGTTTACTCCTACAAAAAAAAACAAACCCACACTCCGACACTCATGGTAAATAATGCCTGTAACCTCAGTAACTAATGCTGAAAGTTGTTCTTACCTCTTTGGCTTCATTCTGCATTTTCATATTCTCTGCAATGTATTTGACACTTTCAATTGCATCTCTCATTTCTGGTGACAAAACTGAAAACGAAAGTGGAGCATCTACCGATTCATAGCTTGTACTCCTTGTAAGATTGCCACTGAAGTCAGAAAACTTTATTCGTTGACACCAACAACAGCTGCATGTTATATCTTGACATATGAAGCCATCTTTGCAGCATTTGGTTTCAGAGCTGCTGAAGCAATTTAAGTCTGAGAGCTCAGCACTGTAAAGTGGCTTTGGCTTCTGATTCTTCTCTCTATCGCGGGCAGGCCTGGTCATAAACATGATCTTGGGAAGTAAGTTCAAGAAAATGGTCTTCACCCACTCAGGCATTGTGTGTGTCTTGGGTGTTCTATAATGCACATTAAGTACAAACACAGTAATGACAATGGAAAGAGTTACAAATATCATGGTGAAGAGGAGGTATTCTCCAATAAGTGGGATCACCAAAGAGGTAGAGGGGATGGTCTCTGTGATCACTAGGAGAAATACAGTTAAGGATAAAAGGACTGATATGCATAGTGTCACCTTCTCACCACAGTCTGAAGGCAAGTAGAACACCAAAACAGTTAAGAAAGAAATCAACAGACATGGGATAATCATGTTGATAGTATAAAATAAAGGCAGGCGCCTAATATAAAGAGAATAAGTGATATCTGGATATACCTCTTCACAACAGTTGTACTTAATGTCATGTTTATATCCAGGAGCTTTAATAATAACCCATTCTCCACTCTCCCAGTAGTCTTGGAGGTTCATTGTAGAGCCAATTAAAACTAAGTCAATTTTAACTTTATCATAAGACCAGGAACCAAACTTCATGGTGCAGTTTTGATAGTCAAATGGAAAGTAGGTCACATCTATTTTACATGAACTTTTAAAAATAGCTGGAGGTATCCAGGTCACTTCTCCTGTGTATTTCAAAAAGGCCTTTGTCTTGTCATCAACTTGGAAGTTCCCAACTGCACTGTAAAAAATAAATCAGGGTGGGAAAAAATAGATAAGCATTTCAACTAATCAAATCACTTTCATATAAGAAAAGGTTAAGAACATAGGTTTATGTATATACAGTGACTCTGGATTCATGCACTGTAAGTGAGCAAATGCACACTTCAGCATTCCAGCAATAATGTTAACTGTGCTAAATTGCATGTGTAGTACTAGATCCATGGCTGATGTAAATAAGCGTAGTTCCATTGTCATCAGTGGAGCTACATGGACTTACAACTGCTGAAGATCAAGATGGTAGTATTTTCTACTCCTGTAACCTGGCTAAATGTGATCCATACCCAAGGCAGCAAACTTGAGCTCTTTTGTGTCAGAACAAAGTGATGGACAAGCTGATCTTCCTTACTGTGCTTGGTTCACTCTCTCTTTCCTCTCCATCCCCACAGTACCTTGCAGTGTCACTCCTCTAAGAAAGCAGGAATTCAGGGCTCCTGCTGCAGCTTGTCACTGTGGTTGCATGGATCAGAGCAGGGCCATCTGTCCACCCTGTTCACAATCACATAACATCCCTGGGGCAATTTCAGCTGTTGTTTACATGGAAAAGTAAGACTGGGAAAGCATTTTTAGCTATTTATGTGATTAGAAAACTGTAGAAGAGAAGAAGCCAGCACCACATGACCAGCCAGCTCTTCATGGACCTACCAGCATGTGCTGTACAGACCACACTTTGGGAACTCCTGTATTGGAGAGTATTTCAAGCATGTTTCACTGAGGCCAGCTTCCTTACATAGTGTATAGCCAACGTATCATCTCAGTAACACATTTGGTCTCCTATTGACGTGTTGGAAGCAAAAGTCCTAAGTGTGTACCAACCCTGGGGCTTTTATATAGTTATATTTAATGCTGTGTTGATGTCAGATGGGTAGCAATTTTAACTGCAAAAATGTCTGGATCTAATACTCCGTTTCAATGAAAGGTCTGAATTACTGAAGAGTTTCTCATCTGTAAATGAGAGGAAAGTTGTGTGGCAGAACTATCTGCTCCTTCTTACTGCCAGCCTTGCATATAGTTCCAAAAACAATTATAGAAAGAGTGGGGAGTAGAAGGAGCACAGGGATGCAGAGTCTAAAGTTTCCTGTCTGTTTCTCTTATTAAAATGTGTGTGTTTTCAATTTTTAATACTTATTAGCTCAACAGACTCCAAAAGTATTGATGTTCAACAGAAGCAGTGATTGGGGGGTAGTTCTACTAGAGAAGTAACAGTTTGCAATATATACCGTAGTCGCTGTGTATTGCTACCCAGGTTTGATCAAAATCTTAAGTCTTTTGTAATAGTCATGGGAATGCTCAATTTTTTTTAAAATGCATGATACAAAACCAAAACAAATTAAGAGTAAAGGCACTTGATAAGGCATAGTCTTACTTGTTATATAAGACAATGTCTGGCTTCCAGATCCTATCAGCTGGAACTCGAATAAACTCAACACCTCCATATTCCTCTGGATTCCACTTAAGTTTGTAATCGTTCCAGATCTAATCACAGAAGAAACCAAACTTCATTAGAATTACAAAAAGACCCATCTCAAATTGTGGACTACTGCCCCTTCTTTCCATAAAAACAAAGTGCTGTAATGTCACTTTTATAAAGTTGGTGTTTGTTTTTTCAGAATCTCTAATGACTAGATGTATCACCTTTTAAGACCATGTTATTTATTTGTATTCATTAGCACACACATTGGGAACCCATTGTGCCAGGTGCTGTATACATGCAAGAGAAAGCTCCTACCCCAAAGAGCATACATTTTATATAGACAAGATGGACCAAGGGTGACATGGGAAACAGTCTCAATTAGGTAAAGTGATTTGACCAAAGTCACACAGCAGATCAGTTGCAGAGCTAGGAATACATCTCAGGTCTCCTAATGCCCAGTCCCAGTTCCCTTTACACTAGACCAGGCTGCCTCCTCTTCCTCTCAGCCCCCAATTATATTAGAATGTAATTGCTCCTGATATTTTCATGCTATGATCACCACTCATAAGGTAAAGCAATCTTGCTCTATCTCTAGAGCAACCAGAGAGATTTCTGAGATTGTAAACTAGCTCCACGCCAGATCCCTCCAGCTAAGGCAGCACAGGAGGGTAGGGCTTGGTTAATGCTTGAATAGGAGATATCAAAGGAATGCCAAAGTACTATCAGAAAAAGTGATGATAATTCAATAGGTGACACAGTTCCCTCTGAGTCACAATGTGGGTGAAGTAATATCTTTTATTGGACCAACTTCTGTTTTGGAGAGAGAAGCTTTCAAGTTTACACAGAGCTCTTCTTCAGCTCTGGGAAACTAAGGCTATGTCTACACTGCACTTCCATTGGTAAAACTTTTGTCATCAGGGCTGTGAAACTCCCTCCCCTCACCCCCCAACTGACAAAAGCGCCGGTGTGGACACTGCTTTGTCGGTGGGAGAGCGTCTCATTGGGGGCAACTTTATTTTGCTGGCAGGAGAGTTCTCGCCTGCTGACAAAGAGTGGCCACCCTGTATACCTTGCAGCAGCACAGCTGTGCCACTGTAAGGTGCGCAGTGTGGACATAGCCACATTACAGACCTTGCAGTGGTGTGCCGCCATAAGGTCTCCCATATAGCTGCTCTATGCCAGCAGGAGAGAGCTCTCCGGTTGGCATAATTAAATCACCCCCAAAAAGCGGCAGTAGCTATGTGGGTGGGGAATGCTCTCTCACCGACATAACGCTGTCCACACCTGTGCTTCTGTCGGTGAAACATATGTCAGTCGGGGAGTGTTTTTTCACACCCGAGTGACATAAGTTTTACCAACAAAAGTGATACTGTAGATATAGTCTGAGTAAGTTTCCCAGAGCTGAAGAAGAGCTCTGTGTAAGTTCAAAAGCTTGTCTCTCACCAACAGAAGTGGTCCAATAAAAGATATGACCTCTCCTACCTTGTGTCTCCAATATTCTAGGAGCAACACAGCTACTGCAACACTGCATACTACAAAACGAGTCAGTATTGAACAAAGAATCCAGCATATTTTAAGGAGTGTGGCAGATATCATTGTTTTGGTGAGACTCAAAAACTAAAATCTTGGTCAATTTGGTCATTAAAATGCCATGGTTCTTTTTCAGAGTCAGGGTGTTAATGCTATTGTCCAGGACAAGGCCCCGGATAGGTACGTACATTGTCTCTACATAAAGTTCCATGTAGTTCCAACTGGGTCAGATATTCTGTGTTTTTTGTCCTGTACTGTGGTGTTGCTGTATGGTGTTAAGCTATTACCATGTTCCATTCCAGGGGTGGCTGCATTTCAGTTGTGGGTGAGGTAATTCTTGGGTATAGATAGGTCTATAGAGTTAGTATGTTTGGGATCCTTCTGGATAAAGGATATCGTTAATGGGTCTGTGCTTTCAGTTTGGAAAGGTTAATACTGTAGTTAATGACCGATTTAATTGATTCATCGTGTGCCTGACATATTTCTGAACAGTATGACCAACAGTAGTTAACACCTTAATCAGCACATGTTCTACAGTACTGCTATTCCCTGGGAGACAGTATTCTACAATTCAGGGCACTAAAAATCCCTTAGGACTGGCAGAGATTATTCTTAGCAGTCTCCTATATTAGGTGGTTGTAGTGCTTTTAACCTTGCATAATAATATTGTACTGGGAATTCTATTCCTAATTCTGCCACTGACTTGCTGTGTGACCTTGTGCAGGTCATGCAGGTGCTCAGGCAGGATTTGACTCTAACTCCCATTGAAGTAAATATCTTCAAAGCCCAGGAACTGTAAGTGTGCCTGGACTCTCATGGGAGATACAAGAAAGGGGGTGGGGAAGGATCCTTTCTTTCCTCATTTCCCTCTGCCCCTGTCCAAAGGCCAAGCACAACCTGGCCTTGGGTTTGGTTCCATATTGGTCTCCAACAGGCATTTTGTTCACAGCCCATAACCAGGGCTGGATTAACTCTCCTGTGGGCCAGGGGCTATTAGGTTTTGTTGGGCCCCTGGGGGTTTGGAGTGGGGAAGTGGGCTCAGGGTGGGGGCGGCGGATTGGGATACAGGAGGGGATGCAGCTCCAGCTGGGGGGGTGGGCTCTGGGGTGGGGCCAGGGATGGGACGGGGGGTGGGGTGCAGCAGGAGGTTCGGGGTATAGGCTCCAGGTGGGAGTTTGGGTGCAGGAGGGGGCTCAGGGCTGGGACAGGGGGTTGGGGTGCAGGTGGAGGTGCAGGGTCTGGGAGGGAGGTTGGGTGCAGGAGGGGGCTCCAGGCTGGGGTAGGGGGTTGGGGTGCAGGAGGGGATGCAGGCTCCTGGTTGGTGGTGCAGCAGGGCTAAGGCAGGATCCCTGCCTGCCCTGGCTCCGTGCTGCTCCGCTCCCCGAGGTGGCCGGCACATCCACTCCCAAGGCAGAGGAGCCAGGCCGCTCTGTGTGGTGCACACTGCCTGTGCCAACAGGCACCGCAGGCACTGCCCCCCAGCTCCCATTGGCCACAGTACCTGGCCAATGGGAGCTGTGGAGCTGGTGCTGGGGGCAGCGCGCAGAGGTTCCCTGAACTCCCCTCACCTAGGGGCCACAGGGGCACATCGGCCAGCCAGCGCTCGCGGCTCTAGCCCTGGGCGGGGGTGCCAAGGCTCGGGGACCAGCGTCCAGCCTGTGGCTCAGAGACTTGCTGTGAGCCAGATTAAAAGCAGCAGCGGGCCGCATCCGGCCTGTGGGGTCCCCATTAGCCCGAGGCCCTGGGCTGTGGCCCCTAAAGCCCCTGCATTAATCCGACTCTACCCATAACAATAACCTGTAGTCCAGTTCAACAAAGATTATAGTGAGAAGAATTCCAAGCTAGGCTTGCAGAGGCCTCACAGAACTAAAGTGCACTAGCAGACATGCAGGGGGAAACTTGCACAGTGTCTGCACTGTGACTGGCTGTAGCCGGTGTAATTACGCTCCACAAGATGAGCTTCACAGAGTTTCCTAGGCCTCCTGCGCTGCTCCAGTGGGTTTTATCACAGGAGGCTGCATAATCATTCAATGCAAATAAATAGCCAGCCACTAGGTGTCAGCAATGGATTAAGGTAAGTGTGGCCAACCCAAATCTCTGCACCAAAGCAGCATAGTACCCTACCAGGCCAGCACCTCTGATGCTGTGATCTTTCCTTTTCTTAAATGCGAGTCAAATCTATACAAATGCTGGCTAGGAAGAATGTCCCAGCATCTTTGAGCATTGGCTTATTTAAGTTTTTGTTTACTTATGCTGAGGCATTTTTCTGTTGTACTGTTTTTCATGACTGAAAGGACGTTTTATTTACTTTACACAATAGTCACACTTTACGTAGTAGAAACAGTTTGTATTTAGCAAAATGTTTACCATTTTCCTCCTCTGTTCCTCCCAAAATATTCCTAGGTCAGTTTATCTAGCTGTAAAAGCGGCAGAGTCCTGTGGTACCTTATCGACTAACAGATGTATTTGAGCATAAGATTTAGCTGGTATTCCTTGCTTTTGACCTAAATATTCCTATTTACAAATCTTTAATGTTAGCAGTTTACATTTTTCATTAAAGAGATTGAATGGAAAAATGGGGATTCAGGATAACCTAATGGTTAGACCTTGGAACTCCTAGCATGGGACCTAATGGTTACAGGGAAGAACCCAGTGTAGTTGAATGGTGACAGCATGGAGGCAGCAGATCTGGATTCTGTTTTTTGGCAAAATCATTTAACCTTTTTGTTCAGTTCACCCAACTATAATATTGCAATAATAATGCTTTCCCACCTAGCTCCAGTGCTTTGAAATGTCTGGATGAAAAGTAGTATATAAATGTAACGTGCAATGTCACTTTTATAGTAGTTAGCTAAATGTTGATATTAATGAGCATTACGCAAAGGATGGTCAATATAACATTTTGCTTTGCAAATTGCGGGTGGAGGACACAGCAAGAAACCTTACATATTGACATTAAAAGAAAAATTAACTGAGCTGATATTATCAGTGCTGGGATTATATTTACTCACATGTTTCAGCCACAACTTGGTCTCCATTATCTGGTTCACTTCATCCTGAAAAACACAGCCATGTTGAAAAAGGAGTGGGCCTTTCTTTGGGCTAATAATGTAATACTTACTAGGTTCTGAAAGAAGCCTGTACTCACCACCTTCACCAGCTGTGACATGGATACCTCAAACTGAATGATGGCAGGGTCTGACACATTTTCCACTGGTCTGATAAACTGACTGTAGTTAGCAAACAAGGCTGCAAACAGTCTGTGCTCCGCTTCTGAACAACTGCAACCTGAAAAGAGATTATGTTGGCTTCTGGTTTTGAAACAACCCACGAAGCTTCTTGTGGCCAAATGCTATTTCCTTTGAAAATTAAATAACCAGACATTAAATCTGCATGATGTTAATTTGGCATTCATTTAAGATGAAAATAGAAGAATAAAATGTAATGGTAGATGGAGATTTTCATATGTCTCTGCAAGTGGAGTTTAAAGGATAATTTAATAAAATCATAGAAACTGGAGCTGAAAAAGCCCTTTTCCCTGGCTCACCTTGTCCCTCACCACTACAAAAAGGAGCTGGGGTTGAGCAAGGTCAGAGAAAAAAATGTTTCTTACAAACTTAAGCCCATGAGGAGCTAAAACTACACTTTCTAATATGACCAGCTCCTGGGAAATTTTACTGTCCCAGGAGACTGAGGCTCATTATAGGATGGTTGCAATGATGCTAACAGCTTGCTCATTATAAATAAGGAAACAAGGATTAAAAATTGATTCACTATTTCAAAGGTATCAGAGTAACAGCCATGTTAGTCTGTCTTCGCAAAAAGAAAAGGAGTACTTGTGGCACCTTAGAGACTAACCAATTTATTTGAGCATGAGCTTTCGTGAGCTACAGCTCACTTCATCGGATGCATACCGTGGAAACTGCAGAAGACATTATATACACACAGAGACCATGAAACAATACCTCCTCCCACCCCACTGTCCTGCTGGTAATAGGTAGTACATTCTATTTGCAATTGTCCCTTTCTGATGCTGGTTTTGCTATCTGTGGTATCTTATGGCTATAAACTGAAGGTCTCAAAGCACAACTGGGAATCTTCTGTCCCCTAAACTATGCTTCCATTCTCATAGGCAACAGATAAACACTGTGGGAGGCAGATCCTGCCTGGAATTTAGTGGCCTTGTCCTAAAGAGACTCTCTACTGGTACTTGGATGTGATATGCCCAAATCCTTTCATTAAAAAAAATTAGATCTCTTCTCCATTTATGGATAATTTTATATTTCAACATGGCTGGTGAGACAAACTAACAGTAAGGGCTAAATTCTGCTTTCAGAAACACTTGTGTAAATCTGGAATAGCTACACAGAGTCTGTTGATCTTTTAAAATATGACAGCATGACTGCATATAGATTTACATGCAGTTGCTAGGATATGTTTGAGAGGTTTTTTTCCCCAGTCATACTAGGTTAGTATTTTCCAGCAAACAGAAGGGCAGCAGAAGTACTCATCTGCACAATAACTGATCTATAAAGTTTCACAAACAAAATATCTACCTTCCGACCTATTCTGGAAGTTCTGCTGACATCCAGTCTGAGACTGGCACAATGTCAGACCACATACAGTTAAAAATCTCCACTCTCTACTCATTTTGAAGGCTATTTTTTTCAAGGGTAGTAAAGTCACTCAAACCAACACACCAGATTAAAATAGATAGCTTTATACTTTCCTATTTCTGGAAAATTAACTTTTTAGCCAGTAGACTTGCTTTAATCATTTAGTGATATCTCACCTATAATTATTAGCAAGTCAGGAGTCCCCTGGATTAAATATGCCTGAGTCCTTTATGTAGGTGGGTTTTAAGATTCATATTCAGCCTTTTGCCAGCTCCTTCCCAAATGCTGTTGACCAACTTACATTTCCATAACATGTGAATTAAATCTCTGTGTTTACCACACATCCAGCATCCATCACATTGTAGACAATAACTACGTATATATAAACCAGTGTTTCAACATTCTGGTTAAAGTTGCTGTCATCTCAGAGCACCAGTAATAGCAAGAAGGAGATCTTTGTTCTGCAGAGATAAGGTGCACTGTTCAGAGCCACCTCTAAGGCTATCTCAAGCAGCTGTTTGGCATCACCTATTTCTGCTGATGCCCCAGCACTTTAGAGCACGTATCCACAGCGAGCTAAACCTTAAAACCACATTGAAGTTTTTAATTTAAAGTTTAAATGGCTTTGTGGGATCATGGGACCCATTTGGCATGCCCAATCAGGGCTGCTATTTGTTACGAGTTCATAAGGTGAGATTTTAAAATTGTTTAACAAAAGAAGCTGGGATTCATACGAATCCTGCAGCATGCCACTTATTAGTGCTGAACCTAAGTCCAGACCAATTAAAAACAATTGTACAAAGCCATAACCCATCCTCTTTCAACCCCCTCCTTTAAAAAAAAAATTCAAGGACCACTCACCTTTAAAGAAAAAGAAAACAGCAGCAGCAGCTAGAAATAGAGCGAATGTGCTCCCCATGGCGTTATGAATTACTGTCATCAACAGAGACTGCTGGCGACAAGCTCAGCTGCTAGGATTGCACAGGCATGGGAAATACAGACAGCTCCAATCTTCCAATGTATAAAATCCTTGTATAAGGCAGACTGCAGGACCCTGAAGAACAGTTCTGCACCATGGAGATCCCATTAGCAACGATGTGCTGCCCCCCTTTTCAGCTGTTCATATTGTCATAAACAGAGAGCACTGGAAACACAAAATAAATCGTAGACCAAATAGATGTAGTTACTGTAGGCAAGAAGCAATCATCGATTCATCGGGCAACAAGGGTAGGCAAGAGGCCATTAGTGGATGCATAAATGAGCCCAGTAATTGGATAATGCTAAGAGTTTTTCCAATCAGCTCCTTTACAGGATATGAATCTTTATAGGAACTTTGTGCCAAGCCATTAGAACAGGTTTAATTAATAAAAATCTTATAACTGAACTGTGCTGAAATGGATATTGACATTAGAGACACTCAAATTATCAGTAAACTGAGCCCAAGAGACCAAAACCGCCAGAAGGTGGGTGAAGTAATATCTTTTATTGAACCAACTTCTGTGGGTGAGGGAGACAAGCTTTCAAGCTTACACAGAGCTCTTCTTCAGGTGCACAGTTAATTAACTGACACAGATAAAAATGTGTACCTGTTTGAGGCTTTGTAGTGAGGAGAGCCCCAATCCTGTAGGCACGTGTGAAAGTATTTACTACTTCATCCTGATGTTGCATTTCATCTACTTTAGCTTCACTTTCAGCTTCCTGATGGGGGTGCTCTGTGAGGGCAGTAGTAGACTTGCTCCCCTACTTTGAAATCAATGGGACTACCCACAGTAGGAAAGTTAAGCACATGCTTAAGTGTTTGCAGGATTGGGGCCCAGAGATTGACATAAGGTACAGTGACCACAGTTAGGCCAAGAGCTCAGGTTTGAGGTTAAACTAGTTTGGGTCCAACAGCACTGAAATCTCCAGAGAACAGCTGTGCTTGCTAGAATCCTGCCATCTTGGGTCAGGAAAATTAAATGTTGGTACCAAATTCAAAAGGGAAGGGGAGGATGCAGCGACTCCAGACTGATTCCTCCGAAACCCAACATTGAGGGAGAGGGGTTGGGTTTGATGTTCTGGCTGAGGCCCATCTCTAGCAATGGCTGGATAGTGGCTTAAAAGCTCACTTGCGCCTCTCCTTGGAATTTAACAGGAGACTGTTTCAAATTCCTATGAGGCATCAAATGTACTGATTTTTTTTTTTTCAATTGCCAGGGTTTTTCTTTGTATGCAGTAGCTGTGTTGGTCCCAGGATATTAGAGAGAAAAGGTGGGTGAGGTAATGTCTTTTATTGGACCAACTTCTTTTCATGAGAAAAACAAGCTTTCAAGCTTACTCAGAGCTCTTCCTCAGGCCTGGGAAACTAACTCAGAAAGTGACAACTAAATACAAGGTGGAACAGATTGTTTCGTGTAAGTAGTTCCCCCATATGTCAAGGTGTCACCTTCACCATTCAAGGTGAAGAGGTCCATTAACACCCCTCTAGTCATAGGGAGGTGGAAAGCAGCTGGGGGTGGATGATGTTTAAGGGCTTGTTTGTTGAGAGCTTATCTTTTTAATTTCAGGAATAATTCTCAGGCCTAGGATCTTGCTCCAGCAAAGAACTCTCTCTCCAGGCAGAGAGGGGAACAAGGGTGACCCGATGTCCCAATTTTATAGGGACAGTCCCCATTTTGGGGTCTTTGTCTTATATAGGCTCCTATTACCCCCCACCTCCTGTCCTGATTTTTCACATTTGCTGTCTGGTCACCCTAAGGGGAGCATACCAATGGAGTGCCTTCCTCGTCACTATCAGTTCGCCTCCGTGCGGGGCTGGGCTCTTACCATAGCTTTTCCCCCAGCATGACTTTCTCAGGCTGGTTCCTTAAATTTGGCTGAGCAACACCTAGCTTGGAAAGAGGCAGAATGGATAAAGGGGTGGTGATGAAGAGCCTCTTGGCTGCCCCGCTTAGCCTGGAAGTGAGAGATGGGGCCCTGTTGCAGCCCCCTTACACTTGGTGTGGGGGTGAAGAACCCCAGGAGGAGCGGAGGTGAGGCTTGGTGGGCACTGAACTGATGCAGGGTTGCTTTGCACAGTATTGATTTGGAAGTTTGGGGCAGCATTAATTGCTGGGCAGGGGACAGGAGATGTGGCAGCAAGAGCTTCTGTAGCAGGGGCCAAAATCCTCTTACTCAATACATATGGTAGAATAGGGGGCATGAACTGTCACTCAGAGATACAGAGGATGGGAAAGGAGAGTTAAAAAATCAAGACTGACCAAAAAACACAGTATAATCCTTAAAAAAAACAAAACAAAACACATGATTTTGGGGGGCCAATCTCATGAATTTTTTGGGTGTGGTGAGCTACTCAGGATTTTTTCCTCTTGAGCATGGCAGTTTTGAGTAGTCCAGATTCTGATCTCAGTTACATTGAAGTCAGTTTTCAGAGTAACAGCTGTGTTAGTCTGTATTCGCAAAAAGAAAAGGAGTACTTGTGATACCTTAGAGATTAACCAATTTATTTGAGCATAAGCTTTTGTGAGTTACAGCTCACTTCATTGGATGCATCCGATGAAGTGAGCTGTAGCTCATGAAAGCTTATGCTCAGATAAATTGATTGAAGTCAGTGGCTTTATTCCATATTTACACACATATCTAAGAACAGCATTTGGCCCAGTAAAATTATTCCAGGCATGTATTTGACCCAATGGGCCTGTGTAAGATCATATTTCTAGGATAAATTGAAAAATTGATTGCAGCTAAAGCTGTGTAGAAGGAATTCTTAAAATAACCCAGAAATATAAGGCCAGTGTCTGAGATGCCTTATGCACCTAAAGAAAAGCCTAAAACATGTTAGGGACTGTAGACTTGTGGGGCAGTGAAGACTCTTCTCAAAGAGATGCCACACCTCCCCGGAGCACCATGATGTTCTCTTTGGTGGGTTGTGACAATTCACCCTGGAACGAATCTCAATTCCTACCAATGAAGTTTACAAATAAACATCTCTGAGACCTCCCAAGGGTTCTCCAACAAAGACAGGGAAGGTCTCTTTACATGCCTGATATGTCCCTAAAGTAAAAACCGATCAGAGAAAAAAAAAATCCTTCTAAGCCATCTTACGTACGTTATAATGAAACAAAAAAAGGGTACATGGCCAATTTAAGAACTCCCTTTCCAGATCACTTTTAAGGTACTGAGAATTCTAAGTGCCCTGCAAAGTACCACACTGATTTACAGCCAACTAATTTGGAATAGAAATGCCCATAAATATCTGAGTTAAGTGTTTTGGGGGATTCTTGCAACTGGCTTTTCCTTCTATGTGGATTTGAGAAAAGGCTCTTTGTAGAGGCAAGATGGATCAGTGGGTAGGGCCTAGCCTGGGACTCAGGAGACTGTAATTCAATTCCCTGCTGTACCACTGACTTCCTGTATGACTCTGGCCAAGTCACCCTATGTTGTAAGACAATTAGGCTGCCTAAAGAAGTGGGGACTGAAAACACAGAAATGGTGATGTATGCTGATGTAAGCCACCAAGATTTTATTTGAGGGGGTGTGTCTATATTGCAATAAAAAACCCACAGCACCACGTCTCAGAGCCCAGGTCGGTTGACTTGGGCTCATGGGGCTTAAGTTATGGGGCTAAAAATAGCAGTGTATATCCTTGGGCCCAGGCTCTGAGATCTTCCCCCCGTCACAGGGTTCTGGAGTCCAGCCCAAGCCCAAATGTCTACACTGCCATTTTTAGTCCTACAGCCCAAGCCTTGTGAGCTCGAATCAGCTCACCGGGCCAGCCTCAGCTGTGCTGTGGGTCTTTTATTGCAGCATAGGCATACACCCAAGTTGCCATCTTGCTGGTTCGCTGCCAAATGTCAAGGAATCCTTTTTCTATGCTCTCAGCATGGAGTTTATTTACTCTGCTTATCTGTCTCGGAGCATCATTCAATCCATCCCAGACACATGCTCTTCTGATAATTTGTATAATTCTATTAGGCTGGAGGAAATGGGCTGTATGTCCCTTTGATTTTTCAGTAGGATCTCAGTCTTTTTGGTCCTGCAGCTTAACTCTTTGTGGATGTGTTTGTTTCTCAGCCTTTCTAGGATTTTCTGACTGGGCTTTTCTCCCCACCCACCTTCCTCTTCATTTTAATTAACGAGCAGCTTTTGCACTACAAACAAATAAATTATAGCAGCTAGACATGAGCTAAAACTCAGATCGGAATCCAGATTCCCCGAAGCTCAAGGGGTGTTTGTCTAATAGCAACTACAAACCATACTAAACTTCAGGTGTTTTCCCTTAATTTGGCTTGTTGCTGTTGCAAATGTCCAGTGATATTTATATTCCAAAGCAAGATCTTCTTTCTCATCCAGCTGCTGGAGCTCATGATGAAATCAGCTAGATCAGTAATAAGGTTATTTTCATGGTAACAGACAGTGATGTGATATAAAAATGTGATTATGACAACTGCAGGACTATGTAGAAGAAGGGTTTGGGCAGACAGGGGAAAAGCTCCTCCAACCACAAATATCTGCAGTAACACAGAACCCGCAGTTACACAGAACTGCATGGCATTTACTCTTCATAACAAAGTGTTTTATAAAAATGCTTCTGGAAACCAAGCCCTATCCAGCTCAGATTATGAGTCAGGGGAAACGGGATTCTTCTCCTGCCCCACACCATGATATTGGTGCTACCTTTGCAACAAGCCAACATTCAGCTGTTGTCCACTGCTCTTGCTCATTTTGCTTGTTTGCCTTTTGCCACCACAGTCCCAAACAGATTGATCAGGAGCTGTGTCATGTGTGTGCAGTATCTCATAAAAATGTTACATTGGATTCCCTAATAGGGGCTCTTGGACCAGCCCTGGTCAGTCCAGGCAGAAGTAGCTCTGAAAAGAAAAGGGAACACTTTCCAAGTCTCCTGGGCAGAGACTTTTCCCGCTAGGATGGGAGCACGGACTGGCTGAAAATTTTTCTATTGAAATTGTTTTTTGACAGAATTTTTGACAAAACAAATTTTTGTGAGAGGTGTCTGCTTTCCGTGTAAAATTTCTGTATTTCATTGAAAAAACAACCCCCAGAAAAACCGAGCCCAACCTATAGAGAAGAATGGGAGCATGAGGCACTGTAGTTTAAATCAGATTATTTCAATTGTCAGTGGAAATATTTTGATTTTTGATGAAATGTCAACATTTTCCATTATAAATTAAAATTAAATTTTTTTATTGACACTTTCCATGGGAGAGTGAGGGAGAGGGGAAGGAAATATTTTCTGACCAGCTCTAATGGAAATAGCTAGGAGCATTGCCTAACGTTCTTTTATAGCACCCTGTTTAAAACTTTGCTAGACTTTAAATGTTTGGGCTGAAATTTTCTGTGCTGGGTCTTGTCACAAGCTGAATTACTTGTGAAAGTTTCAGCAAAAATGAGTCAGCCATTTCTGATAAGAAGATTAGGGAAAAGTACATTATTTTATCCATGATAAACAAATTCTTACAGCTGTTTAATCGAGAATGTCTTTTGTACCATCCCTGTGAAAATCCACCAAAATCCGGCCAAATTATAAACCTCTGTGAAATTGCAGTTTGCACATGCTCAGTAGTGACTGTTAGTTTGGCTTTTAAGTTTGCTGAAGATTCTATCTGCCCTGAGCTTGCTCCAGCTCAGCCCTTAGGGCAGGGGTGGCCAACCTGTGGCTCCGGAGCAACATGCGTCTCTTCAGAAGTTAATATGCGGCTCCTTGTCGGAGGCACCGACTCCAGGGCTGGAGCTACAGACGCCAACTTTCTAATGTGCTGGGGGATGCTCACTGCTTAACCCCTGGCTCTGCCACAGGCCCTGTCCCCGCTCCACCCCTTCCCCTGAGCCTGCCATGCCCTTGCTCCTTCCCCCTCCCTCCCAGAGCTTCCTGCACGCCACGAAACAGCTGATCCAGAGGTGTGGGGAGGGAGGAGGAGGCACTGATCAGTGGGACTAGGAGCAGGGGTGAAGAGCTGATGGGGGGGCTGCTGATGTAATACTGTGGCTCTTTGGCAACGTACATTGGTAAATTCTGGCTCCTTCTCAGGCTCAGGTTGGCCACTCCTGCCTTAGGGGGACTGAGCAGGCCTTTCCCTGCAACTGCTAACTGGGAGTGAGGGCTGTGGTGGTGCCAGAACTGAGAGCAAAGAGACTCTCCTGCGCTCTCAGTGACCCACCCCTGTGTTGGCACCCAGCAGCATGAGGGAAAGGAGGAAGCAGTTTGATGTGAAGGCAGAGAGGTGAGGAGTGGTGTCTTGTGTGTGAGCAGAGACAGGCGTAGGCAGACCTGGTGGTGCTAGGCATAAACAGACTAAGCAATTGCTTAGGGCCCTGAGCGGCTTAAGGCCCCTCCCCCTGCCCTTAATTATTAGTATGTGTTGGGGAGGGGAGAGAAGGCAAAAATATTCCTACTTAGGGCCCCTGATGGGCTAGCACCGGCATGGGCTTTAGGGCCAATGGGATAGAGCACATAGACTCTGTAGAGACTGGCTGTAGAGTGCAGGGGCAGGACGGCAGAATAGACAGGCTGTGCAGGGGCTATGGGATCAGATGGGGAACATATTTGCTATGGTGCCTATATCGCTGTTCTCAAGTTTCATGCTGTGTGTACCGGTGTACGCTGGGGGAGGCTGGAGCTGAATTCGGCAGGAAAGGCTCCGTAGTTTCTGTGCCGCTCTAGAGGGGCAGACTGGAGAGTCTGAGGCGGCTTGTGTTGTTTTTTATACTAAATTAATTTGATTTTATTCTGTTCTTAAGCTGTCAAGGCCAGATCCCTGGGTCTGGTCAGGCTTTGTTGGGGGTTCTCCTTCTCTGCTGCCCTATTAGGGTATAGCTCTCTGTCTCCTTTACACTGCCAGAGTGGTGCAAAACAGATGGAGTCTGTCCAGTACTTAATTTGTAATGAAAGAGGTGCCGGGGCTCAAGCAATTTTTTTTTTACATTCATAACTGATGCAGCAAGCCTAGAGGAGCCGGGGCTATAAGCTGCCAAGCCCTGGAACAAATTAAGCCCTGAGTCTGTCCCTGGATCTCCATTGTACTTGCAGAATTTTTACTGAAAACATTCACTGCATTAGAGAGAATGTAAGGGGAGAAACTGAAGGTTTTGGCTCATGGACAGGGGACATTTAGGGTTTTTGGGACCCAGAAAAGCAGGGAAAGAGGTTTGGGATTGTGGGATACACTGAATGGTTTTGTTAAAATGATTGAAAGAATTTGATAGTTAATATTGACATTTATACTGTCATTGTTAGGTTTCAGCATTAGCCCCTGTTGAGATGATTGGGGGTGTTGACACTCCACAGCTTTTGGTTTGGGTTGTCAGCAGAGCTAGGCAAACATCAGGCATCTGGTTACACTTGTAAGGTTTTTTCACAACCAAAAGGGCTAGAATAACATTTTTTATATGAAACCTTGGATTGTAGAGCACAGTTCTGTGAAAACCCTGCAGCTGCAGAATCCTGGAGTACAAGGAGGCCTGCCTGTCTTACTGTACGTATGCATTCTCTCCAGGTGGTATAAGCAGGCCTGACCCTTTCAGCTATTCCCACAGTCCACAAATTGTCACAAGGACATGGCCACAACATCTCCTGTTGGGAAACCTGAGGTACTACCACACTCAGAAAAAGGAGAACATTGCAATTCATATTGAATATAGCTGCCTTCACCCAACTACTGTACACCACTCTCAGTGGTTTTTTGAAAGTACATTATTTAGTAGGTTGCATGAAGTAGGGTAATTGGTTTATGATACAGAAACAATGTCTGGTAAAACTAATGGTGTCTTCATCTGTGAATTATCTACTAGGTTTAAACTTTTACAGTAAAGCCACAGAATTACGAACACCTCAGGAATGGCAGTTGTTCGTAGCTCTGAAATGTTTGTAATGCTGAACAAAACATTATGGTGGCTCTTTCAAAAGTTTACAGCTGAACATTGCCTTAATACAGCTTTGAAACTCTTCTATGCAAAAGAAAAATGCTGCTTTCCCTTTATTTTTTAGTCATTTACGTTTTTAATGCAGTACTGTACCGTACTTGCTTTTTTTTTTTGTCTCTGCTGCTGCCTGATTGTGTACTTCTGGTTCCAAATGAGGTGTGTGGTTGAATGGTCAGTTCATAACTCTGGTGTTCGTAACTCTGAAGTTCTTCTGTATTCTGTTAAGCTCACATAGAAACAACAGTTTAGAGCTTCTCCTGTGGAAACACTGATGCCCCTTAGTGATTTGTTTCAGTGGTGTTGCTTACTGGTGCTCAAGTGACTGCATATGATATTGCCAGATGAAGCTGAGATTGCTCCAGAACAAAAAATGCAGTTCTCCTGCAGCAGGGTATGAGTAACAGCTAATGAAGTCAGTAGGTGGTAAGTCCTATCCTGTAGTAGGAGAATCGGGCCCAAATCTCAGAAACATGATAGTATGAGAATTGATGGTAAGTCCTATCCTGTAGTAGGAGAATCGGGCCCCCAAATCTCCAGTCCCTAAGACATGTTTATGTACTTTCTCAGCTATTTTCTGAGAATTGCATTGTAAAATACCATAATCCATGCCCAAAAATAATTTCATCCAATAAAACAGGATGGTCAATTTGGATTGATTCTTCTTTGCTGTTTCTTCCCCATTTTAGCGCTGCTCTCTCTCCTTCCCATAGAGTGAGCTTGCAGTCCAACCTCTCTTGAGTCACCATTTGCCTCTGCTCCTTATACACTTTCCTGTTGAGCTTCAGATTCATGGTGCTGTATACCAATTCCCCTTTTCTGAGTTATAAAGGCTGCTGGAATATTTTGGAAGTAAGGCTATTTAAAGGAGAGGTTTTTTTCATATTTTATTTAGATTTCACCAATGAACAGAGGGTATAAATATGTTTATTTATCATATATTGAGTTGGGCTCCATAAACCAAACACAGAGTTTTTTGATGCATTTAAGGAAATAAATACTGTAGCAATTGTTTCTCTTGAAACAGCAAAATTGTGCAATGTGAACTGCAGGATCTTATGGAAACACAATGTCTTTCCCAAAGTGGCATAAGTAAATGCCATTTTAATAATGATCCTGGTGCACTCTGAGGAAAACTGGTAAGTTGTAGAAATAAATAAATTTCTCTGTAAAATTTTTAAACATATTAAAAAAAGAGCCAATATTTAATCAAAAGTAATGAAATTAAAAAAGAAAAGATTGTCTTCTAGAAAATTCCTAACATCATGTTAATACAGCAGGCCAAATTCTGCTCTCAGTTCACCAGTGTAAATCCAGACTAACTCAACTGACTTCAATGGCATCACTTTGGATTTACACCAGTGGAACTGGGAGCAAAATCACGTGCAGCATCTGTGTAAACATTTTACAGTTTTAAATGAGAGTTAAGGGCTCACAGCAGCAGAGTGGTTTTGAAAAAGGGGCTGGAGAAATAGCCCAGCAGTCCCAAGGACACAAACAAAGATGAATATCCAGAGAAACAGTCTGTCCACTACCATGGCAACATACTTCCAATCTTCAATGACCTGGAAGAAAAAGTCAGTTAAAGATACATAGCAATTTACCATGTTCATCTCCATCTCTTTTGTTGATGCTCAATGTTTGTAGTTTGTATATGAAAATAAGAGAAAACAATTCTTAAGGTTCAGGATCACCACAGGGGTCAGGAAGGAATTTTCCCTCATATACTGTCCTGAACAGTTGGTGAATGACACTATAAATAGTTTACACCTTGCTCTGAAGCAGCAGGTATTGATCACTACTGAATGCTTGGTGCCAGACAGGATGGATCCTCAGCATAATCCAGTAAGCTCCTGTGTGTGAATTGTAATTTGCTGATACTATTCATCCCAATTAATAACGATGAACAATACTTACTGCTTTTAAGAAAATAATTCTGTAGTTGATCTTGATTCTCAGTATGCAAGTGTTTTAATACATGTTAGCACTGCTGGTTGTACTCAAATCCCTGTCCAGTGTAGATGAGATCCTGGTCCCATTGAAGTCACAATGGGAGTTGTGCGATTGATTTTAATGGAGCCAGGATTTTACCTCCTATCTTGACATACACTACAGTGACTACAGGCATACTAGTGAGTTGTAAAGGGAAAGTGTTAATCTTTTTTATCACTTTTTTATTTTTTCCTTTATAATTGACTCTAGTTACACATGGGAATTCTTCCTCTTAACAACTTCACAGTACTTCCCAATTGACTCCTGCCTTGTATTAGACCATTACATATTTCCCCCCCAATGAACACATGTACCTCCCATTGCTGTTAATGGGTGTTGTTACATGCTTCTGAGAAGAGAATATACTGTAGGTACATGAACAGTCACTATCAGAGCATGATACTAATGGAAAAAGCGGAGACTAGAATTATGAATCTAGAAAACAATGGTGTAACTAAGCACTTTAAGTTAATGTCAGAGGACCTGTGTGCAGAAAGCATTAAATTAATGTCTAACTTACAATACCTTGGAAAATTGCTCTTTAGTCTAGGGTGAGGACAGGGAATTTGTGAATCATAGGACTGGAAGGGACCTTGCAAGGTCGTCTAGTCCAGTACCCTGCACTCATTTTTTAATATCCAGTATAAGTTCTTTACAAAAGCACAGATAGTATTGAAACACTTTTTCAGCATTGTGAGGCCTATGCTTGTTTAAGCTTAAGGCTATATTTACAGATTTAGCATCTGATCTTTCTTTTTTCTGTTGACCAGTAACTAGTTCCTTGAAAATGCAAGAAAGTCACCAGTGTGGCTTCATGTGGGATTCCTGCAAGATCTGAAGGGGAAAAGGAGCCAGGCTTTCAGACTACTTGACCTGTATAGTAAAAGGAGAGGAGGAGGACAGAGCAGTAATGGAGAATTTAAGACTAGATTGGGAGCTGGGGCAGAGGAGGGTCACGTAGGAAATTTTTCATGGATGCGGGGTGGGTGTTGGGGAAAGTCATGGGTGTTCATCTGAGCCTTCTGAGTTTTGCTGAACATTATTCAATGGATACTTATATGAACTTTAATGTACTAGCTAGTGTAATGTGTCTCTACAGGATGGGAGCAGAACTGCTCGAATGTGTGTCCGAGGTCCTATACTGCTCATAGCTGATGGAGAGTCTCCGTTTGCTCAAGTGGAAGAAGCCTCAGCTTTTGTGGTATGAATATTGTGGTTCTATCTACACTCTTGCCAGACAGTGCTGAATGATCTTGGGAGGAAACATAATGACCACCATGTGTCAACCAACCAAACAGGGTATGGAGAGCTAATTGATAGTGCTCCAAAATAATCCAAATAATTTTAATCCAAAATAATAGCGTTCCTAGAAAGGGTTTGTGCCAATCAAACTAAATCCATTTCTAAACCCATTTAGTTAAACTACTTTATGTAGCCCAGCTCTAAGTAACTTACTCTAGCAGAACGCAGCCATGGTCATGGCTGACTTACCTGCAGTCCCTTCATTATGGGCCCAGTTATATGGTGTTTCCTCTGAACAGGTATTGAATGTTAACCCTCTCCCTGCCACACACTATCTGTGGTCTCTACACCCCATTACCTTGCTGATGTAAAAACACAGTTTGTTTAACGTTAACTCATCTCCATCTCCCTCTGCCCCAAAGCAATAAACATGTTCTATTTGTGGGGACTGAGATTCTTGTCTGGCACACTGCTTTTTAGAACAATATCCACTTTATCAAGTTGTTATTCATAGGAAATTTATAGGAAAATAAACTTATTACTAAACAGTGATTGACTATGAAAATTATAGCTAGGATCTCTATAAAAATTAACACTAAGGAAGATTGTTGGGTTCTTATTTCCCTTCTGAAGAAGAATACACTTATTTGAGACATCAAAGGAAAGAAAACTGGGGTTTGGAAAGATGGGAATGATTTCTCCTGTTACTTACACTTTGGTCATTGTCCTCACTTTTCATGTGGTCTGCTATAAAACTGACTCCATCAATTGCTTCTTGGACTTCTGGAGAAAACTTCATTGAAGATCTTAACCTAAAATCTTGATGGCCACTGATGTTATCCGGATTCTCAGTAACTTTCAAATCATATTTTTTGGCAGAGGCTGTGTTCACAAAGTAGGTGGAGTTTTTGTACAGGTTGGCTGGATCAGTGCATAGATTATCAGATTTATTCTTTCTGCGCTTGCTTAAGCTTTGTCTTGCAGAGGTATTCTCTGGGCGTTTCATGAACAGAAAAGTTGGAAGTTTATGAAGGAAAATCACCTTTACCCATGGGGGCATAGTGTGGGTGCTGGGAGATCTGTGATGGACATTCAGTACACAGACGCTGGTAACTATTGAGAATGTTACTAGTACCATTGTAAACATCAGGTACTTTCCAATCAGTGGAACATCCAGTGATGTTGGTGGGACAATTTTGGAGATCAGCAATAAGAACACAGTCAAGGCAAGCAGTACAGATATGCATAAGGTCATCTTTTCACCACAGTCTGAAGGCAAGTAGAACACCAGGATAGCCAATGATGTAATAAGCACACAGGGAATTATAAGATTGATGGTATAAAAAAGAGGTTTCCTTTTAATAATAAAGTCGTATGTCACATCAACATACTTTGGGTCTAAGGGGTTTACAGTCCTTCTTCCTGGAAGTGCTACAATATCCCATTCTCCACTTGGTCTAAAGTCATCCATGCTTGCCATGGAAGTTTTAAGTACCAAATCTATTTCTGTGTGATCATATGTCCAAGAGCGGAACTTCAGTGTGCAGTTTTGTTGATCAAATGGGAAATGCTTCACCTCAATCCTGCAGGCACTCTTGTAGATGGCTGGAGGCAACCAGAAAATGCTTCCATTGTTCTTTAAAATCACATTTGTATACACAGAAACTTCATATGTACCATCCGCGCTGAGGAAATGGGAGAAAAAACAAACAAATAGTGAAAAGACAAAAACAGCGAGGAGTCCTTGTGGCACCTTATAGACTAACAAATTTATTTGGGCATAAGCTTTCGTGGGCTAGAACCCACTTCATCAGATGCATGGAGTGGAAAATACAGTAGCAGGTATAAATACATGAAAAGATGGGAGTTCCCTTACCAAGTGTGAGGTCAGTCTAATGAGACAATTCAATTAACACTACTTCTTGTCAACTGTTTGAAATGGGCCACTCTCATTACCACTACAAAAGTTATTTTTCCTCCCTTGGTATCCTACGGGTAATTGAATTGTCTCGTTAGACTGACCTCACACTTGGTAAGGGAACTCCCATCTTTTCATGTATTTATACCTGCTCCTGTATTTTCCACTCCATGCATCTGATGAAGTGGGTTCTAGCCCACGAAAGCTTATGCCCAAATAAATTTGTTAGTCTCTAAGGTGCCACAAGGACGCCTTGTTGTTTTTGCTGATAACAGACTAACACGGCTACCACTCTGAAATCAGTGAAGAAACAGAATATGGGTTCAAAATACAGAAAAGGACAAACTACTACATTCTCAGCCTCCTCTACTGAATCCAAAAGGGGTCCCACTATCTCTGCTAGAATTAAACTTCTGTACCCTTTCAATGATAAAACCCATTTTCCAGGTATTTATAAGTTGACAATCAAAACTATGTATACATTTTTCAACCTGGGAATTAACACTTTTGCCAATAGTTAGACAATATCATTTATTAATGATAACGTGTATGTCTAGAGCCTGTTTCATCCAATAATCACCAAGTATTTTAAAAACAATTAATTATGCATTATTACCCCCATTGGGATGTGTAAAGAGATGTAAAGATAAGATAACCCATCACCAAAATACAGCCACCATTGCTTTGGAACACAGCCATTAACAGCACAAGGCAACTCTTCTGAACAGTTTTGAGCAGGAAGTGAAGAAGAATGCTATATTCAGTTGGGGATACAGGGGGAACATGGCAGAACGAATGCAATTACATGAGTTGTAATTTAGGCAGGATAATTGTGATTAAAGCTCCTGCTCTTACTAAAAGTGCCATGGGATTTTTAATGCCCACAAATTCTTAGTTTAGTTTCTCATCCAAAAGATTAAAACTGTACCAGAAGAGTGTCCTCCATCACCAGGGTGGGTAACTGGTTCAGTGGGAAGAGTGTTCCCTAAGTAATGGTGAACACCACTTCCTGCCATACTTCAATGCTCCTTGCAGAATCCTTGAACTAACAGCTTGATGCCACTTTGCATTGCTGTCCTAAAAAATATCATAAGTTAAGTGGCATGACTGCAAATAAATATTCCTGAAAGTATGATCAGGCTGAGATAGGTTTAACAAAAAAGGCTGTTAAGATCCCAAGATTATTTTGCTTAAATATGTCATCCACTCAGGCAGCACTTTTCCCCAAATACGTATTTGTTGATAAACTTAACTGATCCTGTTATTGAAAGACACCATGAGGCTAGAAAAGAGTAACTATTCATCACCTTATTTCTCTGTAAATTAACAAACACATGAATAAAAACTTGAGTAGGAAAATCATTTTTAATAAAACAGGGTTAGTCAGTTTTTAAAGTTAGATGAGAGTAAATATAGTAAGGGAGAAATTGTCTGAATTAGAGTACTCTTTATGTTTTTCCTTTTCCTTTTTATTAAAGAATATAAGGGGAAAAATACATAATTTAGAGGCCATCTATCGTCAGCAAAAAAAATCGGATTAAATTTACCACGGATGTAAATAGCTCCATTGACTTCAACTGAGTTGCACCTACTTTCTGAAGCAGAAATTATGCCATAATATTTAGAAATAGGCATAAGTAATTATTTGCTGTTAATAAAGCTCCTTGAAGAAGAAAAGAGCCATGTAAGTATTAACATTTTTCTTCTAAGTAAAGTGTGAAACAAATAAACAGCCAAATAAATTCTGCACATCAATACTGCGTGTGTGACACAGAGTATTGATGTGCAGAATATATGTATAATTAAAAAACTCTCCTAATCGGTTACAGTTTAAAGGTGCCAGTCTGACAATCCCAGAGAATAAAAATCAACTGAGACCATCAAAGCCATTTCATTTAGGTAATTAACAGCCACCAGAGGCAAGCATGTTTGAATCACTGACAGCATCTTGCTGGCTTCTCTGAATAGTTACTACAACTCCTGAGGAAGCTCGTAGAAGGAAGGTAATATGGATGGGGAGTGTTCAGCTGTTGTTACCTGCACTGGATGTGCCATGTTTGTCTTTCTTCCACAGGACAGAAGCGACTTTGTCTGTACAAAGTGCAAGCTGGTCTCCATATTGGAAGAGAAGGTTCAAGGTCTGGAGCAACAGATATCGACCCTGCGTTGCATAAGAGAAACGGAAGATTTCCTGGACAGACGTTAGGATATGCTTCTACAGACACAACGTTCTGAAGATTCAGAGCAGGCTGCACTGTGGGGACAGGAGGACGGTGAAGAAATTTGGCAGCATGTGACCTCCAGAAGAAGAAAGGGGAGTGTCCATGTACCAGCAACGCAGATACAGGTAAGTAACCATTTTCATGTTCTCTCCACAGGTACTAATGCGGAGAGTGGACTAGATGATACATCTGAGGGAAGGGAACAGAAGGAGACTCCGCTGATTGGAAGGCATGAGATGCACTGTCCTAGGGTTGGGGGTTCCACGATCACCACTCCCAAGAGAAGGAGGCGGGTGGTGGTGGTCGGGGACTCTCTCCCCTCAGGGGGACTGAGTCATCTATCTGCCACGCTGACCGGGAAAACCAAGAAGTCTGCTGCTTGCCAGGAGCTAGGATTTACGATGTGACGGAGAGACTGCCGAGACTCATCAAATCCTCGGATCGCTACCCATTCCTGCTTCTCCACGCGGGCACCACTGATACTGCCAAGCATGGCCTTGAGCAGATCACTGCAGACTACGTGGCTCTGGGAAGAAGGATAAAGGAGTTTGAGGTGCAAGTGGTCTTCTCGTCCGTCCTCTCCATGGAAGGAAAAGGCCTGGGTAGAGACCGTCGAATCATGGAAGTCAACGAATGGCTATGCAGGTGGTGTCGGAGAGAAGGCTTTGGATTCTTTGACCATGGGATGGTGTTCCAAGAAGGAGGAGTGCTAGGCAGAGACGGGCTCTACCTAACAAAGAGAGGGAAGAGCATCTTCGCAAGCAGGCTGGCTAACCTAGTGAGGAGGGCTTTAAACTAGGTTCACCAGGGGAAGGAGACCGAAGCCCTGAGGTACGTGGGGAAGTGGGATACCGGGAGGAAGCACGAGCAGGAGCGTGCGAGAGGGCAGGGCTCCTGCCTCATACTGAGAAAGAGGGACGATCAGCGACTTATCTCAAGTGCCTATACACAAATGCAAGAAGCCTGGGAAACAAGCAGGGAGAACTGGAAGTCCTGGCACAGGCAAGGAATTATGATGTGACTGGAATAACAGAGACTTGGTGGGATAACTCACATGACTGGAGTACTGGAGGGCTCAACGGGTAGTGATCAATGGCTCCATGTCTAGTTGGCAGCCGGTATCAAGTGGAGTGCCCCAAGGGTCGGTCCTGGGGCCGGTTTTGTTCAATATCTTCATAAATGATCTGGAGGATGGTGTGGATTGCACTCTCAGCAAATTTGCGGATGATACTAAACTGGGAGGAGTGGTAGATATGCTGGAGGGGAGGGATAGGATACAGAAGGACCTAGACAAATTGGAGGATTGGGCCAAAAGAAATCTGATGAGGTTCAATAAGGATAAGTGCAGGGTCCTGCACTTAGGATGGAAGAATCCAATGCACCGCTACAGACTAGGGACTGAATGGCTAGGCAGCAGTTCTGCGGAAAAGGACCTAGGGGTGACAGTGGACGAGAAGCTGGATATGAGTCAGCAGTGTGCCCTTGTTGCCAAGAAGGCCAATGGCATTTTGGGATGTATAAGTAGGGGCATTGCCAGCAGATCGAGGGACGTGATCGTTCCCCTCTATTCGACATTGGTGAGGCCTCATCTGGAGTACTGTGTCCAGTTTTGGGCCCCACACTACAAGAAGGATGTGGATAAATTGGAGAGAGTCCAGCGAAGGGCAACTAAAATGATTAGGGGTCTAGAACACATGACTTATGAGGAGAGGCTGAGGGAGCTGGGATTGTTTAGTCTGCAGAAGAGAAGAATGAGGGGGGATTTGATAGCTGCTTTCAACTACCTGAAAGGGGGTTCCAAAGAGGATGGCTCTAGACTGTTCTCAATGGTAGCAGATGACAGAACGAGGAGTAATGGTCTCCAGTTGCAGTGGGGGAGGTTTAGATTGGATATTAGGAAAAACTTTTTCACTAAGAGGGTGGTGAAACACTGGAATGCGTTACCTAGGGAGGTGGTAGAATCTCCTTCCTTAGAGGTTTTTAAGGTCAGGCTTGACAAAGCCCTGGCTGGGATGATTTAACTGGGAATTGGTCCTGCTTCGAGCAGGGGGTTGGACTAGATGACCTTCAGGGGTCCCTTCCAACCCTGATATTCTATGATTCTATGGATGGATATAAACTGTTCAGGAAGGACAGGCAGGGCAGAAAAGGTGGGGGAGTTGCACTGTAGGTAAGGGAGCAGTATGACTGCACAGAGCTCAAGTATGAAACTGCAGAAAAACCTGAGAGTCTCTGGATTAAGTTTAGAAGTGTGAGCAACAAGGGTGATGTTGTGGTGGGGGTCTGCTATAAACCACCAGACCAGGGGGATGAGGTGGACGAGGCTTTTTTCCAGCAACTCATGGAAGTTACTAGATTGCAGGCCCTGGTTCTCAATCACCCTGATATCTGCTGGGAGAGCAATACAGCAGTGCACAGACAATCCAGGAAGTTTTTGGAAAGTGTAGGGGACAATTTCCTGGTGCAAGTGCTGGAGGAACCAACTAGAGGCAGAGCTCTTCTTGACTTGCTGCTTACAAACCGGGAAGAATTAGCAAGGGAAGCAAAAGTGGATGGGAACCTGGGAGGCAGTGACCATGAGATGGTCGAGTTCAGGATCCTGACACAGGGAAGAAAGGAGAGCAGCAGAATATGGACCCTGGACTTCAGAGAAGCAGACTTTGACTCCCTCAGGAAACTGATGGGCAGGATCCCCTGGGAGAATAACATGAGCGGGAAAGGAGTCCAGGAGAGCTGGCTGTATTTTAAAGAATCCTTATTGAGGTTACAGGGACAAACCATCCCGATGTGTAGAAAGAATAGTAAATATGGCAGGTGACCAGCTTGGCTTAACAGTGAAATCCTTGCTGATCTTAAACACAAAAAAGAAGCTTACAAGAAGTGGAAGATTGGACAAATGACCAGGGAAGAGTATAAAAATATTGCTCGGGCATGCAGAAGTGAAATCAGGAAGGCCAAATCACACCTGGAGTTGCAGCTAGCAAGAGATGTTAAGAATAACAAGAAGGGTTTCTTCAGGTATGTTTGCAACAAGAAAAAAGTCGAGGAAAGTGTGGGCCCCTTACTGAATGAGGGAGGCAATCTAGTGACAGAGGATGTGGAAAAAGCTAATGTACTCTTTTTTTGCCTCGATCTTCATGAACAAGGTCAGCTCCCAGACTACTGCACTGGGCAGCACAGCATGGGGAGGAGGTGACCAGCCCTCTGTGGAGAAAGAAGTGGTTCAGGACTATTTAGAAAAGCTGGACGAGCACAAGTCCATGGGGCTGGATGCGCTACATCCGAGAGTGCTAAAGGAGTTGGCGGATGTGATTGCAGAGCCGTGGGCCATTCTTTGAAAACTCATGGCGATCGGGGGAAGTCCTGGATGACTGGAAAAAAGGCTAATGTAGTGCCCATCTTTAAAAAAGGGTAGAAGGAGGATCCAGGGAACTACGGGCCAGTCAGCCTCACCTCAGTCCCTGGAAAAATCATGGAGCAGGTTTTCAAGGAATCAATTCTGAAGCACTTAGAGGAGAGGAGAGTGATCAGGAACAGTCAGCATGGATTCACCAAGGGCAAGTCATGCCTGACTAACCTAATTGCCTTCTATGACGAGATAACTGGCTCTGTGGATGAGGGGAAAGCAGTGGACATGTTGTTCCTGGACTTTAGCAAAGCTTTTGACACGGTCTCCCACAGTATTCTTGCCAGCAAGTTAAAGAAGTGTGGGCTGGATGAATGGACAATAAGGTGGATAGAAAGCTCGCTAGATTGTCGGGCTCAACGGGTAGTGATCAATGGCTCCATGTCTAGTTGGCAGCCGGTATCAAGTGGAGTAACCCAAGGGTCGGTCCTTGGGCCGGTTTTCTTCAATATCTTCATAAATAATCTGGAGGATGGTGTGGATTGCACCCTCAGCAAGTTTGCAGGTGACACTAAACTGGGAGGAGAGGTAGATACGCTGGAGGGTAGGGATAGGATACAGAAGGCCCTAGACAAATTAGAGGATTGGGCCAAAAGAAATCTGATGAGGTTCAACAAGAACAAGTGCAGCGTCCTGCACTTAGGACAGAAGAATCCCATGCACCGCTACAGACTAGGGACCGAATGGCTCGGCAGCAGTTCCGCAGAAAAGGACCTGGGGTTACAGTGGACAAGAAGCTGGATATGAGTCAACAGTGTGCTGTTGTTGCCAAGAAGGCCAATGGCATTTTGGGATGTATAAGTAGGGGCATTGCCAGCAGATCGCGGGACGTGATTGTTCCCCTCTATTCGACATTGGTGAGGCCTCATCTGGAGTACTGTGTCCAGTTTTGGGCCCCACACTACAAGAAGGATGTGGAAAAATTGGAAAGAGTCCAGCGGAGGGCAACAAAAATGATTAGGGGACTGGAACACATGACTTATGAGGAGAGGCTGAGGGAACTGGGATTGTTTAGTCTGCAGAAGAGAAGAATGAGGGGGGATTTGATAGCTGCTTTCAACTACCTGAAAGGGGGTTCCAAGAAGGATGGATCTAGACTGTTCTCAGTGGTAGCAGATGACAGAACAAGGAATAATGGTCTTAAGTTGCAGTGGGGGAGGTTTAGGTTGGATATTAGGAAAAACTTTTTCACTTGGAGGGTGGTGAAACACTGGAATGCGTTACCTAGGTAGGTGGTGGAATCTCCTTCCTTAGAAGTTTTTAAGGTCAGGCTTGACAAAGCCCTGGCTGGGATGATTTAACTGGGAATTGGTCCTGCTTTGAGCAGGGGGTTGGACTAGATGACCTCCTGAGGTCCCTTCCAACCCTGATATTCTATAATTCTATTCTATGATTCTATGACAGCTTGGGGCAATTACAACTAGCAGCATAGAAATGTAAGGCTCTTTAATCCATTGCCAGTCATCTGGTACTCAGCAACATAGAATCTCTTTGCCTTATTCATTTTATCTCTTCATGCTGGTTCTATAGGCCTGGATCTACAAAGGAACCTAGATGTGACGCTAAGCATCACAACGCATAACTTTTAGGTGTCTAGAAAATCACAGGAACAACACTGTGACCCAGAATTAGACACCTGGCACCCTGTACAATGAATGTGGAGAGAGAGGCTCCTTAGAATACAATCCACAAAAGCCAGCATCCTAGGTGGGAAGCCACCTATACTAGGCACTGGGAGATGCTGACCAGAGGAGTGTGTCCTCAGTCCTGCTCTGCCCTCAGAGATAGGTTTTTAAGTCTGGCCTGCAGGGAGGTGCCTATTTGTGCTAGTGATCCATGAACTGGGAGGAAGACCTATTCTGGCACCTAAACTAAGTGCAGGGCCTGATCTGATATATGGGCTCAGAGGCCACCTAATTCCATGCAAAACAGCTGGGAGGATGGAGGAGGAAGATCATTCTTATAACTGTTAGCCCAATGATTAGGGTAATCACCTGGGATGTGGGAGACAATGGGTTCTAGTTCCCCCTCTTCTTGATGAGAAGGGATTTGAACAGGGATCTACCACCTCTCCTTGAAGAGATTTTTCACTGTGCAGTATACAATATTATTAATCTAAATAATATCCTAAGCTTACTTGAAGCTTATTTTCCCTGCAAAAGAAAAAGATTTGGGGATTTTTTTTCTTGCTAAATCAACAGGATTTTTGTTTCTGTTTAAAATCTTTGCAACATTTTTTGTATCAAAACTTACTTATTGTAAAGCACAATGTCGGGCAGCCAGATTTGCTTAGATGGGATTCTCAGCTTATTTATGCCTTCATAGTCAGAGGGCTGCCATGCCAAACGATAGTCGGTCCATTCCTAGAGAAAGAATTGTACAGCAGTGATGTAAGTTATTTGTGTCAGTCAAGTCATACTGACAACAAGAAAGCAATGTGTTAGTAGATTGCAATAGCATCCCCATGGGATGGTTACCTGGTTTAGCCAGACATTTGTGGTCATGATCTGTTCACGTTCATTCTAAAGAAGGAAAAAACATTTATAAATCTAAACTGTACAAGTTAGTTCTATTATTAGGATTTATTCATAAATCTTTCAGGGATACCTCAAACTCCTGGCTGCCTAAAACCATTGCATATAATGTAAAATCTACCTCTTATAACATTAGGAATCTTTCTGTGTCTACTGGTCTATCACTAAAATGCACAATTCTGACTATATTAATAATAATCATCACATAAAATATGACATGGTACAGAATTTCATACAATTATGTAATTCATTATAACTGTTAACTAAGATGGACTTGGGTATGTGCAGCTTTAAGAAGCTGTTTTTAAAACCCTAGAACAAGAAATGGGTAAAGTAATAGTCTTCTGACCATCTTTTTCTATTCATCAGGTCAATGGAATCGTCATTTTGGATTATACCACTATTGGGGCTAGTACAGGTTGGGGGCTCTCATCCACTCTGAACTGGACGACCAGCACCTAGGAGTATTAAAAGAATTGGCAAGGAACTCTCTGAACGACTACTGTTGATTTTTAACAAATCTGGGAATACTGAGAAAGTTCCAGAGGACTGGAAGAAGCTAATGCTGTACCAATATTTGAAATGGATAAACGGAATGACCTGGATGAGTGCAGGTCAGTTAGCCTGAAAATGATTGTAGGCAAAATCATAGAAAGGCAGATATAGAACTCAGTCAGTACAGAATTAATGGATGGTAGCATAATTAATGTCAATCAACATGATTTTATGGGTAATAGGTCTTGTCAAGCGAACTTGACATGGATTTTTTTGATGAGATTACATGTTTGGTTGATGTAATATACTTAAAATTCTGCGAGGCATTTGACTTAGTCCCACATGTCATTCTGATAAAAATAAATAGTGATCCCAGTGATATACAGAATCAATGAGGCCCCTATTAAATGGATTAAAAACTGGTTAACTGATAGATTGCCAAAACTAATTGTAAATAGGGAATTTATGATTCTGTGGGGATGTTTCTAGTGGAGTTTCAGGGGGATCTGTTCTTGGTCCTATATTCAATATTTTTGTTGATGATTTAGAAGAAAATATAAAGTCATTGCAGATAAAATTTACAGATGACATAAAAATTAGTGGAGTGGTAAATAAAATGAGGATAGATAAATTATGAAGAAAGATTTCTATAAAGCTGAGATTCCTGAAGCCACACCAGTTTTGACATTCCATAAGACCCAGAAAGATTCTAGCAATAGAACTAAGGCTTATTCTCATTGCAGATTTTTGTTCATTCAACAATGTAAATAATTCTACCAGTGATCCAAGAGCAGCAGCAGCCTTAATGACATGGATGATGAAAAACGATAAGAAGGCTGAGAGAAGAACAAAGGAGGGTAAAGCAGAGTGACCTGTGACAGTTACTAATGTCTGAGTGAGACTGGCAGGGAGAGGACACTGTCAAATAGCTGAGACCCCAAATATTGTCCTAGATAAAAATGGTGAGAAGTATTCAGATTCTAAATATATTTATCTTAAAAATCCATCACGCCATTGAAGAGATTCTATTTTCAAACTGTTGAAGGAGTATTCCAAACAATAAAGAGTAATGAACTCCTCCCTCCGCTATGCCAAGGGGCTTGATGTTTTGGGAGACTGGTAAAGCATATTTTAAATTTTAAATATTTTCTACTGGGTAATAGACCCTTTCACTGCTGGGTTACTGATTTAAATCTAGACCAGGTAAATAATGACTGCAAGAAGCTGTTAATATCTGATGATCACTCAGTGTTCTATCTAAAATTACATAAGAATGGTGATACTGGGTTAGACCAATGATCCACCTAGCCCAGTATCCTATCTCTTACAGTGGCCAATGCCAAATGCTTCAGAGGGAATGAACAGAACAGAGCAATTTTGAGTAATCCATCCAGTCCCAGCTTCTGCCAGTTGGAAGTTTAGGAACACCCAGATCATGGGGTTGCATCCCTGATCATCTTGGCTTATTGTCATTGATGGACCAGTCCTCTATTAACTTATCTAATTCTTTTTTGAACCCAGTTATACTTGGCCTTTGCAACTTCCCATGGCAATGAGTTCCACAGGTTGGTTGTGTGTTGTGTGAAGAAGTACTTCCTCTTGTTTGTTTTAAACCATCTGTCTATTAATTTAATCAGGTGATGCCTAGTTGTTGTATTTATGTGAAGGGGTAAATAACACTTCCGTATTCACTTTCTCCATACCGTTCGTGATTTTATAGATTGCTATCATATCTCCCCTTAGTTGTCTCTTTCCTAAAATGAACAATCCCAGTCTTTTTCATCTCTCCTCATATGGAAGTTGTTTCACACCCTTAATCATTTTTGTTGCCCTTCTCTGCACCTTTTCCAATTCTAATATATCTTTTTAAAGATGTGGTGACCAGAACTGCACAAATTATTGAAGGTTTGATATTTCCTGTTTTATTATCTATCTCTTTCCTAATGGTTCCTAACATTGTTAGCTTTTTTGACTGCTGCCACACATTGAGAGGAAGTTTTCAGAGAACTATCCACGATGACGCCAAGATCTCTTTTTGAGTGGTAACAGCTAAATTAGATCCTATCATTTTGTATGTACAGTTGGGATTAATTTTTCCAATATGTATTACTTTGTATTTATTAACACTGAATTTCATCTGCCATTTTTTGCCCAGTCAGTTTAGCGAGATCCCTTTTGCAGTCTGCTTTGGACATAACTGTCAAGTAATTTTGTATCGTCTGCAAATTTTGCCACTCACTGTTCACTCCCTTTTCCAGATCACTTATGAATATGTTGAACAGCACAGGTCCCAGTACAGATCCTTGGGGGACCCTGCTATTTACCTCTTTCCTTTGTGAAAACTGACCATTTATTCCTACCCTTTGTTTCCTATCTTTTAACCAGTTATTGAGTCATGGAAGGACCTTCCCTTTTATCCCATGACTGCTTAGTTTGCTTAAAAACCTTTGGTGAGGGACCTTGTTGAAAGCTTTCTGAAAGTTGAAGCACACTATATAGTTTGGATCACTCTTGTCTACATGCTTGTTGACTTCCACAAAGAATTGTAATAGATTGGTGAGGCATAATTTCCAGTTAGTAAAGCCATGTTGACTCTTCCCCAACATGTGTTTATCTGTGCATGTAATAATTTTTTTCTTTACTATACTTTCAAACAATTTGTTTGGTACTGTAGTTAGGCTTACCAGCCTGTAATTGCCAGGATCACCTCAAGAGCCTTTTTTAAAAATAGGCATTACATTAGTATCTTCCAGTCATCTGGTATGGAGGCTGATTTAGGTGATAGGTTACATACCATAGTAAGTAGTTCTGAGACTTCATATGTGAGTTCCTTCAGAACTCTTGGATGAACACCATCTGGTCCGAGCGACTTATTACTGTTTAATTTATCAGTTTGTTCCAAAATGTCTTGTACTGACACCTCAGTCAGATTTGTCACGTAAAAAGAATGGCTTGGGTGTGAGGCTCTCCCCCACATCCTCTGCTGTGAAGTGGTAGAGGGTCTCCCTGGTGGACACATCACAAAAAGCCAACGTAACCGTCACTAATGTGTATCCTGGCAGGACGTCTCAACAAGATGTCAAAGACTGAATGGATATGGAGACCTGTCTGGTTTCTTGTCTGTAGAGGTAGTTACTCTAGCTGTGGGAAGGGGCTCATTAGTGGAAGCCTCACCTGCTGCTTCTTATGCTCTACCCATTCTGTGGATAAACAGAAGTCTCCTCAATTCTGCACCTTTCTCCAGCATTAAATTCACAGGCACTGTACTCTCTAGAAATAGGTGAGTCGCTACCTGGCAATTAAATTGACCAAACCTCATTGACTCTCTTTTTCTCGTTAGTTGGCTGTAAACACAAAGGGGCCCTTTAAATTAAGTAGCTTGGCAGCCAGCATAAAAGCAATTTGGATGGAAGATAAGGACAAAAAGATAATCAAGCTGTCCTTAAATGTTGCTTCAGACCTGCAGGGCAATAGCAGGAAGTGGAGCTGGAGTGGTTTTTCAGATAAGAGACGCCAGTGAAAAGGGCCAAAAATACAAAGATAAACTAAATCAGTTAAGACTCAATATTGTCCCTTAGCAATATTGCTAATTGCCTTTAAGTTCCCAGCCATTGCCCTGGGTTAGCCTTGTCTCACTAATTCCAATGTCATAGTTATCTCTAGAAATTGAGTCTGTGTCTTCAAATTAACAATGTTAGGTAAATAGAATATGTATAAGTAATAGCTAGATTATTATTTGTTTTTATTTTCTTTCTTGATCTTCTGTTTATTTTATTGTCTATTCTGCTTGGGACTCAGTTGGATTCAATAAATCCATTCCTTCCCTCATTATTCGTCTGAGTTGATGCCACACTAGTTGGTCAGTGAGACTCTTGATCTCTCATTTTACAGGAAGATTTATCATAAAGATGCTCTAGATTAAATCATGTGAGGCCCTTTATGGGCCTGGATCCTGGAATTCCTTTCAGGACAGGAAGCAGGGTTGTTGCATTACTGTGACAAAGTGAGTGGAGGCTATGCATGAGCAATAGTACATTTCAGGCTCCCTGCACTCTGCTCCCTATATGTAAGGGGATGGTTGCCCCCTTACTAACATTCAGTGGGGGTGTTTTGGTTGGTTAGCTCCGGGTGCTAAAAGGGGAAGGGTCAATGGGAAATCAGGACCCTGAGACTGACAGTCCCCAGGAACAATGGAGAGAGGTCAGTGCTCCAGGTCAGCCTGAAGGACAGGGCGGGTAGGCTAATCAGGGAGTCAGGAGGCCACAGGGGTCCCATCGTCCTCTGTGTGAGCTGGAATTGCCTGGGTCAGACAGAGTGGGACCAACCTAAGGAGAAAGCAAGGGCCCAAGCTGAGCTGCGGAGCAGAACCATGCCAGATCCAGAGGGGCCAGAAAAGCAGCCCAGGAAGCAGGTCAGAGTTGGGAGCAGAGTCACAGAAGCAGCCCAGGGAGAGAGCAGATCCTGTGCTGGGAGCAGAGCTGCAGCCACAGAGCCAGGTGTGGTGAGCAACTGTGGCCAGCCAAGGGGGGACCCTGGGCAAAGGGCCCAGCGCAGAAAGACACCGCCAGCCAAGGGTCCTTGCAGGCCAGACTGGGAGGGGGATCTTAACCTGATGGGAGGCGCTGACGCTGGGAAGAAGGGTCCCACCACCCAAAGCCTGGAGGTGTGTGGCCACCACCAGAACAAGTGTCCAACCCGCAGCATCCCTGCAGCACAGCCAGGGCCTGAGAAGGAGGCCTGGGACTTACAAGGAACAGACTGTGAACTGCCCTAGCATTCCAGAGACACTGTTTGTAATGTTCCCTGCCACAGAGCAAGGTGATGTGTTTTCCTTTACCTTTCCCATTTTTCCTTATTATTTTTAAAATTAATTGTTGATTTAAATAACTTGCATTTGCTTTAAATTGTATGTAATGATCAGTGGGTCAGGGAAGTACCCAGTGCAGAGAGAGTACCCCGGAGTGGGGACACCCTAGCCCCTGTCCTAGGTGACCACAGCAGGGTTGGGGGGTTGACCTCCGGAATCCTGGGCCCTGCCTTGCTGGGGTTACGAGGACTCTGCCAGACAGGAGAGTGGAAGGGGAGTCCTCAAGGGCAGGGAGGCCTCTGGGTAAAGGAAGTGGGAACAAGGACTAAGATCTTTTTGCTATCCCACCTCACCGGGGTAGTGCAGAAGCCAGGAAAGTTCCCCACAATAGTGGGACCATTCCCCCGCTTATATATAGGGTATGTCTACAGTGCAAATTAAGGTATAATTGTGGGGTAGGTAGGCATACCCAAACTAGATTTAATCTTGATAGCATGGGTAATGATGGCAGCGAAGACTCGGTGGTATGGGCTACCACCTCACTACATGCCTGCTGCTGACCCTGGGTATATACTCAGGTTGTTAGCCTATGCTGGGGTTCATGCCACTGTGTCTTCACTACTGTTGGTATGGGAGCTAGTTAAATCAGAGCTAAAGCAGGTATACCATACAATTGAACTGTAATTTACTGAGTAGCTGTACCCTAAGACCATGTCTACACTAGGAAAGGGTGTTTTTTTAACATATGTTAACTTATGTTAAGATCTTATGTAGAGGATGCAGTTTAATTTGTGAAGTGGTCAAGGCAAACTGTAGGAATTCTCCAGCTAACACATATGGAAACTACAGCTTGTCTTCTCTTCCCTAAGATCTTAACGTGTCATCTAAGCTGTTAAAAACACCTCTTTTTCTCGTGTAGATATTGCCTAAGAGTTTGTCCGCACTAGTGTTTTTGACTGTTATGTTATCTAATGCAAATCAATTGGCAATCATTTACCTGTTTGTATGGTCAGGTCTGGATACTCCACAAATATTTGTGGTTTACCTTATCCTGAGCTCTAGGAATAAATGTCTGTGGAGTGTTCAGGCTAGCTAATTTTATCTGTCTGTGCATTTATACCTTGTTCATCACCACAGTGTCTGATAAAAGGAGAACACACTGCTTTACTCCTACACAAACCCATAGTATGGCCTTGTTTCATTTGCACCTGGCCATTCAGATATATTGGGTGGAAGAGAGAACCAGACTGATCATGAGACAATAGTGACATCAAAGTGATTGGGGGCGAGGGTGGGCAGGGGGGAAGTTGTTCCAGAAGTTGTGAAAAGCCTTGTGTCCTTATATAAGCTTCAGAGGCAGTTGTTGAGAGCCTCTCCAGTAGTACAGCAGGCTGTGTCAAGAAGGTGGACGTCTGCATCTGGGCTAAATATCACCAAGTGTAGGCACTTTGGCAAATTTAGAACAGATATCCTACTGCATGAAGGAGAAGGAAGAGCCTTTGGATAGGATTCCTTCCACACTTAGAATTATATCATTAGCAATATAGTATGTCTAAGTTTTATGGGTCCGGAGCACCCGTCCCTGTGAGCAAATGTGGGCATGTGTGTCTCTGGTACAGTCTGGATGACAGGGAGGGGCAGTGGCTTTGTTGCACATACCTTCCCTCTGTTGGAGCATATGGAAGTCTCCCTGGCATGGCTGGGCCTCTAAAGACAGAAGGGCAAAGATCCTGGAGGACTTCTGCCAAGAAATCCCTGAAGGTGGCGCTAATGCTCCTAAAAAGCACCATTAACTCTCTTAGGAAGCATCTGTCCCTATAGAAGAAGTGGTTGGAGCTGAGCAAATGGCAGTGCTGTGCCTAATCAATTCTTGCTGCCATGTGGGAGGAAGGCCTTGCAGTGGCTCTGGAGGAGCTTGCTAACCCAAGTGATGGTCTGGGATCTATGCACTTACTGTTTACCTTATTGCTCCTGGGTTCTGTGAGGTTTGCAGACCATGCTTCCCCCTATTCTGTGAGTCTGCACCCTTCATTCCTTGTGGGAGGACCATGGGGACTCTCTGAAAGGGAACTCAGTCAGTGTCTCCAGATGGAATCTCCTAGCGGAGGGGAACATGGGGCCAACAATCCCTTTGTTTATATTAGAATATCTGTTGGGTAAGGAATTCCGTATCTTCAAACGCATGCATTCATGCAGCTTCCTATTACTTCCATTGGTGTCTTTCTGCTTCCTGTCTTATATCAAAATTAGAAATATATGTCACTTTCCAACTTCAGCGTACTTTATAATTAATCACTAGTTCATCATTACAAAAACCATGGCAGGTCACTCCTATGCCCATTTTACAGCTAGGGGGACTGAGGCAGAGTTCAAGACATAACCCTATTTATGGGCCAGATGCTTTTCCCACTGCAGTCAATAACAAAACCTCCATTGCCTTTATTGGTGCAGCATCCAGTCCTAGAATAGCTCTTAGGCATTGTGTACAAACCCCACCTGGGCAACAAGGGGTTAAGGTCTTACCTTGGATCTAGGCAGCCCTACCCTGCCATACCTATAGGATATGCTCCAACTGGAGGAGGAGTTAAAAGGCTGGGGAACAGCTATTTTGGGGCAGACCAAGGAGCAGAAAGAAGGCAGAAATTTCTCCCTAAGATAACTGCCCAAAGGTCCCTCCCTGAAGGAAGGGAGGACCTGCCACAGAGACAGCCTGAGAGGAAAGCATTTCACTCTCCCCCTCATATGAGCTTTGGACTTTGGTAATTCCCTTAGGTTTTTTGTTTGGACTACCCCAGCAGGGGAAAGCCCCTTGGGCTGAGCTGGCACAGGAAGGTGGCCATACCATGGGAGAAGGCAGTTGCCACCTGAGAAAGGGAGATACCATGCTGCATGCCATCACTAGAAGGTGCTTTGTGGGGGTGAATGGGCAGCCTTCATGCCGCCTTAACCCAGATGGTGACTTGGGACAATCGCGGGGGGGAGACAGGAAGTGGCCCAGGGAGGGCAGCCTTAAGCTGCCTCCGCTGTCAGATCAGACTGATAGCCCTCAAAGGGCCTTAGGTCGGAGCCCGGTGGAGTGGGAGGGCCCCGGGCTCCCCTACCAACAACCCCTCTGCAGGACATAGGCCTTAGCCCTGAACACTAGGTGACACTACCTGACCAACCAACCCCTGAGTGAGGACCACCATAGGCACATATTTAATTTTAAGAATGTGCTTGAACTCCATTTAAGTTAAAGCTCATGCAAAAGTTAAGCATATATCTAATTGCTGTCCTAAATAGGGATTAGGTAAGTCCTTTCCTAAGTGATTTGGTCTAGACCCCATAGAGATTCAGAGCTCTTGGACAGGAGTTCCTGGCCCTCACTTCTGTGCTCAGACCATACCACATTTTTTCACTGTACACAGCAAAAGATAATTTATCATTATACACATTATGGAGAAGATCATCATGTGCTGTAAATTGGTGTGGCTCTATTGAAGTTGATGGAACTATGCCAGATTGTGTCAGCTAAGGATCTGGCTCTGTATTTTTCAGTACTTTGTAGTTTAGGAATGAAGAGATCTCCTTTTGCCTGAATAAAGGTTACACTTACACATTCTGAATATTGCATGATGGACAAATAGATAATAAAACATATGTATCTTCCCATGTCACTTATGATTATATAAACCATATAATAACAGAGACAGTCATGCTAATACAATCTATCACCTACAGAGCGTGCTACCTCTTCAAAGTTCTGTACAAATAGTAATGAATGAAAAAGCACATCTTATTCAAACTTACCACACTGATTAGCTGTGCCAGGGAAACCAGCAGTTCTATAGATACCAACTGTGAGGAGTTGACAGCAGGGCGAATTAACTTATTATACCTGGCAGGGCTCAGTAGGTGGTTCATTAGCTTCTCCTCAGCATCTGCTGCGTCGCTTCCTGTAAAACAGCACAGAACAGGATCCCAACATGAAGAAGAGATTACATTATGAGGCGAGCATTGCAGCGCAGAATCCTCATCCAAATCAAATAAGAAAAGCTCTAGATTTTTGAAAGATTCTAACTGAATGTGAAACAGAAGGATCTGGGTTTATTATGAAAGCCTTTTGGGACAAATTCTGCTCTACTGAAGTCAGCTTTGTTGGACAAGACATAAATCAAGGCAGAATTTACCCCTTTGCTTTTCATGTTAAAACTGGAAACTCTTCATCAGTGCAGCACCAAAGCAATAGGTACTCTGTGTTATGGTGTGAAATAGAAATTGGAAGTCCTTTTTCTTGTTTTAGGAAGAGATTTCTGAAGACCCAGAAGACAGATGTCCAATCCCATTTGTGACTTGAAAATCTCCCCTTTAACTGTCCTAGAAGATGAAGGAGGAATCCCAGGCACATGTATGGTAGGAAAAGTGTGCGCTATTTATAGGGAAGAGCCTGGGGATAAACTTTAGAAAGGTTTTCAAATGATTAAAGAACACTATATATTTCTGGTTCTAGACTATTTTGATGAAGTATAGCAGAACCAAAAGCACTATTCTAGACTTGGGCCTTCTGACAGTTGGAAACCAAAACTGAGAAATGGAGTAGCCATAATATTAACACTTTAAATTCTAGGTGACCAATTATTTAAGTGACTTGTGAAATATAACATCTGAGGGATTCCAGGTTATCAAGTAATCCAGAACATTTTCTATTAGTTGAAGTAGTCTATGGCACAACTCCAGAGATAATGAAATCCGTTATTAGGCTCTTGCTTATGTTCTCGAAGCTCCCAGTGTTGTCCTCTGCAAACTACTGTTGACAACATAATAGATTAAGAAGCAAATTCTGCTCTGAGTTACATGAGTGTAAATCTGGAGAAACTCCATTGACTTCAGTGGTATAACCCTGAGCAGAATTTGGGCCTTATTGATCAACACTGTTGCTGTTAGAGACCCCAGCAGCTTCTCATAGAGATACAAATCCTCCACAGGAAGCAGGAAATTTATATAAGGGCTAGATTATTTTCCTAGTTAAAATGGTAAATGTAGAGTAACTCTGAACTGGTGTGACTCCACTGACTGACATAAATGGAGTTACTTTCTGATTTATACTGGTGTGAATGAGAAGACATTCTGGTCCAGGGGATAGAAATATCAGTAATTTAAATATCTTCTCCTCTTTCAAATAAGCAAATAACTCTATCCCCAAAAAATCTGGGGAGAGGGGGAGATAATCTGACGCTGGGTAATATTTATCTCCTTTACACCCTCTTCACGTACATTCCCAATATTCCTAAAAACATAGTCATTGCAAAGCAGTTATGTGCAGTAAAAGCCATTAAGCATTACAAATATTTCACATTTATAATACATTAGGGTAGCATGCTCAATACACTGTAGCATGTCAGTAAGACTCAAAGAGGACCAGTCATCAGAAAGCTTGTATCCAATAATCCTCCAAGTGGTTGAATTGCTTATATCTGAAGAGTTGCTTAATTTGACCTAGAACTGGGCTAAAATCTCTTGAGAACAGGCTTTCTCTTGAGAATCGTGGTACTTTTGGATTATGCCCAGGTTAGAAATGCTACAAGAAGAGCCTCTCAGTATTTTTGCTTCTGATTTAAATGAGGAAAATGTAGGATATAGCCACCCAAACACTTTCACATCTCAGAGCAGGATCTGTTAAACCTTTCTGGAGAGGTTGAGGTGAATATTAGCATTGCTCATTCCCTTAAGAACCAGCATCTAGCAAGGCATTGATAGCATAGCAAATTTACACAATGCGTGACAGAAATGTATACCATCTCTCTCTGCAAATATGTCCATGGTGCACACTCACGAGCTTAGCCTCACACCTTTAATTACTTTATTGACATTTCCATGGGAGAAGATAAGATATACAACAAGCAGTGATCAGTGCCTGTGTGTGAAAAGACGAAGCTAAGCAAAATGCAAAGTATTCACTTTGCATATTTTCCACTGTGAAAAGGGAGAGATTTGTGAAATTTTACAAAAGCAAAAATTGCATAAATATCAACATCCTCTGCTCACAACATTCTTTTTGCCAGTAAAAAAAAATTATTCAGATCCAACCTGATTGGCATTGAGCCAAAGAGAAAAAATCTCTGGTAAGCCATGAGTCTTCTAGGGCAGTGTTCTTTCCATGCCTCAGATCCTACTTTGCCAGTCTGGTGAGTCACTGACACCCAGATGGGGTTGGTAGAGTGTTGTGTGATGTCTTTTCAGCCAGTGGACTGCCTAAGATGACATTGTAGTCTCAAGCATTGGAATTCCCAACAGTCAGTGGTGTTGACAGCAACAAGGTGTTTCATACAGGCACTATATTTTTCACTCTGAAAATCCAGTGAAAAGTTGGTTTCTTCATCAAGTAGGATTTTTTTTCACAGAGCCCTAAGAAAGAGAAATTATATCTCCTGTTGGTGATTTGTGTAGCCTCTGGTAATTTTAAGGAGTAATAGCTATAAAAAGACAAGATGCCAAATTATCTTCACATTTACGTTGTTGCTACCACATTGAAGATGTACCTTAGTAAGTGAGAGGACAGTTTGGCTCATGGGACATGTGGGTATGTAAGTTAGGGCTCACATATGGGCCATCGATTTGACACGGTAGTCACTACAATCGGGTGATGGGGCATTCAAGAGCCAACTTGAGTATCCATATGCAGTGTGTTGACAGTGTGCACATTTTATTCATCTTTATATTCGGCTCACAGTATGCCTGAACTAGGAATGCCATGTAAGCATACTTTTGAACATGTCCATTTGGATAGGAGAGCCAGCTTAGATTTGAATTCAAGGCAGATGCTACATATTGCATAGGATCTTAAAGATCATTGAAAAAAAGTGAAGATTTCCCCTGCCCTTTAGAAAAAGCTCTGCTTGACATTTAACATCTTGCTTACTTTATGAGCTAGAAGTGCCACTTTGAGATGATGTCTGTTGCAATGACCACTCAGTGTGTGTTCTGTAGCTCTCCAGCTCTGAAAATACTATCATAACAAGAGACAACCATGTGATCAATTACCAAATGTGATCAAAATAATTCAGACTGAATTGCTCAGGTCAAGAATTTCCAGACAAGTAGCAGCCAGGTGGGAAAAGATTTTTATTTACTGTTGAGTTATTACTCTGTATGTCATGGTATCCATTTCTACAGAAATGCATAGGATAAGTGTAACAGTCATTCAAAATGTTTCGCGAGACCTCGTTATCTAATGCAGATGGTAAAAAGCTGAGCTAGCAGTTCATTCCTGTGTCTGTCTCTTTACTCTCAGTCACAGCAGCAAGAGTAACAAATGCAAGCCCTGTACTATTTCACCAAAATGGAAAATTGAAAACATACGTCAAAATTGTTAGTATGCTGCCCTTTCATCCGTTACTCCAGTGCATCCTGGGACAGCTTCAAGTGGGTGGGGAAAGGGTGTGACTTGTTCTCATCCAGAAGAGCGTTGATGTTCCACTGCTGTTCTTAAAGAGCTCAGATTATAACATGCAATAGTAAAGCTGTTTTTTCTTGTTGATTACTATTAATGAACTATTACATATAACATCACCTCTTTGGCAACAAATCACAGTTCTCTCCTTTCTTCTTGTGGAAGTGATGGGCCGGTACCACTGGTGTTTCTCTTCCCTAGGGCTGAATTACATATTCTGGCAATTGACTGCTCTCTGGGTAGACACAGAATAATACAGTTAATGAAGAAGATGATGATGATGATCATACCTAGCCTTTCTACAGCATGTTTCAGTTGAGTGAAACTCCTATTGATTTCAGTGAGAATTGCACTGAAATGACACAATCAAGGTCAAAGACTGAGTCAGTAACAGAACAAAAGCCAACATACTATCTGGAAATAGGTGCAGGATCCTTGACACTCCTTCTATCCACTCCTCCCCATGTCAACTCTAACCCCTAGCTCATGCTCCAGCCTGGGAACTGTATAGAAAAGTATCATTTTCTTCTTTTGAATGTCAAAAAGTTTGTTCAGTTTGCCTCTTTTCCTCATTATTAATAGCTGCCTGTTCCTAGCTGCTGATATTCACAAAGTCCTGCAGTGAAAAATTCCACCAAGTTTATTGTACTGTGATTAATTTCACTGCTGGGATGCTTTCAGGGTAATTTTTCTGTCATGCAAATGTTGTCTTTGGTGTTTTTTCTAATATGTTATGGACACGAAAGGCCAGATTCTGCCCTTCAGTAAGGCCCCTGAGCTTCTCTGGCACTACAACAGAGCTGTAAAGTTGCACTAAACTGGCAGCTGAAATTTCTCTGAAATAGAGGAGTACACCTCAGCTGGTGTAAAGCTGGTGTAACTGCCTTTGCATCAGCCCCCCTCCCAGACTGCCAGCTGGTGTATGGGCTGGGCTTAGAATATGTGGCTAGAGTGCTGATTCTCCAGTGATCCCCAACCAATGTAATTTAGACTGCTCTAAGCTACACCAGGGCCAGACTGGTCCTTGGCAGCCCCAGCAATTGGTAAGCACAAAGGTGGCTTTAAGCCCCCTTGCCCCCTCTCCTCATCCTTTTCTCTGGAGAAGCTGAGGATCTAACCCAAAGAATATTGCATACTCCACTACCTTATGCCTAGAATTGCCACTCAGTGAGGTTTTGTAATGAGACAGAAAACAAACTGTGTCTTTCAGTGACACCATTCAGATCTTTCCATCCTGAGACTCATTTGAGAGTCACAAAGCACTTAGCTAGCTTTTCATTTTTTATATTCTATGAAGTTGGTGAAATTCAGTTCAAATAAATCAGTGGGATTTAAGCACTTATTTAAACTAAGCATGTGTTTTGAGTGTTTTGCTGAATCAGCATCTCAATCCTGACCTACAGCACCTGTGCTGCCTCTGTTCAGGGACTCTCTTGAGCAAAGACTGTCAATTGTATGGTTTCAGAGTAGCAGCCCTGTTAGTCTGTATTCACAAAAAGAAAAGGAGGACTTGTGGCACCTTAGAGACTAACAAATTTGTTTGAGCATAAGCTTTCGTGAGCTACAGCTCACTTCATCGGATGCATTCAGAGGAAAATACAGTGGGGAGATTTATATACACAGAGAACATGAAATAATGGGTGTTACCATACACACTGTAAGGAGAGTGATCACTTAAGATGAGCTGTTACTGAGGAACAGTGGTGGGAGGGGGGGAATAAACATGGGGAAATAGTTTTACTTTGTGTAATGACCCATCCACTCCCAGTCTCTATTCAAGCCTAAATTAATTGTATCCAGTTTGCAAATTAATTCCAATTCAGCAGTCTCTTGTTGGAGTCTGTTTCTGAAGTTTTTTTTGTTGAAGAATTGTCAGTTTTACGTCTCTAATCGAGTGACCAGAGAGATTGAAGTGTTCTCTGACTGGTTTTTGAATGTTATAATTGTATGGTGGATACATGGTAGGAGAAGACTGCCACATTTATTTTGAACAGTCATGGCTTGAACCCAGGGCTCTATTCCTGAAATACACTAACCTACTGATACTAACAGTGTGTATCTGCATCAGCCGTAAAGACTATGGGCTTTTGGTCCATCAGAAGCAGCAGGGCAGCATAGATAGAACAGCCTCAGCATAATCTATTTCCTATGAATCCAAGCAACTCTAATATGTTATAGTGGAGGCTGTCTCTTTGCGCCAGATGCCTTTTTCCCATTGACTACAGTGGTGCAGGATTGCACCAGAATACTGTATGAAGTGGATGTTTCATGTTGCAACTTTTGTTATTTCCTCGTATGCTCCAGAAAGAGAATTGTAATGTCCACATTTGAAATCGGTATTCAGCTTTAACACTTCTGATCACACCCTTCTCGCAAGCCTTTCTGTGAGCATTGGTTTTAGACAATCTTCAGTTAGAATATCTTGAAACCTGTGTGTTTTCTTTCTCCCATGTGAGAGATCTACTTAAGAATTGTTCTTATGTGATGAATCACCAGAAAAAAATAAGATAACTGTAGCTCTGCACATCAGAACAGACGCCACAAAAATGTTCCAAATTATTTGAAAAGTTTTGCAGGCCAGTGCTTCTGGGTGGCTGTTTTTGTTTTGTTTTCAGTCAAAAAACATAGTACCATATGAGATTTTAATATCATATTCATACTAGCTGTGGCATTTCTAAATCCAAATCTGTCTCATCAAAGAGACAAGATAGAATTGTGCTGATCCATGCTGAACTCTGGGCTTGCTTTCTTTTCTTTTCTATTCTGTCTTCTCATTAACATAGAGTAAAAATATCTATATAGTGAAGAAAGTGAGAAATACTTCAGACCCAGAGTGATTAATTTTAATTGTGTGTTTATTAGAGGTGATGTCTTGAGGTAGTTGAAAAGAGTATCTCTGCTTAAGCACAAAGATGTTTTAAAATCAGTGAGGTAACTTCAATGTATAAATAGTCTCAGCAACAAATCCAGTGCTCTAGCTTCTTTGTATAAGAAAGCCAGATAGAAATGGAGTGCAGTTTGGTATGAATTAAATGGAGCTGAGTGACCCCTGCTAACAAATTTCAGTGAATATATCTTTGTTAATTCTCTGTATTAGTGTTCACACCCCTGCCTGAGATTATTCTAGCAAATGAGTTTACTCCCTGTGATATCTGCTGGAATGGTAAATGAATACTGCAGAATATTTGCAGAAGGTGAATTTTGAATTTGTGTTCATGAGTATTCTCCATTTGAAATCTGATTCTAAACCTTATCTGCATCCAAGTAGGAAACCAAAACATCCCATGGGACTTGAGTCCAATCAGAACAGCTCATGTTTGGAATATCAAATATTTGCAATGAATTGTTCACAAATGAGTTACAGACTAAGAATTATTTTGAGAAAGTCTTATGCAAATATTTTCAAATAATGTGTACATTTAAGAAACTATCAGCTGCTCTTGGGCAAGTCACAAGCAAGGTAATGAGAAGGAACTCTTTGAATAAATGATTCTTATCCATTCATGTCTAGCTTTAAATGACAATTCATCATCATTCAGATGCACAGATAGGATGCCACTAGATGTCACCAGCGCATTGACTTAAAGATTCCATGATGAAACTATGCCTGCAAGTAGTGTCTAAAAATTATTTTTGTTCCTGAGCCGGTTTTATAATCTACTTTCTGTTTGCCAAACTACATATTAATTGGATGGCACCTAATGAAAGCAAAATAGCCAAGTGGACAAGGTCCTATATATTTCACAATGTCAGTGGCAATGTATTTCAAACTTTTTCTTTTTTTAAGTGCTTCTTTCCTTGACAAAATGTTTTCCAAATGGCAGTAACCAACAAAAATGTTGCATTTGAGTAGACAGATGCTTTTGGACAAACGATTGTAACAAGAATAATCAAGCAGCTCTAATTAGGAGGTGTACATATTTTTTTCACATACTGAAAACAGAAATGGGAAAAACAGTTAGGGCCAGATCCTCAGCTGGTGCAAATTGTCATAACAGCAGTGGACACGCTACAGTACAATGAAAGAAAATCCAAACTGGTATGTAACTTACAATATACCTTTCAGCGGCAAGGTTTCTTTCCACAGCTCGTTTGCTACGACAAATTCCTTCCACCATATTTTGCATTTCATACTAAAAGAAACAAAATCATATGTTTTATTAAAGCATCAGTGTAAAGTTTCTCTTTTACATGATCTAGCATTTAATAATGTAAAATGAGATTGAAATAGCTACTCACCACCTTCAACAGCTGGTCACTTTGAGAACATCACAACAAACATGTTGGATCGATTTCCACAGAATGAAGTAAGGAGTAAAGTTGGCAGCTACAGTTGAGTGCCCTGTGAACACCTTCTAAACTGCAAAACTAAACATAAATCAAATTTCCTTTGTTTTCCTGACTTTTGAGACCTTTTAACAAATGTTGAATCATATTTAGAAATGGCATATTGTTCTATGTGTAGACTAAGTTCTTTTGTTTTTCTTTCCTTCCCCCTGCAAAATGACTAAATGGACCATGGTAACTTGCCAGATTCTCTCCTACTGTCAGGGAAGAGAAATAAGAATGTTCCATTGTCTCCTCTTACATTATTTACTGACATTGTTATTACTTCTCAAAATATTCTATGTAAAATTATTTATTTATGTAAAATCCATTGCTGTTGCATTATAGTGTGGTATAGTATTAATGCCGGTTGTTCCAATACAGAGTAGCATCTAATGGAGCCTCATTTTAAAGTTCGTTTTAATTTCCAATAAAAAATTAATGCAAAGCAATAGCAAATATTTACAGGGCTCAAAGCTTGTCGTCTTAATTTCTTTTTTTGTTAAATCTAAACTAGGCCTCACTCTTCAAATATTATGTTTCAAAACAGATTTTTTTTAAACTACATTTTATGAATAAAGTAAGAAAATGCTGGGTGCAGAAATAACAATGATCAGAAGGGAAGGTTAGTCATTTGGGAATCAGACTTTCATTTCTACCACCACCACTAAACTAATACTCTTGCCTGATTTTTGTGTCTATGTGTTGGCTAAATTCTGTATATGAAAATAGGGATAGGCTATAGGAAATGGTCTTAATATATGATTGAATACTTTAACATATATTTACATAAACTTATTTGAAACAATATTTAAATACTATTAATCAAGTATTTAGGTAACAAGAACTCTGGGAAATAAATCAGAAAGCATAAGGAAATATTTGCCTTGTTCTTGTAGAATCAGTTGTGCGATACATTATTTGAAGCCACGCTTCTCTCCTTACTATTTACAGTCACTCTAAACACATCCCCATCACTATCACAGGTGATCCAGGCGGCATTTACAGGAATATTCTTCCATGATCATAGTTTCCTACTGACTTTGGCTTTTATTGAGTTATGTTAAATCCAGGTTACCATTGCTACATCCTGGTTTCATTAATACTACACAAGACAAAACAGCACTAAAATAACAGATTTCATGCATCTTTCTGATGACTGTAAACTATCCCCCTGGAAGTTAGAGACATTTTGAAATCAATAACCCCATTGCTCCCTCCTCTTCCCTGAATGCCACAATTGTTCTACAAACTCTATCCAAAAAGACACTCACCGTTAAAAGAAAAAGAAACCACTACAAAGAGAAAGAACCTCTGTGTATTCCTCATGGCAATAACAAGAGGATGTGAATTACTGTTCTTCAGTCGAGACTGCTGAGGATAGGCGCAGCTGTCTGGGTTGCACAGGCATGAGAGATAAAAGCAAACCTGAGCCTTGGAGATATTAACTCTCTGGAAAGAGAGAGACAGTAGGACCCAGCAGATCTGATCTGCAAAGTGGAGCTTTCATGAGCATGGGGATCCCTCCCCCTTTGAAGCTGTTTAAAGAACCAGAGCAAGAGCAAAAGCATGTGAAAAGAAGAAACATAATGTGCTAATATGAAAAAAGCAAGAGGGGAGTATAACGGCCAGTAAATAAACAAGGTCTGTAATATATAATAGCAAGAATTATGCATTTGTCTAATATTTAAATAGCTTTCTCATTAGTGGATGCATTGGAGTTGGCAGGGGATGGCTGGCTGGGAAAGAGCTAGAGATAACTGTGTTCCAGAAGCCCAGCTAATGAAACTCACATAAGTGAATTAAGGCCCAAATATTAGGATCACTTTTTGCATTAGTGGAAAAGTTGGTAATCTACCACCAACCTATTTCCTCTCCAAAACCCAGACAGTACGTGTTCTGTTTCAGCTAGATCTCTGAAAGCCCAAGGAAGTTTTAGGAGGCGCATGCATTGTGATTAACATTAGTAGGAATTGTAAAAGGGAGGTTAAATCAGCCCAGTGAGAAATAATAGTACCAATAATAAAGACACTGTTGAGAGGTAGTAGGGGAAGTCAGGAGAACTCTGTGCTGGTCATTGTTACTGTTTGGAGAGTTCACATCTGGTAACAGTATATGAAGGGTAGAAAATGTTATGTATTGTGGAGTTACAGCGAAGAGTCATGAATCAGGGAGTGGGGGAAGGAGAGCTCACCTACCCTTTAAGGACAGAGAGAATGAACGATAGATTATTGTTCTCTAATTATTGCCCAGAAGTCCAAAAGTATTGCTCAATTTTTGTGCCTCTTAATCTATTTTAATCGCAAAACTTCTTACATGTATAGAAGGTAACTTTGTGCATGGTCTGATTTTTACTCTCTTTTTTTATTGATATCTTAAAGCTTGTATAAGGAGCTTTGAGGATAAAAAGCTCTATATATGTACCAAGAATTACTGTTGTGTTAATGTCCATCTCCTCCAAAAGTAGTCACTTGTAATGCGTCTCCTCTTATCTAGATCCTCAGCTATGCCTTGGTAATCTGTTGTTATTTACATTACAGTAATGTCAAGAGGCCAAATCAGGGATCGGGGCCTCATTACGCTATGTTCTACACTGTAATAAGTTGTTATATCACTCTCTTACTTTCTCTCTCCTTTTTATTCCCTGTACGTTGTGTCTAAGTTTAACTGATTTGAGCAGGAGTTAGTAAATGCAATTTGTACTTCAAGAACACTGTAGGGAGTTTAGAGAAGGACACTGAGAAGAGAGAGACAGGATGGAGGAGCTGTGAATTTATCTATGTCTGAGTGGATAAAAAAGCCACTGCAAGCCAAGTGATTGCATTTTAATCCTACTTTTTGCAATCAAAATATAACACTGTCCTTTCTTGCCCCTTTCCTGCAGCCTTCAATTAAGCTCTTCCTTACAGTTCTAGATATTATTTCCACCAGAAGACCAGCCCTTTGTGCAAGTTGTAACCCATACCATGTGTCCCAAATGGATTTCTCATACCGTACCCCTCCACTTCACATTACCTATCAAAACATGCATTCAGACTGGTATGTTTTATTGTTCTGTGTGTGAAAGGCTGTGTTAGAGGCCTGTGAATCATATGGTTCCTACATCTCTGATCTTATCTGGCAATCATGGCTTTAGTAATATTTAGGGAACTGTGCTCAAGACAGCTGTGTCGGCCTTGCCATTCTCTTCAGCTTTTGAGGTTGTGGCGGAGCAAAGTGTCACTCTGCTGGGAGAAAAACACAAATGTTTGTTTTATTTTTATCCTCTTTGCTTCTGGCCCTCTTCTCCCTAAAGGAAAGACCTCCATCTGCCAACTGAATATAGCTCTGGGCTTCGGCAGCAGTCATATTAGTAATGGATCTGTGGACCCTGGAGTCATCTTGCACCATCTCTGCACCTATATCCTTCCTGCAGACAGTTCACACAGAATATTATATTACTTCATTGGTTTATGTGATACCACAGAATGAGCGATCTGTGCTGAACAATCAACAGGTCCATATTGTGAAGAGCTTACAGTCTAAAGCCATGAGAAAGCAGGGGACATATCAGAACAAACATAGAGTAGATATGGCCATGCTAGCTCGAATACTTCAGAGTGGATGGGTCAGAATAGGGTGAATGTGAGTGGTCCAGAGTAGTCGAAGGATTCCTAATCTCTCACTGACTGGGCTACTGCTCCATAGCTGGCGGAGCTGGAATCAGATAAGGAAAGCAGAGAACAGGCAGACAGATTTTATTCTGTTGTGTTCTGTTCCTTACTTTGCCACTAACATCTTGTGTGACCCTGAGGACAAGTCATTTAAACTCTCTGTGCATCATTTTAGCCATATGTACATTGATTCCCCACTGGGATGTTGTGGGGCTTTCGTAGTGTGTATTGAGCCTTGAGATCCTGAGATGAAAGGCCTTTCTACCAGACATTTTAGTATCCAGTATTGTGGAGTCACGTACTAATGTTCTGCACAAGCAGTGAAGATTGGAGGGAAGAAATCTATCCATTTAATTGACCTAACTGCAGAGATCTGACCTGCATTCTTTCCACCCCCAAAACTTCTTTTGATTTCAGTGGACAGTTTGAATACATAAGGAATTCAGGATCACAATGTGCCCAAGAATTGAACAAGGTGATCTTGGCAGATTTATCACTGTGTTTTCAGGCTGCCACTTGCATTACTTAAGAACAAGCCACAGATACTGAAGCTAGCTGAGCAGAAGCAGCCTGAGGCATAGCTGGCATCCCTAATGAGACTGGTACAGATACAAGAAGAACACCGCAAAAAGAAATTGTTTCCAAGTGAAAAAAACACCATTTCCCTCCAGTAGTCATAATGTTGAACTGAAATTTAGATTTTAGTGTGTGGTTAAGGTGAATTGAAGAAAAACTTCAGATTGGCTTGGTAAATATTTGAACTAGCAAAATGGCTATCACTTTACTGCTGAAAATTGCTACAGAAAAATGTCTAATGGGAAAGTAAATATATCAATATTTGCATTTCTGTAGCACCTTCCATCTGAGCGAACATTAATTAATTAATTAAACCTGGGTCATGGCTCATCTAATCAAAGTCAAGGGATGTTTTCCTCAGCTCTGTGGACTCTCCATCACTGGGGATTTTTAAGAGCAGGTTGGACAAACACCTGTCAGGGATGGTCTAGATAATACTTAGTCCTGCCATGAGTGCAGGGGACTGGATTAGATGGTCTCTCGAGGTCCCTTCCAGTTCTATGATTCAGGCAAGGTATTATGATATCACAGTTCTGCATATGGCAGTGGCAAGTAGATTTCTTGATGCTGCCGAATGTTTAGATAGATATCACTTTTTTGTGGGTCTGAATTATGGTGATGCCTATGAGTAGAAACCTGACACATCACATCATGGATATGCTCCAAACCCACAAAAATGATCTAAAGAACTGCCACAGACAGGAATATAACAGCCTTGTGAAAGACCACAGACAAGTGGAGTTGCACCTGGTCTGAATTTGGCCCAGCTGTCTAAATATGAATGTATGTGCTAAATCAGAAAGCATTCTGTCTATTAGGAAGCAGTCACAGTTTGAATCTGGGAGTATACAAAGCAGCCCACTCTTCTGGAACAACAAATTCTTTTGCTGGTTAGATTTTTGGAATGTCATAAATCTGATATTCATTTTTGACTAGCAGGTGGGATATGTTTCCATGATATGTGAAAATACGATTGTCAAGTCTCTGACACTAGATATTTTCCACTATCAAAGCTTTGAGCCTTCAAATTATAGAAGTATAACAGGCACTGACAGCTCTCAAATACTAGAGAAGAAGCAGATGTACTTGTATGGAGGCTGAAGATTTTATTAAGATCAGTTTTTTCTAGATTCAGTTGTATGGTTCAAGGTCTTTGATCCGGGTCAAAGAGATGAAGTAACCTGTAGCACAGCCCTCAAATACAGCCAGTAGTTGCAGTGACTGGCTGAACAGCACCAGTGTGGAGCTAAAGAATGCATGAAACTGGTTTCCAATATGCCCTCAAAAAATGCACGTAATCAAGCAAAAAAGATCTGTGCACAGAACTATGTTTGCGAATCGCATTTGTTGGGATTCCAGAGTGTTGAAGGCTGAGATGAACCACAGCTTGATTCAAAAGGATGGCTCACGATATGCAGCATTTCTTGAATATGCAACTAGGCATGTCGGTTTCTATGATGCCTGAAAGGGCTCTGCAACTGGAGGAGCTTTGTTTGGGAAAATGGTTGAAAAGGGATCTGATGATTTAGTCAAGTTAGGTTTCTTGTCTGGGTGCAAGATAGCTGAATCCTATATCATTTGAGAGTCTTTCGTTAATGGTCCTTATGCAAGTCAGAGCTAAAAGTTCCTCCACTATAAAGATCTATTACTATGACTCTAGCACTAGATTAGAGCTCCTTGGTCAGAGTTCTATCATGTGACCCAGTCTCATTAACGTCCTTGAGGTTTTTTCAAAGAAAACGTGTTGTGAAGCTAGAAACAGTAAGACACCTAGAGATGTCCTAATAAATGGACTGACCCTGCTAGATACTGATTTACCTTCAGCAACCATTGAAGGCAATGGGATTTGCTGGAACTTACCACATCTCAGGACCAGGCACAGAATTTTTGTCCCTAGCATATTTTCCTTGATAAGAATGAAAACTGTCAGACAGGATGCTTTTCCTCCTATTGCCTGTACTGCACATCTGTATCCATCTTTCTCTTCACTAGCATTTGAGGGTCTGTCCAGATCAGTTTGAGTGATCATCCCATTTAGTGAATTAAGTGAGTTTAGAGCTTTCAGGATGATGTTTCATACCAATATATCACCTTGTGAATGACCTCCCTTTTAATAATCCAGATCAATAGAGAACACGCTAATATTTCATGCCATTATGTTTCTATGGCAGAATAACTGTCTTTCATCTGTTGGACCCTAAAGATAGCACCTGTATATCCAAAGCAGATGCACCAGCAGCAAGACCCATCTTTTTATTTCACAGCAACAGACGTAACTAGAATGCTGCTCTCTCAAATGAAACATTGTGGATAAAATTGGTCCCCATCCAGACAGCTAACACAAGGCCTATGCACCACTTAAGCCTTCAAAATAAGGGTTCGTAGGGACTTAAGTGGTGCATAGGC